GTCCAGGCCGGAGGCCACGGACAAGGGAAGTAAACTCTCGGGAGGAAAGCAAAAAGGGACCAAAGAACGAGGATAAGAGAAAGCAGGGAGAGAACCGGGACCATTGTAATCGGGAGAGTTGGTGGAATCAAGCACTGGAGGAGAATAATCGCCTTGTTGAAGTCGTTGAAACACAGCGCTTTCAAAGAAAAGAGGCAAAGTAGATTTAAACGAGAGACCCGCGAGAATCACTTGGGCCTCCATTAAAGAGCTCGGTAAACGCGTTGTAGAGGCAGAAGCTCGAGTTTGACTCGAGGTCGAAGCCATTTTGACGAACGAGATGAAAGAACGGAATAAAGAGGGAAAACGGACTTCAACGAAAAATTTCATTGAACCCCGTGCCCCGAACCAAATAAGCGTACACACTGAATCAGTGCGTACGTCAGAGCAGTTTTCCATGAAATGGAAGCTCGTTCTGTGACTAGATGATGAAGAGATTGTGAATTAAAATTTCGAAATGTGATACAAATACCGAAAAAGTATTCAATTAAAATTGAGCGCTAAACTGTTACGATTCGTAGCAGGCGTGTGAATAAATTGATAAGATGAGCGCTAGAAACCCATTTGAGGGCATCCAAATTGATTGGAGAGCACGGAGAAGTAGAGATCCAAACCCAGTGATTTACATTAAAAGGAGATATAGTCTTGTCGAATCAATCTAATAACAGATTGGGTATCCTTTCCCTGTACAAAACTACGAATGACCGAGGACGGTCAAATTCTTTAGTTTGGGGGGGATGACACGCCTAAATTTTGGCTAGACGTCTATGCTGTGAATTGTGACATTTTCACGTATAGATTTGTATCAAGAGGACTGTAATTGAGACCCAGATTGACAGTCAAAGTCGATACTGAATCAGTCTAATAAGTTGAAGGGACCATATACCCATACTACCACAAGTTGGTTAGTTTACCCATCCCCGATACTACCTACGGATAGCAGTCTACCTGTTTGTCAAGCAGGATTATACCAGACTCGGACTACATCCGAAGGATGACCATTTACGTATGACATACCAAGGGTATTCTTATTGGACCTTACACTGGCAGGAGTTTGGAAGAACTTACTCAAGTGACCATGAACCGAGGATTGACTCGAAATGACTTTCTAGAACTCAGGAATTATCAAATACTCCTTCTAGAACAAGATCATGCATTAATCTAAAGGACTGCGATTTAGTCTAATAGACCAATCAAGTTGCATGGTTGAGGAAAATGACTAGAAGAACGATCGAAATACTGCGAGGCTCCGAAGACATATCAAATGAATGTCAAAGAGTCCTGACGTAGAAAATATTGAAGAATGCAATTAAATGAATACTATGTGTAACTCCCTTGATTGAGTATAGGCACAATGGGTGTCTGTTGAAAGAGAGAAGCAATTAGTTTAATCCAGATGAATCAGATTGATAGGATTAGAATCGAGGAGAGCTGATTTGCCTCCGGACGAGATGACAAACGATCGAAGTAAGTGTTGAACCGCAATGACAGTTGAACACCATTCGAGTCATTCTCGAAAAACAATTAAATTAAATGAATATTGAAGTACCTACCTATGTTTGGAGGTATACTAGAATCTTGGAACCAATATGGACCAAATAAGGACATGTAGATTCAAATTAAATGGTATCTGACTGAGTGTAGAAGTTTCCTTGCGGTTCCGAACGTTTATGGTACTAAATTAATTGTACTATGCGACTCTATATTCTGTATGTATAAATAGCGATCCGATGTATCTGGAATACAAGTGATTTTGGGACGACGTTGCAGTGCTAATCCGTAAAAAGGAAAGACACACTCCCGCCAGACTGAAACCTCTTTGCTAGCAGCCATTCGGGCCCGGCACTTGTGAGTATAGGAACGTCGTGTTCTGCTCCTTGTGACTGCGAGAAGTCTATCCAGTTGTTGGGTATTCTTCGAACTTAGGATCAGTCGTTGGTCTTAAGGGCAAATCACGCTGTGTGGTTGTGCCAGCACATAGTTCTAGCCCTCCGAGGGGTCTGTGTGTTTCGGTTTTAATTTACTTTGATTCAAACCCCCAATTCTTGATATACCCAAATCAATACAAACCAAAGCACAAATTGTGCTGAATCTACCTTGATCAAAGGAATATATCAAATCCTTAGAACGATTCAAATTGATTGATCAAAGCTTCTTACTTAGCTCTCAAAGCTTTGCGGAACCTTTGCCAACGCTACCCCTTGCTATTAAATAAATTTGATAGCAGTGAACTCGCATATTGTGTATTAGATTGGTTGGTTGGAGTGCCCATTAGATTCCTTCCTTTCTCTTTCACACAAAAACGAGGCAAGCTCGTTATCGTACGGGAAACAGAACCTACATCGAAGACGACACTCCGGACGATGACAAGAACAAGGTTCACCCCCTCTCTACTTTCCGCTCTGATTGAAGGAGAAAAGGCAACGTTTGGGACACCTGTCGGATGACATGCCCGCCCAATTTCACAAGCCACGAAATTTCTACGCAAGTATACGAAGTGCAATACTTGATATTACCTCGTCGTCGAACAATCCTGTACGAAATCATGGTAAGTTCTTCTCTATCTATCTCGCGTACCTTTTCTTATTATTTTGTATAACCTCGTCATTCGCATTTGCCACTTCAACCTACTTTGACTCTGTATCCTTCTGTGACAAATCCCCATTTCCACTATACTCAATATCACTTCTTACTTGACTACGTAATCTGTATCCCATTCTGAGACCCGCTAGGGCCAAAAAATTTGGTGATATTGGCCTTTGGTTAGGACATCTCATGTTCGATTGGATGTATCTTATTGTCTACTGCTTCGTAGTGATGGCAATATTGGTCTGATACGATAAGAAAATCGAACAAGCTCCATAGTTCCACCATCAAGCACGGCCACCATTCTTCCGGGAATAGGTAAGCAAATTGAGTCGCCCACTACAGGTAACTCTCCAGTTTCCTCTCAGGAACAGGAAAGACAATCCCCTTCTAAGTCTTCCAGAGCTCTGGAGAATCATCCCTCTCCGAACCAGTACAATCAAGCCAATAAAAGTGAATGCCGCATACCAACTATTCCACCGGCTACCTGATCTAGTCATTCTCGTCTTACGGAACCCGCCCGCACCGCCGGTCAACCCGTCCCGACTAGCTGGGCAGTAAATTGGAACGAGAAACAAAAACTAGCGCTGAAGCAAAGCCACTTCCTTCAACATCGTTTCAACTGCTTAATTTGAATTCTGCTCAAAACGTGGATAGTTTGCGAGCTGCTTTCCAGGCAGGCGGCAATGCTGTCAATCATCTGCCCAATCTAAGACCAGGTAAGGATGGTCATAATGCAACATCGAGTTCTTCGATAACAAACTCGAATATGACGTTCATGTCTAGTTCTTACAAGGACAGTTTACCAATACATACTTTGTCCAGGCCTTCTAGGCCATTACCTATCAACGGCGATGGTTCACAAAATTTTCCTCCGTCCTCCTCCTCCGCGCACTCTCGCTTCTCTCCATATATGATCTCGCCGTCTTCTTCCAATATCTTGTGACCGGAAGATTCGTTCCATCGTCTACGGTCAGCAATTGGTAACTCGGTTTTCCGAAACAGACAAATTCAAATCTAGAGTCCTACTCGCGCACTGGAAAGTGTTGCTTCCTCTATGTGGCCTTGTCATAGGCCAACGTTCTCCACCACTGGATATACGAGATCCACAAAACGTTTCGAAAGCCAGACACGGACACGGACACCTTCACGAAGTCCTACTAGTCCGCATAGTCCACGGTCGTTCTCGAAGCGATTGTTTGATGGGCTTGCTTCTTTTTCTTCGGATACTGGCATGATGAATGATAACAGCAGTGGTGAAAGCGACGCAACTCTAACGAAAGATGATCATCCTTGGCTGACAAACTTGTTCGATGAAATGAACAGAATTGGAAATTCATCAAACGGAGAGGCCACACTGATGCCTCTCCTAAGACAACTTTCGGGATCCTTCTTCCGCTTGATCGACCTCTACCACCTCGATATCCCGTCCAAGGTCGATTCCTACTTCTGCGTCGCCCACTTTGTCTTCCTCTTCCCCCGTTGTATCGAAATCCGTATCAGCAACAACGTCTACATCGACAATTCCCAGTCAACCATCTTCTTTACGTTCGTTCCATGTGTTCCCAAACGAAAAGTTCAATTTGTCCGCAGTAGGCACATATGATGCGTCTTCCGTGACAATTTTGTCTACAGGCACGATCGACGGCTCTGACTCCGATGAGTTGTGCAATAAAACCACTTGGACCAGTGCATCCGGTCCCCGATCTGCAGGATTTGAATGTGATGTCATCATTCTCGTCGAAACGGCCTCCACTAACTGTGCAGATCGAGAATATCACAGGTGTTGTCAAAGCAGTATCAGTTTCAAGTGCGCCTGGTTCAATGCCTGATTCGAACAGGCTTGCAGTTAATGGAGCTCTTCAAACCTCCTCCACTGTTACACCCCATCGGCTGCCGTCGATTACTGATGTTACGAAAGAGTCAAGTACAAGGGGGGGAAAGAAATTCAAAAATGCAAAGCAAAGCACCTTCCTTACGGGCTCAGATTCTGAGGGATGGTGGGCTCCACGTCCACCTCCTGAAGACATGTACGAGAAACTCGAACAGTACTTTCTGAGGGATGGTGGGCTTCACGTCCACCTCCTGAAGACATGTACGAGAAACTCGAACAGTACTTTCCTGAACATGACCTCGATAAAGCAATCATCGAGGCCGCCCTTGCTATAGTTTTTGTACTCTTTTTCTGATATCGCCGCAGTCCGCGCTTCCGCAGCACCGCTCCTACGGTAGAGGTCAAAGATGTTCCCGCATCTGCAGATGACGTTTTGAATCGTCTCGATCCTACGGAGAAACATCACTCCTCTACGTCTGCGCCTGCTACAGAGCTGAATACTGTTCGTGTGTATTCCACTTCTTCAAACACAACCATCAACCTCGATCCAGAATCACAATCCTCATCTAATCACACCACTGGGACCAACACTCAGAGAACCTCAATGCGCTCTAATCCCTTTGAGGATAACCATTCCATTCAAACTACCGGCACGGAAGGAACCAACGTTATTCCTATCGCCCTTGTTACTTCCGATTCCCTGCACCACTCTGCAGTTTTGTCTGAGACGGAAACCTCTCGATCTCCATCGCCTACGCGTCCTGCTTGCACTCCGGAAGTTGACCTTAATCTGGATCATATAAATGTGTCTCATGATTCGCTAAAGTAAATAGGGAATTATCCAATGTCCACGTGTTCGGATGTATCAACCATGTCGAGCGCTAGCTATTCAAGTGACTTTCTTAACGAAGCACCTATGATCATGACTCCCAACAAGGGCGCTGTACGTCAAGTTCTTGGGGTCGTCAAAGCTGAAATGGTCAATGCCCTCGGACATTCCCCGACAAGTGCTGAACGACTAAAGCCTTCTGCATCTACCTCGAAACCCGCAGTCAGATCACCGTTGGCTGCATCATCTTTCGGGCCGGCTGATCTCAACTTCGATGCAGCATCTGTCTCAACGTCAGAGGAAGGCGGAAATCTGTTTAGTGATAGGCACTCAACCCGTACCACACTGGCTTCTTCACCAGCAGCTTCTCATACAACCTTTGGCGAACCCTCTCCTGCTTTCAATACAGGTACGGATTGGGCAGAAACTGGACCTCGACTTCCTTGGTCTACAGGTGACGATGGCAGTCGTCCTTCTAGTGTCAGTACGCAAACAGGTTCGGTCATCGATATCGCTAACGCTACTCGTGTCAACCTCGGTCTAAGTCAACTAAGCAGTGAATCGGGTGTATTAACTCCTAGAACCCGTACCACTATGGGCAAGCTTGTGAACCCTTCCACCGCTACTACTGAGCTAGACACCTTTGAAGAACAACAGCAACGAGCGCTTGCTCATGCTCAAGCGCAGGCGCAAGCACACGGTGGGATTCAGAGTAGGAGAATATCTGCATCATCAGCTATGTCTGCTAAATCAGACTCTATCCTCGAATCATTCCCTTTTGTTCTTCCGTCGCCCATTTCAAATCGGCCGGCTAGGTCGCCGCCCCTTTCACCGTTTGCGCAACAGGCGTTCAATGTATCTCCTCCTTCACCAATGAGCTCCCAGAACTTCCAAGCTACGACGTTCGACTCGAAGTTGGACTCCAATGCTGTACTGCCCACTCCAAACCGGAAGACGCTGGGCTTGTCCACTGGCTCTCAGCTCTCTACAGTCTCCACTGGTTTGGAGTCTTTCCCTTTTCAGATAGACACTGGTAACTCCAGGGATTCGACGGCCCCTTCGGCTTTCAGTGGACGCCAGCGCGCAAGTCTTGATACATTGGCTATCACCAGTGATCTATCATCTTTCCCGCTAGGGTTTGATAGAGACAGTGTCACAGTTCCCGTTCCACATCGGGCTTAAGGTAGGCTCACCGCATCACTTTCGGCCTCTGAGTTAACTGTTTCAAAAGGCAGTTCAAAAGGTAGTCTATGGTTGTTTGTAGTATTGTGTTGATGAACGGGTTTCAGGATACCTTTGACGTTGTACTATCTGTACTGGCAGGCTTTCCGAACGCTAACGTTATTTTCAAAAAGCTTTGGTTATAACACCTACCGCTGCTTACCGCATCAATTTCTATGCCGGAGTGTTACCTTCTCACTGAAGTGGGATGGTTCCTATTGAGCTTTGGTGTTGGCATTGTTTCTTCCGTTCAAACGGGTTTTGTTTTCTGTTGGGTTGTGTGTAATTTGCTTTATATATATTTTCTTCTGTGTCTTGCCGTACTTGTTCTCATCACAGCCTAACATGTCCAATCGTACTGATTTACTAACAACGTACATCACTTATCGAACGTAGATTTACGCAATTTGTGTGAAATGATGTGGTACAGAACGGGGTTGTATGTGGTGTCAAACCTTTAGGTCTTCTTCGGAGGTTTATACAACTTCAATAACAAAGAACTGGAAATGACAGAAACCAAACTGTAGGGCATTGCCTGTGGTGAGTGTCGAATCCATCTCATTTGAAAGATTTGGCACGTACGACAACGCCATTGCAAGAGAGGCCCATACTGTATCAAGGCGCACACGGCCAGCAGGATAAATGACGCCCGCTGCAATGAGTATCGCAGCTATATTATATATCGCCGCCCATAACTAAGTAGAAGGTAAGATATCTTTCTGTCAAATCTCACAGAAGTATCGACTCACGAAATTGAACTTTATCCTTCTTATCACAGCCATAGAAAGATCGATAAGGTTGAGCAAATCATTCAAATCTGCGGAGAGCAAGATGAAACTGGCGCTAGAGATAGCAACATCGCCTACAGGCCTTGTTACAAGCTTACGCAGAAAATAAGCAAAGAAGAAACATACTTCCAGAACCTATTGCAATTCCTACGTCCGCAGAGGTGAGGGCCTAAGGATACAGATCAGCATTGCGGCTCATGGGACTCTACACACTGAGAACTAACCGGCGCGTCGTTTATCCCATCTCCAACCATCCCGACTACGAAGTGATTGCTAGGCATTTCAGTGCCTGTGAAGGGTAAAACAGGACGTCGTCTTTGTAACCATTGTATCCTTTGAGCCTGAGTCGCAGCAGTCAGTGTTTAAGTGTATCTGATTGAAGAGCGAACTGACCTTCTCCTGAGGAAGAACTCTGGCGATGACATTAGAGGATGGTATTCCAACAGCAGCCGCAACAGCCTAGGCAGTCTTCTCGTTGTCTCCGAGATCATCCATGTTTCGATTCCAGCTTTTGTAAGCAATGAAATTACATTGGATGCTTCAGGCCTAATGAGATCGGCCACTCCAAAGATGGCTAATACTTCCCACTGAGCGTCACGTTGCGCTGCGACAAAAACTATACTCTTTGCTTCATTTTTCCATGAGTCAGTGAGGTCCCGAAGCTCTAGGCTAATTGCACACTATTCCCTTGCATCCAGTATTCATTTCCAATGACGACTGAACAAGAAAGTGATTGGAAGGAAGCGAACAACCCTCTCCCCACAGTTACCCGAAAAGAACTTCCATTTTGCGGATGAGTTGTATGAGCTGCGCGAAATTCTCGAATGGCAATAGCTAACGGATGGGAACTCGTACTTTCCATTTCGTCTATGATTCCGAGGATCATTTCTTCGTTCCACGAGCTGTTCGTAACATACTTCACATCTGAAACCTGAACCTTTCCAGTGGTGATGGGTGCCCATTTTGTCAAAGACTACAATGTCCAATCTAGAAGCTTCTTGAAACGCTTTGCATCCGCCCCGGACCAGAAGACCATATTTTGCTGCAAGGCCGGATCCCACTAAGATCGCAGTGGGCGCAGCAAGATCTATACCGCAGTGACATGCAACAACAAAGACGGCAATTGCGAATTCGACTGACCAAACAGCTATATTCATGGTAGGTGTCAGGGATTATAATTATCGGACAGCATATAAGTACTTACGCCAACCTCCTGACAGATTACCCAGAACATCTGCAGAGAGTTTTCCTGACTCTCCAAGGGCAAGCCAAATGATCCAGGTGCTTATAGCCAACAGGGTCACCACTGGAATAAAATAATTCGTGACAATGTCGGCGATGCGTTCCATGGGTGCACGTCGGGTTTGACCTCCGCGCACAACCTCCATTATATTATCCAACCTATCGAACGTTAGTGCTGATAGGAAAGCAAAACTGAATGACGCACATCGTGGTACCACTAATATCCACTACAGAAACATGAACGACGTCGCCACGATTGATAGTGCCCACATAAACTATATCGCCATTTTCTTTCCTAACAGGTTCGGATTCTCCGGTCAATGAACTTTCGTCAAAAATCCCAGACGTTCCAGAGACCATCATACCATCCGCAGGCGGCGAAGAACCATGGGAAACACGTACTATGTCCCCAAGCTCCAGCATATCCGCAGGGATATTCTCAATCTTGAACGCTACTGCTCCTTTCGCTGTCATGGGAACAGCTGTCAGTCCCTCGGAAGACGATACAGAAGAGCCGGACCATTCGTCAGAGGCAGTAAGTAAATATGCTTCTACCGGTTTCAACAAGGCAAAGGAACTGATAGCGTCCGCAGTGCGAGCCTTACTATAGGATTCCAGATATCGACCTAGGAGTTCATCATGAGTGGTCCAGACAAAACAAAGATCATGATAATCGGTGCACACCGATCAGCAAGAACATAGTCAAAAGAACCACTGAATCAAAATAAGTAGACTGGTCTCCTTGACCATCTGGGGATATTGGCTGAACTGCAGCCAAGGCAAAAAGAGCGATAGAAGAGAAATAGGCAACAGAGACTCCAGAAGAAACCAAGAGGTTCATACTGCCGAATTTCGTTAAATGTTTGAGGATAGGAACTGTGCTCCCCCACTTCCACAGCGCATGAATCTGTTTCATACTCCTTCGATGAAAAATTGCAGCACTATAGAACATGACCGGGGTAGCTAGAAAGAATAGTGCCCACTGAGCGCGAGATGTGTTCCCCGTCCACATAGGTTTCATGAAAAAAGCCTTGTTGGAATCTCCATCGGGGACAAGTGACATCTAAACGATCCCGATGATAAAGGTCGGAATGGCGACAATGACCGTAAATAACCGTAAATAACAGCCAAAGGAGAAGGTTTTGTTGCTCACGCCGCTGTATATTACGCGAAACATCTTCAATAGTGGGTGCATGGTGTATGCTGACCTGGAATTCGGGGCACGAAAAACGTATGTGTTGTAAGATATGGCGAATAGTAAAAGACGGAAGGGTTGGACGGTATGATATCGTCAAAATTGGGTCATTATGACTTTGATTTGGTTTCACGATGGTGATGGACCCCATCCGTTCTATTGCGGCAGCTATCTTGGGCGGACAATGCCTGCTAAAAATTCAGAATGTGAAACATTCAAAATAATAAAGAACTCACTGGCAGTGCATGCCGTCCACTTTGAGGGAAACGGTCCGATTCGTTTCGGTACTAGATGTCACTAACTTCTTTATAGATTGGATGTTCATGACAGTAGCCTCAAAGCCGCAATCGTCAATCACTGAAGTGAGTTCGCGAGCAACATCTTCGCTTTCCACGACCGCAGAGGCTGAATGATCGAGCAAGCTCACGACTAAATCAATGACCCCAGGAAGGTCTTTGGCAGTGTTGGTAATGGTGTTGCTGCAAGAAGCGCAAGTCATGCCTGCTATTGACAAGGTCACCTTGAAGGGACCTCCAATGTCTTGGGTTGAAGAGAGCTCCGCAGGAGGTGCACCTGGCAATAAATGATGAGAGGATTTTTCTTGTCCGGACTCTTCTTCCTGACAAAGCCTGCAATTTTGAATATATTTTGTATTCTTCCCTGGAAGTAGCGATGGTCGTTTATTGAATGTCACGGAGAGATCTGAGCTGGAGTCAGATACGAGGTCAAAGGCCCAGTGAGTCAAGTATTTTGTATTACAGCGGCCGACAATCTCGGGTCATGATACACCTTAACAGACTGCAGAACAATGGAAGTCTCCACTAAGAAGGGCGGAGGAGAAAGTTCCGCTAGAATGCTCGCAATTGTCTGCACACAGCTAGAGGACAGTAAGAAGGGTATGAAAGGGTTCACGAAAGGCCATTTACCTGCTGCAGTGAAGGGTTGGATATATGGACGACAGTGACTCGTTCACCTTGTGTAGAGCTCACTCTGGATTCTGAATGTCGATAGAATGATTTAGAGGTTCTTCCGGTCATTGTCGGTCGGGTTTATACAAACTTGGAGTTATACCCTCGGCCATGACTTGATTGATAAGTTATTAGAGAATATTAGTAACACAAAAACAAAAGGGCGAAACTGTTAGTTGCTACGTACAAGATCGACGACGAGGCAATTGTGCGAGAAAGCGACCAATAGGAGATTTACGAGAGTCATGTCATCAGTGACAGTATCATTTTTAAACGGTTAATTGGTTCTATATTATATATACCATGTTTGGCAAATTTGCTGTTTCCACGTGTGTAACCGAAGATAATTTGTCAGCTTATCCGCGCATCCCGAATTTCGAATTTCTTGACCTCATCTTCAGAGCGACCATCCCCTCGTTCCAGCTCACTTATAACTCCCTCCTCTTCTCCTTACTCTATCGGATCACACGATGCTTTCCAGGAAATTGGACCTTCACAACCTGTTGCACCTGTCATTTTGGTTGTATGTGCCATGGATGTCAAAGCAAGATCCCGGGCCATGAGGGAGATTCTGATACGAATTGTGGAAAGATCCAGAGGCACTATTGAAGTCAAGGTTTTTCGAGATAAAGTAATTCTGGACGAAGGTAAGCGACTTTATACTCATTCAACAATCTACATTCATTTTGTCCGTTATAGATGTCGAGAATTGGCCTCGCTGCGATATCCTCATTTCTTTCTTTTTGACTGATTTTCCTCTTGACAAGGCCGTATCCTATGTCAAACTTCGAAATCCTTTTTGCATCAACGACCTGATACCACAAGCGTTATTATGAACCGCAGATTGGTCGCAACTGTTCTTGATCATCTCAAAGTTCCTACACCCAAACGCGTTGAAGTATGCCGAGACGGTGGCCCAAAGATTGATGATACATTGCGAGACTTCAACAAGTCGAAGTTAGGCATAGTACTCGGTGGATACAAAGTCACTCCGGAAGTTGCCCTTAGAGAAGACGGAGATGCCATCATCATTAATGGTAATGTATTAGAAAAACCTTTTGTCGAAAAACCCGTGAGTGGTGAAGACCACAACGTCTACATTCACTTCCGAGGCGGTGGTGGTATGCGCTTATTTCGCAAGGTACGTGCTGTCGTGTTTTCTGAATTTGACATCGACCGCATTCTGCAGGTTGGTAACAAATCCAGCGAGTTGGATCCAAGCCTGAACCATCCAAAATTGGACGGATCGTATATTTACGAACAGTTCATTGATGTTGACAATTCGGAGGACATCAAAGTTTACACTGTCGGCAAAGACTATACCCATGCTGAAACTCGAAAATCGCCTGTGATCGACGGCGTAGTAAGGAGAAATACAGAGGGAAAGGAAATTCGGTATGTCAGGTTGCACGTGCCAATCCCGTCAGTGAAACTTCAACGTCTGGACAGATTCATCACCCGCCTGACCGATGAGGAGACGGCATAATATGTGAAGGTTTTGGTCAACGCGTTTGTGGTTATGACATGCTTAGGTGTGACAACGGTCACAAAAGTCAGGTCATTGATGTAAATGGGTGGAGTTTTGTGAAGAGAAACGAGTCGTACTATGGTGCGTATGTGCAGCCGATTCAATTCGCATGGGCTAAGCATGCTTATTTGTGTGCAGTCCAGATCTTTGTAAACCGTCGCTTTATCTTACTCTGGTATGTTCATTTTAGATAGAGCGGCGGAAATCCTCGCATCGTTATGCATGCAGGTATCATCGTCCCCTAACCGCGCGCTCCCAGGTACCGAAAATACCCCCGAGCAAGCGCCTACCTGGCTCCTCGAGGCGAATGTCACAGTATTTAGACATGCTGATAGAACCCCGAAACAGAAGCTCAAATTGCAAGTAATACCTGCTATTTACTCTCACTGAATCCTGACATTCCTCCAGCAACTTTCCCATTGGTGAAGCTTGGACTCAGCTATTCGTGAAACTTCTCAACGGCGAAACGGAAGAGATTATCTTCCGAGAAAAAGAACAACTCACCAAGATAGCTAGTGCTGTGGAAGAATCGAAGAGTCTCAGTGCAAGTGGCGAGGAATTGGCGAAGTTGACCCAGTTGAACAGCGCTTTATTTAGCAAGATAGACTTACCGGGTACCAAAGCACAGTTGAAGCCCGTCTACTCGAAAAAGCAAGCTGGTCACGCTAGATCCCTCACGAAACTCACGCTGGTCTTTAAATGGGGAGGAGAGGTATTATCGTTGTGCTTCCATCACCTGTGAGATGCGCTTAGCTTCCCTAGTTTACCCATGCAGCCCGGTATCAACGACGAGACTTGAGCGAAAATACGAAGAAGGATATTTCAATCATGAATATGTTTTTTTTTCACCTTAATGTGTGTTTAGCAGTCAAACGATGTTACAGATAGGGAGGTCTTGCAGAACGTCACCGTGTGTACATACAAATCCCTTCATGTTTATTCTCTCACGTTCAATCTCAAATTTTCACCTCCTCGGAACGACGTGTTATCGCATCTGCCGAGATTTTTGTTGCCGCCTTGTTGGATCACCAGCAAAGCTTCTCTACGGCGTCATCTCCCAACTCCAATTCTAGTTCTCGTTCTTCCCACTTTTCGACCGATGGTACCACTTCTTCACCGAATAATAATCTTTATTGTAACAAAAACGTTTTGACCGGCCACAATCCGTCAACTCCCTTCCAATTCATCATTCGAAAAGATTTTCTCGATGACTCAAATGCAGCGAAGGACCTCATGGATGATGTGAAAAAACGGCTCAAGATCTTATTGCGACCGGGAGAGCCAGAGAAACGACCGGAATTGCCTTGGCCGAAAAGTATGAAGAAAGAGCCGGTGGAGGTTGTCGGAATTAATGTTCTCATTTTGCTCGTTGTTGCTACTTTAGTTGGCATCCTCTAAACTTCTTCCTCCGGAAAGGACATCGATGGCAAGATACCGCAAGGATAAAATTTCCCAACGAGAATTGTCTTGAAGGAGCTCAATAACACGAGATATTCGCCAGAGATAATTTTCTGTCAGAAACAAGTAAGCAAAGTTCATATGAAACTGCGCCAGATTGTTGAATGGGACATTTGACAGGCACTGGTATGGACTCACGCAATCTGCCTGTTAGCCTAAAGAGCATTGAAGTCAGAGAGATACCACTTGCACATATAATATGATAGGAAGCTTCGCAAATATATCTTGGCTGATCAACTCCGACAGTGATTTGCGAAAACGAAAGTCGATAGACAGATAGCGAAAATTGGTACTGAGCTCGAATCAGCTGCACACCAAGATGCAAGTCTTCAGCGATAAAAAACAATGCCATGCTTCGAGCCAGTCCATGCACATGTCGAATATTTCCTGGAGGATCATGACGATAAAGTCGTGAAAAACTATGTCGCTGGCCAGACGGTTTTAAATACTTGAGGTTAGCACCGGGATCCTGCTGACCTCCTGGCTTGCCTTTCATCAACATATGAATCACGATGTCATACAAGGTCGAAACGTGCTTACTCCTGCCTAGAACTGCAATAATGCAACAATCTAATGACAAAGAGTGTACACCGGCTAAGGAGGATCTCCACCACCTAATGCATATTACCAAAAGTTCGAATGTTTGCAGCAACAGGCGGAACTAGCATTTTTGGGAACAGCAGGCAAAAGACAATGGGGTGGGAGGAGAACCTGAATGGGTGCAATGTTCCATACATAGAAAGGTCCATGCCAGGCATACGTGTCAAATCACTCGAGCCAATCTAAAAATTTTGCTCTCAGCTATTAGTGGCAAGTGTTCTCTAGGCAGAATCTTTCTTTTGGCAAACATACAGCTTTTGTAAATGGAATTCCGATACATTTCAAAAGCTTGGCCTATTTATACTGTATCTATGTATAGAGTACTGCATTTACTCAGATACTGCTTCCCATTGCCTAAATGTTGATTGTTACATGTCAAACATTATATCAGTGAAGTCCATAATCTACCTTCTTCTTTCAAGCCATTCAACAAGCTTGCTCCCATTAGTTTGCCAATCTTTATCACCACCAAGAGCACGGATTTGGATATAGCTTTCAACAAAGTTATTCACTGTGATATTTTTAATAAGAGGCCGCAGATAGTTGGTTTTTCTTCGGCAGTTAGGACAACTTTCTGAATCCTGTCAGTATCAAACATTAATCTGATGAATAATAAGGGAAATAATACTGAAACTTGCTTGATCAAATAGCCATTGATTCTGCACAAGGACCACAAACTGTGTGGCCACAAGGATTGAGTATTTGAGCTGAAATACTATAATACATGTCAAAGAATTGTTCATTCAGAACAGAATAATACTTTCAATATGTCTTGGCAGCTGTATATAATTGAAATATTCATAAATCATTGATATAGTAGATTCACAGTGCAACTTACATTGGACAAGTCAAATCTGCTTCATATAAATTATCTCGGGATAGACAATTGTTGTTGTCATCAGACTTCTGATTATTATTGCTGATTTCAAATGCAGTCAGATATAATTCTGGATATGTATTTTGTATTTGTTTAAATTGTGATTGTGATTGTGATTGTGATTTTGATTGTGATTGTGTCATTATTTAGAATGAATTTTTTTAATTTAAATTTTAATTAATTGAAAAAGAGGCTGTGATCGGTATTTTGATAGCTTTCACCAAAGGTGGTTTCATTGTTTTCCCTCAATACGCTAACAGTAATCTTTTAATTTTTCAGGGCCTCATTCAATCTCGCGCGTAAAGAAGAAATATGGGAACCAGTTTTATCTTTTGCACCAGAGGAAGGAGACAATCCTATTTCTTTTAACAACCTTGGGAACCGATACCTTACCCAGTCATCTGGGGTTGAAGACATGGACCAAGACTTGGACGCCTGGGAACCTGGACTAGATTTCGACTATCAGGAGAGGGGAGAAGGATTTTCCACATCAGATAATCAGTTTGCTAGCTCCTACGGAGGGAGTCCTGAGGAGGGTAATATCCTTCAATTGAAGAGTTGGTTCAGAGAAGATTCGATTGGAAAGAGTAACCCGTTTCCAGCTAAAATATCTTCACGTAAAACTTGGACAGAAGAAAAACGCGCAGCAGCTTCGAAAGCTATTAGTCCTGGAAATACAGAAGAGTTGGCAGAAAAAGTTTGTTCTTATTACCCGCTTCTTGGATCATTATCTAACTTCCCTCCAGCTGAAGGATAGATACGACCAGGTTACGGGAAAGATTAGAAAAAATCAGAAATGGCTAAAAGTCCCTCAACATATTATTGCAGGGTAAGATAAATTCATTCTCCGTATTATTAGTGCTAAGTTTCTGCTCTGTGCTTATATAGGAGAGAGATTAACCTGCGGGATCAGGACGGCAAATTGATTTTCCACATCGATGGGACTCTCAGTTCAGAAGTCCGGACCAATCTGTTCAATTCTCTAAAGGCCTGGTGTCAAACAGCCAGCTTGTCTATGTTTGGCATGGATTTGAAGACTACGGATTCTTCCTCCAATACTGCTTTCACTGCTCTACATTTTTCCTACCACGCTAAATACGGGGTTAATGTAAGCTTTCGGAGTTTTCTTATTTCAGAATCTGAGCTAAGGGTTATATAGGGCAAAAATGCGCCAACAGATATCCATCCCCATTTGCTTAGAAGAACGGAAGAAAAAAAAACCAACACGTCTCAGTTTCACGTATACGCTTCAGCTGATATGAGAAGGTATCCAGAACCTTACGAGCTTTTGTGTATTGCTCTGGAAGATACTCTGGAATACATAGCCAGCAAGGTAAAAAAAGGATTTACGTGCGTAGGAACTGTTTACTAAATTTTTCGTCAGACTATTACCCGACTACCAGATTTCTTCCAAGGTTTGGCTGGGGAAATTGACATCGTTCCCCTTTACGATTCCACTCCAGGGCGCCCTTTCAGAAGTATTGTGATCAATCTCAACTGCGCCACCTTGGCTCATAAAGATCAGCAAGATCAAAAAGGTTGTATAGTTTTAGTGATCAGTAGTTGCTCAGGCGGGGAATTGTGTTTTTTTGAGCCAAAGTTGGTGCTGGAAATGTTTAACGGGGACTTTGTGGCTTTTCCTTCAAGACGCTACACACATTTCAATCTTCATTATCAAGGAATCAGATCTTCTCTAGTATTACATTCAGATAAAGATGGGGAATCCTACAAGAGAGACGGAAACGGCTGGGTTCACAACGATTTCGTATTGTAATAAATAAATACACTTTTTACCCAGATTCAATTTAGCCAGGGATTGTTAGACGCCCAATTCTACTGTCAACTCCTATGAAGCTGAATCCGCTACCTCATCGAGAACTTCCTTATTCTCCTCAGGTGTATCATGCCGCCTCTCTTCTGGAACACCTTTATTCTCCAGCTTCCACCTCACTTTCTGCAGGCAGCTTAGATGCACACCGCAGTATTTTTCACAAAAATGCGATTCATCAAGAAGCTATTCCCCTCTTGCTAGATATGGAGAACTGCGCAGATGAAGAGGGGCTGTCTTTAGACTGGATTAAGGGTGTCAGCCAACAGTTTGGAAAACTGTTGAGACGACTGGCAGAAGCGGAAGAGGCTGCTTTCGGGCGGTAAATTAGATTTTTCTGTGTTTGTCAAGGTCAAGTTCTAATACCTTCTGGCAGGGAGCAAACTAGTGTATCTTATTCAGAACCAGTATTCTTGGCCAAAACAGGAAGACGGGGCAGGCCCAGGAAATTGATTGCTCCTAGACTTCTACAGGAGGCTACTAATGGCGCAAGGAGGGTTACTCTTACCAAGCTAGCAAGTTGTCTTGGTATCCATAGACAGACACTCCGCACCCGTCTGAAGGAGAACGGCATTGACTATAGATTCTGCCCTATAACTAACGCAGACTTGGACAAATTAACCAAACGTTTCAAGGAAACAAACCCTGCATCTGGTCTTGGATATGTTATGGGCTTCCTACGACAAAAAGGTTATAGGCTTCAGCGTCAGCGGGTCAAGGACTCCCTGAAAAGAGTGGATCGCCTGGGCTCACGGCTCCGACGAAGACTTACGATTTCACGTGGACTTTATAAAGTTCCCCGACCTCATGCGTTATGGCATCTGGATGGTCACCATAAGCTTATTTTCTGGGGTATAGTTATACATGGCATAGTAGATGGTTATAGCCGAACGGTATGTGTAGTTTTCTGTTCTTTTATTGTTCCTTCTTTACGCTCTCTACCTTCAGGTTGTAGGCTTGCAAGCTAGTTCGAACAATAAGGCTAGCACTGTTTTGAATCTCTTCACAGAAGCAGCTAAGAAATATGGAGTTCCCTCGCGGGTCAGACTAGATAGGGGAGGAGAGAATATTGAAGTCGCCACACTTATGGTATTTCTTCGAGGGCCAAACAGGGCTAGCGCTATGTGGGGATCTTCTACACATAATACCAAAATAGAGCGACTTTGGCCTGAAGTAGGTTCCCAGTTCGCTCGTCAGTGGAAAGCTTTCTTTTTACGTCTTGAGCGCCTTCACGGTCTCAAAAGAGAAGATCCTACTCATATATGGCTTCTTCAAACCCTTTTCCTACCTCTAATCAATGAAGACTGTCAGAAGTTTGTCAGTACTTGGAACTCTCACCCAATTTCTGGTCACGGGCACTACCAAACTCCCAACGTCAGTAAATTATAACCTTCCACTTTCACCTACTCAAACTTAGGTTACTAGGATTTACGCTTTTACGGAGAGCTGAAACATGGACGATATAACCCCCCGGCTTCCTCTGGAGCAGGTAAAGAAGCGGAAATATCTGTAATTGAACAGATACGTCAAGAGCAGGCCACTCATTACCGACACTGTCCAGTTCCCACCCCAAAACACCAATCACCTTTCACGCACCAACCAGAAAAGTTGCAGCTATTTTGTGAAGCTATTGAAGAGTTTGATCGCAGTAATGTAATACCTGCCAATTATCATCTGAGGGCAGAAGAATGGGAAAATGGCGAGTATCCTGCTTTTGAATTTATCAAAACTGGCAAGCGCGGTAGAAAAGAGCTTCGTATTGATCTTCCTCATTCTATCTGGATGCCTAGGGCTATACAGTGGGGACAGTATTTACATATTATGAATCACTTACTGTTTTCCGCTACTTAATCCTACTTACGCAGTCGCGAAAGGTTTCCTTTTGGAGGAAGGAGGTTGGCGCTTAAGTTGCCGCCCACTTGTGTCACGCACAAATCAACAAATCGCTAGAAGTTGGAAAGTAGGCTCAATTTCTATCCACTATGAGCACCTTAGCAGACCGGACAAAAAAGGTTACTGCGAAACAGAAACTTCAAAAGTCTATTTACACTCGTTCTTCCCGTTCCTCCCGTTCCTCTCATGCTTCTAATTTATCCCGTTCTTCTAAACCTTCTCAACGCTCGGAGCCCCTTCCCTCTCATTTGCAGCCACCTCCTCCTTCCCAGATCTCTCAGCCCGCCAAGGCTGAGCGCAACAGCTCAAAAACTGAAAGAATCTTGAACGCTGCTACAGACATACAACGATCTGTCCGGCCTAACAGCGTTGTAATCAAATCAATGCTGGAAAGTGCTCAAGAGGCTTCTGACGGTTTAAAGAATAGAAGAAACACACAGGCTAAAGCTAAAGAAGTAATATTTACCCTTCTTTTTACTTTGGTTGCTATTCTTACCTTTACCCTCATAGGAAGATGACGAGAATGAAAATACATTTCAAGTGGGGGCTTTGTACGTTATTCCCGTGGGCGTTCAGTTAACCGTAAGTCCCAATTACTCTTAAACTGTTTATTTAGTCATTTGTTGTACAGAGAAATCGGAATAAGCTAGCTCTTGATGATCAATGTTTTGCGCTCAAAGGAGGTTCTTCTGGCTTGAAAATGAGTCCCCGTTTCTATAACGAGCTGGTTCAATCAGGCCTAGGTGCCCAATCTCAAAGGTTTAACGACCCAAGCCTTACATTCAAGAAGTCTATGTCGTTTGATGATATTATAACCCACCTTTGGCAGGCTCTTCCGTTACTCATGGAGCACCTGGACGACGACAATTCTGTGACAGCCAATCCTTTCCATCCCACTATCTATAGAAACGATGAACACAAGTTTCTGCCGAATCTTCTATTTTTTGTCAAGGAGGGGAGGCGTCTGGAGCATGTCGGGAACCAGCTTTTGTTCCCAAATGGACGTGATCTATTTGAGCTTTGCTTCAAAAGTAAAAAGACCGGCCTTCACGACAGGATCCTCTTCTTGGGTAGGTACCTATTTTCCTGGATAGAGTATCCACCTAGTCTCAATTTCTGTCGTAGCAACACTGGAGACTATTCCAACCTCCACTCAAAGGTTGTGGCGCACTGCTACAATTTTTTCCCGAGAGCAAGCCATAGATCCGGTAGTAGCTCTGGAGAGATTGAAAGCTCAAGATGAGACCGCTAAGAAAGATAGGAAAGGGAAGGGAAAGGCTTTATTTTTCCTAGCTTCTGACTCTGGATCGTCAGAATCTTCAAATGAGTTGGAGCCTGAATCACCTGCAGCTCTTTCATCAACTCAAAAGCTCAAGAGAAAGCGTAGTTCAGTTGATGATGAGGCTTTGGAGGAAAGAAACAGTAAAAGGCCCAAAAGTGAGTTGTATTGTTAGGAATATTACACGAACTTTTCTTACCTGTTTAGCTTCTCTAGCTAAGGAGTACATAGAGATTTCTGACCTGGATGAAAATAGTGCCAAGGTTAGATTCACAGACTCTGAGGATGAAGAAGAATCTTCAGAAGGAGTAAATGATCACGGTACAGTTCACTTCAGTTTTGGTGTTTACTATCTCTAAATATATTTCTGTTCAGGTGACCTGAAAGACCCTGGAATTGAAGACAGAGGTGACGAGGGTGATGAAGGTGATGAGGGTGAGGACAGCCCAGGCTTTAAGAAAGTTGAAGGTAAAATTATTTGATTCTGGGAAGAGTGAGACAAGGGAACTTATAAGTTACGTAGTGAGCCTCAAAGATGAGTCTAGACGTTCCAGTTCTAGTTCTGGCTCCTCGACTGCATCCTCAGAGCAAGATGCTGGTAAGGACAGAGTTGACGAGGATGATGATGACGAGGAAGAGGATAGTTGGGACAACTGGACTTAGGCTTTGAATGTTCTCATCTGATTGCTTGCTTTACTACTTACTCCCTCACAATCCCTTATACCCTTGTTAGCGCTAGCGATTCCGGACAAAGGATTCTATCTCCAAGTCACTCTTTATTGCACTTTCTCTTCTAGCATTATCGAACCTACCGGCTTATACACAGTACATTCCTGACTCATTACAATGAGCTTAATAGTATTCAATGTACAGAAAATGTTACTTAGGCTTGAAATATTCAGCTTACAGTCGTAAGTTATATATCATGGAGAGGTTTAGTTTTCAACAAAGCTACCCACGTTTTCAACGGGGGACTATTTTTTACGCTACTTCTTGGAGTCTAAATTACATTTTCTGTGGCAAATTGTTCTTTTGTGCTGAACAAAAAGAATTTGCGCTGACAAGAAAAAGTCGGGCGCACCGTGAACAAGTCGCGCTCATGTGAAAAAGTCGGGCTACCGGGGAAAAATTCCCGCGGATTTTTTCGCCACTTGGACTAGCATATAACCTCAGCTCAATCCCTTCAAAATATCTGCTGCCATATTTTTGTACATAACCTCGAGATAAAACCCACATTTTCGCCTCGAGGAAATCGGCTCCGCTACATAACAAATATTTACTGCTTTGGCTTCGGTGCGCGTGATCGCACTGTCAGTCTCGGTATTGTGTCACGACTCACGTCCATCTTCCAATTTCGTATGAACATCCTATGAACACTGAACCGGAATCTGAGCTTCCAGGTCCTGCACCAATACGACGCCTTCAGGAATCACTTATCAATCGTATTGCTGCCGGAGAAGTCAGCGTACAAATTTTGACGTCGATTGCCTTGTTCCATTAACTGAGTTCCTTAGATCATACACAGACCCGCCTCAGCTCTCAAAGAATTGCTAGAAAACTCTCTCGATGCAGGCGCAACGACAATTCGCGTAACAGTGAAGGATGGAGGGTTAAAGCTACTGCAAATTCAAGACAATGGATCTGGAATTCGCGTGCGTTATCAAATCTCTTTTAACCTTTGCTTCTAACTTCTAACGCGTCCTGTGACCAGCAATCGGATCTCCCAATACTTGCTGAACGATTCACAACCTCGAAACTTTCAACATTCTCTGATTTGACGAAATTGACTACATACGGGTTTCGGGGAGAAGCCCTTGCGTCTATATCTCATGTTGCTCATCTCTCTGTGGTGACAAAGACAAGGACGTCGACTTGTGCGTACAAGTAAGTCACTGCTTTTTCAAGATTATGTCTGTTGACCAGCTCTTCAGAGCGCTGTATTCTGATGGGAAACTTGTTCCTGCTCAGCGTGGACAGTCCGAGGAGCCGAAACCTTGCGCTGGGAACGACGGCACGACTATCACTGTACGGTCTCTGTCAATTATTTACTACAAAACTCTGTTAGCTCCTCTTAGATAGAGAATCTCTTTTTCAATACCCCGACCCGTCTATCCGCGTTGCGAAATACATCTGAAGAATATGCTCGTATTCTCGATGTGCTTACCAAATACGCGATACACAATCCCAAGGTTTCATTCATGTGTAAAAAGGTTTGAGAAAGTATGCTTGAACGACTCGGACGCGACTCATTATTCGTAGGCTGGTTCATCTTCTCCGGATCTTAGCACTCCATCGGCTTCTACAACTAGACATGCAATAAAGATGTTATATGGCCCTAGTATTGAAAAGGACTTACTTCAAATTGCAGTTAATGAAGACATGAAGGGTGAAGTCTCTTGGAGCTCGGAAGTGTATTTCACAAACGTCAATTATCAGGCAAAGAAAACCATTTTTTTGCTATTCATCAACTGTGCGTCGCCTGTTTCTCTCCATCTCGAATTTTCTTTGTTTAAATGGGCTGTTCTAGCTCGATTGGTTGAGTCTACACGCATTAAGCGTGCCATAGAAAACGTCTACACCGGCATACTTCCTAAAGGCGCCTCTCCTTTCGTGTATTTAAGGTCTGTCTCTATGTTTGATCTGACAAGTCTTCTTACAGTTGGTGCAGCCTGAAAATAGATCCGCGGTCGGTGGATGTTAACGTGCACCCGACGAAGAAAGAGGTGCATTTTCTCAATGAGGAAGAAATCACAACACAGATATGTGACACCCTGCAAGCGAAGATAGCAGAAAAAAGCCATTCGCGTGTGTTTGAATATCAGGTGAGATTTCACTGCAATTATCATTCCTATGCTTCCTCAATGAATGAGGATAGACTTTATTGACAGGGGGGATTGAATCCTCTAGCCAAAGAAACGACAAGAAACGCAAAGAAGCTCCGACTGAAACACAAACCATCAACGATGAGGAACGCGAGGAAGTGTCTGCTTCTTTGTCAGGACCTAAGAAAGTCTATTCACACCATAAAGTTCGGACGTCACTGCAGGATCGTACACTCGACTCTATGTTCCCTGTTGTGAACCCTAGCCAAATAGGCAAAGGACCAGCCGAATCCAATCCGCAGTCACAGTCGTTGCCTCGATCTAGGGAGGTGAAGGAATCGGAGTGCTTTCTAACCTCAGTAACCACTCTCCGGAATCGGATACTGAAAGGCAAACACAAATGTAAGCGTTAGCGCATGGGTGTATAAATTGAGCTAACAGGCTGCTAATCACAGTGCTCACTGAAATTCTTGAGAAACACACCTTCGTTGGCATCGTCGATGTCGATCGCTGTCTTTCCTTGATCCAGTATTCGACCAAGCTGTATCTTGTAAACCATGGCGCATTAGCGTAAGTGGATTCTGCCACCGCTTGAACTCCTTGCTGATCCTTTCCGTTATTTTAGCGAAGAACTTTTTTATCAACTTGGTCTCCGCCATTTTGGCGATTTCAGTCGATTAAAGTTGGAACCGCCTCCGTCATTACGAGAATTGGTCAAAATCGCAGTTGATGCGGAAGAAATATCCGAGGAAACTTCATTATCTAAACCTGATATTGTTGACGTGAGTGCTATTTCCATCGTTCCATGGCGATTATGACGTTGATGACCTGCAGCGGATCGTCAAAATACTCCACTCCAGACGCTCAATGCTCTCCGAATACTTTTCGCTGACTATCTCAGAGGACGGTCTTGTCCAGAGTCTTCCGCTTATACTCCGCGATTATACCCCGAATTTGGACAAGTTGCCGTTGTTCCTAATGCGTCTTGGACCGCAGGTCAGTCACACAACATCTACATATGGTCTATCCCTCACATTTCCATGACCAAAGGTGAACTGGACGTCTGAAACTGAATGTTTCGAATCTTTTCTCCGCGAATTAGCATATTTCTACGTCCCCGGACCAATATCCAGTGACCCTTCTATACCGACTGCTGTGAGTGAGACAGATGAGGACATTGCTGGAAGTAAAGCAGAAAGATGGCAGATCCAACATATATTGTTCCCTGCTATGCGGCGTTACTTAGCAGCACCCAAATCTCTACTGGATGTGGACGTGGTCCAGGTTGCTAGTTTGCCGGACTTGTACAAGGTTTTCGAAAGATGCTGATGAGGACCCGAGGATGAACAAGGGTAAGCATATGTATGATATAGCAAAGTAAAATAACGCCAAAGCTAAGTCCTCATTCGTAATAGATTGAATAAATCTAGTTTTCTATGTGATACTTAGGTGGATGGGGTCACCGGGGATACATACTATAGAGGAGGGCTATCACAGATACATATTACATATTACTATGTATCATTGCTATCACAAACTATTTCGTCCAGCGGGTGCGCACTCGGATACAAAGTCCACCGGAGTAAGCTCTTTCGCCCGTTCCCGAAATGCAGTCAAGGTGCAAAACTCGGGTGATCCAGGGAGATGTTTGCCTTCCTCAGCGCACAGCGGTAATACCATGTTCTTGTTTTGATATCTCATACGAATATCTACACGTACGAAGAAATTGTAAAAGGGAAAATAACATCATATCGGGAAAGGAGCTTACAGTGCTCTGGACCAGCTTTCGAACGGAAGGGAGACATGAGATTGTTGAAAATTGAAAGACCATTTTTCACTGAGGTTGATTTAAAGAGCTCGAACGTTATCGAGCTTGTGAATTGAGGCCATCTGAATGATAACAACGATAAGTTTTTGCGTCAAAAGACAGTGACGATCAAACACCAACTTGTCGTCAAAAACATCTAGTGTAGATGCAAGCCCGGCTAAAGCAGTGTCGTGCGTGCTATGAACGAGGATCTTCAACGGGTCTTTGTCGCCATGTGCTGCTTTATGTTGCATTTTGGTCGAAAGGTCGTCCAATAATCTGCCCATGCCTAAACGGCGGACTTCCTCAGTTTTATCTGTCGAAAGCTTCCAAGTCAGGGAGTCGTTCATGGGCAGGGTTTAAATTTCGGAACTGGAAGACAATCTCACACCCTAAATGAAGAATGTCAGTCCACATAACTTGTAGAATAAGGTGATGACTTACCTGCAAACCATTCTGCTACCACTGCCTTTTCCTAGTGTTGATATAGTAAGGAACACCTCGAACCACTGCACCTACGAGAAACTTACAATAATATCTATGACACCCTTTTCTTCGAACTCTGAAGGGACCTTTATATTATGTGCGGTCGCTGCTCGGATCTGGAAATATGACGGAGTATTGAGTAGCATGTACACCTATATCTTGGACAAACCGCACCGTATCCAGGATTCCTGATGCTCTCGGTTTCCCGTCTATGCGAACGGGGTGTCCATCTATATATCTCGATATCTTCTTGTCTAAGGGTTCTAAGGTATGATTATATGCAGAAGCGGCGGCTGCATACACGGGAAGAGCCTAAATGAGCTCTTTGTTTTAAGAACCAGTCTTACTGCACCCACCTTGAGCGAAGCCAATGAGGAGGATTTCCAGACGTTTACAAGAACCAGCATTTCCAAGAAGATTTTCATCCCGCCCATTTCTGAGGAGTTGATATCAGACATATAGGAACGGTGTACAATGTACGTATTGGATGGGATCATACCTAACGAAGATAGAAGGTATAGCTTCGGGATGACATTTCGAGCTTGGGTATAAGCCGTGCACAATTTGCTGAAGCGACTCAGTCGTCCTTGGAACGTTGGTAGTTCTGGTCAGAGCACAGTCAGACGGAGGCATTGAGCTCTGATGACGGATAGTACCGAAAGTAAACCGCTTCAGCATTCTGCAGTGAATCAGGAAGAAAGCCTAGCCTGTGAGGGCTGTTAAACACGGAGTCTGACATACACAGGAGGACTAGACATTACCTTTCAACGTAGAGCTCACGAAGAGAGGTTCCAAAATTATACGTTGACTTCGTAGAACGTTAGACGTTCATAATAGTGGCGAAGGGAGACCGGATACAACGTACCTTTCTCCCAAGGTCGGTGAGTTCACCTAACAGACTGAATAGATAGAAGAGAAAACGTGTTATTATCTGCGTGAATGATTGAGTATTTCTGAAACGGACCATTGACTCTCGTTATGAGTCCCGTCAGCGCGCTCGACTACCCTACGCGACTGCTGAAATTCGTCCATCCCATTACCGATTCCCGGAGCATTTACAGAAGCTTGAAATCTACGCGTTGTCTTGCACATCATCCAGTGCTCCGGAAGGTTGGCAGGAGGCCCAGCAAGTCGAACGCCAACGGGTGTTCTTTCGCCTGAAAGAATATTTCTTGGTAAATCGTGACAAAATGATCATATCCACACGCTACACACCATGCCTGACATAGATATGGACTTGTTCAAGTTCAAGTCCAGAAGGGGCAACGGAATATTTCCCTATATCCAATGGAGAATAGGACTTGGGACTTTCTGCCATTAAGACGTTCTGCTCGGTATAGTGTTGTGAAATTTCGGATTCGAGGAAGCTGGCGGACGTGGAACTAAGTATGACAGATAGAATAAAAGCCTGGGCTCGGAACCTGATCCTCATAAGTTAGGGACTTCTTGGTTACTATACTTCGTGGAGGAGCTCGAGAAGGATATGTCGCGCGGGAGACGCCAATTCGATTACTAATTACAGCGCTTCCCAAGTTTCTTGGCCCAAACTTTCTTCAACGTCGTGGTTTTTGCAGATGCACGATTCTCAGACTGAGTCCTTCCTACTTCACTATTTCCTACATAGAGACTGTCCTCCTTACGCTCTATTCCCGAGTCACCTTGCTTGCAAGGTCTATTGCACTCCGGAATTTAGATTGTTTTGTGCAGACACATTTTGGTCATGTTTAGGTCTGTTTGTTTTGCCAAAGTTGGTTCAAAAATTGCCAAACACCACTAATATTTCTCTCTCATTATTTGTTTCCATTCTCATACTACTTTATAGCTTCTACTTCACCCCTAGCCACATTATTTATGTATCATATCTATTGCTCAATGTATTTTCTAATGTGTTCCTCCTACCAGTCCTCCCAAAATAATTATGTTCATTTCCACTTTCACTTGCATTAGCCACATGGGATTGTGGGCCACTGCATTGTGTGCATGGCATAAACTTGGCTGGTTTTTTCTAAAATAACATTGCTTATTGAGTGTATTACATTTGGGCACCCTTTGGGTGCCAGCTACTCACATGAAAACAAAGATGCACAGTTGCATCAAAGGATATTGCAGCTACATCTGAGATAATTTTGCTACACCTGCAATTATGAGGCTGGAGTTTACAGAAGTATTGTTGTTATTGTTAGCATAAGTTGAACTCAGTTGTTATTGTAGCAACTGAGGTGGGTTGGCGCCACCAACTGTGTGATCTATCTCAAACTGTACAGTATCAGGTAATAATGCCATCTCTTGGTTATATGGTCCTTGAGAGGCGGCCAGTATATATGGGAGTTTGACATTCAGTCAGTATTAGTGCTGCTGCAAGGTCAAGTTACCTTGGACCCTGAGCTTGTCTTGCCTTGCCTTGGTTACAGATTAGAAAGGCAAGTTTTCAAGCTCTGATGGGCTTGAGAACTCACAAGTGACGGATCAACTTTTCCCGGCCAGGAAATATAAAGGGAAATGTTGGGGAGAAATTGCTGATTTCCCCCAAGTAATTAAATACTTTTCCCCAAGGATATTGATCAGATTTCACGTAAAGAAACCAAAAAGTTTCCCGTTTGATCGCAAGAGAAATTGTGTATTTCCCACAAGAGAAAGATATTTTTTCCCATAAAGTAAAGATAATCTTTCGCGTTAGGTAAATTTCACATTGCGCGCTTGTAAAATTTTCAATTTTATCGTGGCGAAAACAAATAGGTTCAAGCACCCATCTTAAGTGGCACCTATTAGAGCTATCAGTCGCAGGATCCTGAGTAATCTCAAGATCGGAAGATGCTGCTCGATGTTTTTCAATACCAAAGATGTTTTCAAATGCTTTCCTTTTCCGTGCCATGGCTAATTTTAGCTGTAGTACTGCTAGCTTCGAGCGGCTATATTACAAGCTCACGTAGACACTTGGTCACGGTGTGCTTGGACCTATTTGTTTTCGCCATGGTAAAATTGAAAATTTTACAAGCGCACAATGTGAAATTTACCTAATGCAAAAGATTATCTTTATCATGTGGGAAAGATTATCTTTCTCTTGTGGGAAATACAAAATTTCTCTCGCGATCAATTGAATATTGATCAAATGGGAAACTTTTTGGTTTCTTTACATGAAATCTGATCAATATCCTTGGGGAAAAGTATTGAATTACTTAGGGGAAATCAGCAATTTCTCCCCAACATTTCCCTTTATATTTCCCGGCCGGGAAAAGTTGGTCCGTCACTTGTGACTTGCCTTAAACTTGCTTCAGTTTTGGTCCTGCTGAGTCAGATGAGGAGTTTTTCAAGAAATCTATGTAGTTGGACTGAATTAACCTAGTATCAACCCTCAGGCTTTCTTCAACTATTTGCTTTTCTATATATTATATTATTCTAAACTTCTATACTAAGGAATGGCTCAACTCTGCACTGAAGGACCAAGTTCTGGAGCCTGAGATGTGCTTTCTCTCTATTTTTTTTCACTCTCATGAATTCTGGTTTGCAAGATTACATTTTGCCATGGTTAACAAGTTATATGGCACTCCATGCAAAACCAATTTCCTTTTATGGTAGGAGTTTCTCCTTATTTGGACAAAAGTAATACTGTGTTGAATTGTATTATTTCTTGTGACTGATATGGGATATTTGTTAAGATCATGTACACTGTGAAGCTGTGCCAGAGGCCACAAGGTGTCTAAGGGCGGAAGGTCGAATGGGACAGTAGTGAAGTTATTAACAACACTGCCGTTACACCGCTAGTCCCTGGAGATCGAGAGTAGAGAAGGAAGAGAGCCAGAAGCAGCCAAGTCATAGCGGCGGTATTGCCGATGACGAGGAGCAAACCAAAGGACATCAAGGTCTTGAGGTTAGAGTAAGGAGAACTTCAAGGTGATGAGCCTGAAGACTGAAAGGATGAGAAATGAAGATCTAAGTTGATCTAAGTTGATAATTGAACTGAGGAACTACAGTATTATACAGGTAGTATTTATACATACAGTTTGGCGTATCGGGGCAGAGCACCAGTCTAATTACTAGGAGCTATATGTGTAGTACCTGCAGGGTAGAGAATAAGACAATAAGGGAGAGCCTAGGTAGAAAGGGAATGTGTAGCGAGAAAGAACAAAAAGGATGAGATTACAATCAACGGTAAATCTCAGAATACCAAGCAGCGGCATGGGGCACTGAGGCATGGACTTGACACCCTCTGTAGCCACCCCAAATTGTACTGTCTTGCTACCCTTTGAACATCATGTCCCTTGTCACAGTGCCATTGATGCTTTCTTCAGATACTGTTCCTGTGGCTCTCAAATATGCACCATTTGCAGTCAAAATTTCTGTGTATTGTTCTTCAATGCTCAATACCTCCCTGCAATGTCAACTATCCCCCAAGACACTCCTTTTCTTATGTGCCCTGCAACCTCCCCTCCAAAATTTTATTCCATTGAATTTAATACTCCTCTCAACACACATATCCATATGTGATGCCTCCACTGCATGTGCAAAGACAGTTTTTTGAGAATGGAAGACAAGGCATTGAACACATTGGATTGTGGCTGGCATTGCAGTGGGCTGTGGTGCACATTCACTGATGCAGGTACTGGCAGACATCTGTGGTCAAAAGACATTGTCAGAGATGGTGGACTGGGCAAAGAAGTAGAGGGGTTGGTGTTGGAACAGTAGAACACCATGTCAAAACTGTAAATGCCCGCAATACAATGTATGTACCGATTATCATGCTTCTTTGTATCTGTAGTACTCGCAATAAAATTATTATCTTTGTCTGATCCTTATGTAATGAAAAGCATCTGGTACCAAGCAGGGTGCCATCCACGACAGTGGAGCCTAGTCTGGATTTGGATATTGGAACCTTTCCAGCAATATGAATATGTACAGTACACGACTGAGTTCCGAATATCTGTCCTGGTTACGGTAGTAAAGCCGCGGAGGTCTTGCTTTGTCATCAATGGTCCTTCAAAAAGCACTATGTTGCACTCAGGTTGCACTCAGACGCAATTCAGGCAATTTCTCGCCCTAAAAGTTGGAACACTGCTACAGTACTAAATTATATGGTTCTCTGTACACCGAGACATCGAAGACTCGCTATCACGAAGCTGCCGCCACATAAAGTCGAGCAATAACCTTTTGAGTTTAACACCATCGACTTCTCGCGGTTCTGGCACTTTGAAAAGGTAAACCTGTTGTCTCATTCTCCTTATCCATCAACTACCTTCACCCCTGCTCCCACTCCTGTGAACATGAAAGTGATGATTTTTCCATTCTTTTTAATCGCTCCTTTCCTGGGCATCGTCCTGCCATCATTATCCATTGCCAAACACGATAGGTCCCTTAGGCGTTTAGGCAAACGAGAACTCCAAAGCAAGGTCAAAACCGACGCATATAATGCCACTGGTCATGCTTTCGGCGACAACGTTCACCAGAAACGGGACGGGACAAAATATGTTTTCATGCACCATGTATGTTTGTACTGATTCGTCTATGCCAAATATCGGTTGACTGACACGACAACCCCTGTAGATTGTGGGAAGTAGGTCTTCGCTCATTAAAACTTGGTGATCGATTTTCTAACTTGTTCGATAGATACGTATGTGTCTGTATTCAAGTTCGCCGTACCACTCTTTTCACACTCCATCCCTTTCAAGTTACGAGTATACTCGTGACTCCTGGGCGACCGATCTTAACCAGATACGAGCCAAGGACATGTAAGTATCCTGTTTCATGATCCGGATTTTGTGTCATTTATATATCGTCTTCTTTGGTAATAGTGACGCTGTCGCGCTCAACGTCGGACGTGATTCCTGGCAACGGAGTCGCATCGAAGATGCCTATAGCGTTGCTGCCGCGGTAGGCATGTCCGTGTTCATATCTTTCGATTATACCTCTTTCGACTGCAGTGTGGACAACACTATAAAATGGGTTGATTCATTCAAAGGCTTACCAGCACAGTTCAAAGTCAATGGTCGGCCAATGATATCTAGCTACTCCGGAGAATGTTTAGGCCCAGATGGCTGGCAAACTATACGTGCTAAGACCGGTGGTTTTCTGATGCCATTCATCTATGGGAATGACGACCAGCAGTTCAAGAAGGGTTCGAGTTATGGATTTTTGGATTCCTGGTACTGGTATGTTTCTGGTCTCGTTTTCCTGAAATATACCAACAGTTCCGTTAGCTGGGGTTGTGCTTGGCCTCAGGGTAATTATAACAAGACAGTCCGTTCGTTTCTCCTCGAGTTTGTACATTTAATGACTTGACTGCTCTACCCATAGACTGGTGATGATCACTATTGTGCGTTGGCCGCACCTTCTACTCCACCTTTCGTTCTAAACAAGATGAGGTGTGATCGGTTCCATAGACATGGACATCTTCGAGAACAGATATGCCACCACCGTCAGTAGTTGGTTGTACACCCATTATAACTACAAGAACTTTTATCTTCGCGGTGACGAATGGCTACTTATCACTCGATGGGAACAGCTTATATCTATGCGGGACCAGCTGACGTTCGTCGAGATGGTGACCTGGTTCGTGCATCACTTGCCTTCAATCTAGTATCTTCGACCGACGATTGCACCGCGCTTGGCTTGCAGGAACGATTACGGTGAATCTGATTAGTATGTCTGACTATTTTGCACTTGTATAACCCGAATATCTCTGACAATTGTTGTCTGTAGCTTCGGTCCTGGGCCTTCTTCATCAGATTTGCAACCCTATGGTAAATAGGCATTCCCCGATCGTTTTGGGCCGCGATTAATCTCAAGTGAACTACCGTAGGTACCACCTGGGCTGACGGCTTTCCGCATAATGGGTTCTTCGACCTTTCCGCTTACTATATCGCCGCTTTCAAGACAGGCACGTACCCAAAAATCACGGTAAGATACCTTAGTATACCGGGCTCGCTGTATGCTGAACACGCAACCGTAGAAAGACACGATTTACTTCTGGCTACGCCCTCATCCAGCTGGTATCAATGCGAATAAGGACCCGTTGCCCAAGCCTGAAGGTTGGGATTGGACTTCGGTGAGCTCTGCAATCCGCATCGATGACTGTGATCCTGATTTGATTGGGGTTAGGACACTCTTTGGGCAGCAGTGTTCTGCTCGTCGACTTGCAACGTCACCCTTCAAGTCGGAGCTTACTCGCAAGATTTCAATAATTTGCCTCACGGGGTCAACAAGATTAGTATTCCGTTGAAAGCTCTCGGGTTCGTAACAGTGAAGATGAGCAGGAATGGCCAGCAGGTAATCAACCATACTCCGAGTGATTTCCAGTACCGGGAATCCATAGATCACTGTTCGTATTTTCGTGCTTGATACGTGCTGTCCTTGCGTTAATCGTCTGTCTGTTCAGACAATTATAACGCTTATGTTGGCTCTGCCAGTACGTCGTCGCCAGTCTCAATCCGACTGCTCTGCTAACTTTCTTCATTTTCAGGCGCCAATATTTAGAACTGCCAAAGTGGTCTCCCCGGACCTCTTGCCTTTCATCTCCCTTTCGCTTTAGAAGCTAAGGTCTTCACCTGTGTAGCCACTTGAGTTTATATATTTGAAACATACCAGTACCACGCAGGAGACGAGAGCCATTAAGATCCAAGCTTGACAGTCAACACCTCTAAAAGATTCATCAACCTCTGCGTTTCGTATTCCACTCGGTTACTGTTCCCAGATTGAAAAGCCTCCGCAAGCGCGGGGAAGGGGGTCCCTTCATATCCTAAAATACTTTGAGATTAGCGTTGACTAGATAATTTTGATGCACTTTTTTGCCCTTGCCTTGTTCTCTATCTGGCCCAACAATCAAATTTTTGAACCATGGTCTCTCTGGAAGTCCTTCATCTGACAGAAATCCGCGCTCAAACATCATTGACTTTTTATTGGCATTGGCAACCCGAATATATGCCTGCCAGATTTCTTCCTCGAACCATTTCAAGGAGGTCTGGCTCACAAACTGCCCGAGCCAGCCGGAGTAAGGATGGTAAGGCCTGGCATACAAACCAGGAGTTGTTGGGCCAAAAATACGTGAGCTGAACGAAGGGGACTTCCCGACTATGGTGTCGAAGAAGTTGAGTCGTGATTGGTTCTTTTCTTCTTCTAGCTCTGCAGAAGCTGCTCGAAGTCTAGCGATAGATTTACGTAGTACGTGAAGGCTTTTGGAGGCGTTGAATCTGGTCTCCACGCTGCGTTCAACCTTTTCAATCAACTCCGCGAGAGCCAACGTGAACGAGGCCCACCTTGTTAGATAATCATCCAAAGCAGAGGCTCCGCGCGAAATATTTAAAGGAAGTATCAGCGAGTCTGCGAGGCGAAGGGTCATGAGTCCAAGATGCCTTGCGACTGCTATCTGTAATCTACTGAGCACATGAAGTTGAAAAAAATAGTATAGACATTACATGTCGGTGGAATCCCGGATCTCCATATATCTGCATCCATCTGTGAGAGTCGTAAATGGAGTGATAATGGTAGGGAATATCGAATTCAGTGACACCCTTGAACATCTGGTCGCTTGCTGCAATCTATGTATGGTCAATGACCTTTACTATGGGAAACATACTGAACGCTTACTCCCAGTCGAAGCAAAAACACAGCATGATCACTTCCAAGGCCTAACATTTGTATCCCTGTCGCGTTCGGCCGGGAGTCTAGCGCTTCGACAGAGTCATGCTCGAAGCCTCTATCATGCCTGGCGTCCCATAAGGTCTTCCCTTTTACAGTAGGATGGGGTATATCCTGCGCCGTGCGTTGTATCAAGTCACTGAGTGATGGCGTGCCGTAAATGAGCCATCTTGGACCGGCAGCAGAAATGTCGACGTTGAGATAAGCCACTGCGTATCGAGAAAGCCATTCCCCAAAATCCTCACCATACTCAGTACTTCCTACTAGGCCAGCCTATACAGATCATTTGGATATTATTTTTATCCACAGGGAAATGACGTACCTCCTCTGCATCCCAGCTAGTGAATAGGATGGTCCGGAGCGGTTTCCATCCTGTACGAAGAAGCGCCCCAAAAGCCCGAACGACTTCTAACAACGATACAGTGCCGCTGACGGGATCCGCAGCGCCTAAAATCCAAGCTTTTCGGTAGGCGTAAGCTGCATTGTACTGGCACCGATATGGAGGAAGTCCTACCGTCTCTGTGGCACCCTAAAACTACAACTTCATCTTTGATGTGACCAGGAATAGCTGCCATAGTATTCCATATAGGGGCGGGAGCGCGGTCAACTTGAGAAAGATATTCTATCACTTCTTTGGAAAAAGTTTGAAATTCAAGAATGCGAACCTCGGTTAATCAATCGCACAACTTTGCTACTGATAGAATCATTGAACATTCCACTTTCCTCCATCAAGGCTTGGGCAGTCTTCCAGCTGATAGGAATACTTAGAATAGAAAGAACGTTACTTGGCTCTTGTCGAGAAGCATTTTGATAAGCTGGATAACCTGGTGTAGATATGTCCCCTGGGTATATATACAACATATGCGCAGACCCTCGCTGGACGGAAGATGGATTTCGGGCAGGTCCATGAGGATAGATCGCATACTTGTTCTGGGCAGTGACGCGCCCATCATCACGGATATCAGTATACATGAGTAGCCCAATGGCACCAGAGAATTGAGCGTTCTCGACCTGCGGAGGTTAGCGGTTCTTGTGAACAAAGAATTCCAGGACGCTAGGCTTACTTTGATGCCCCGATAAACTTCCCCATATCTAGCTAAAGCAATTTTTCCAGTCAAGTTGACGCCTGCTGAAAGAAGGGCTTCAAAGTCCTGAAGAAAAATCAGGATCAATATTGAGTGATTAGAGAATTTAGTTTTGCCTGCTTGGTTCCATAATTCACGTACACTAGCTGGAATTCCATGCAAACATGAATGAATAATTATGGATGCGAACAAGGTGATTACATACCTTTCCCTCTACCATGCCATCCGCGCTGTAATAATGCCAAGTGGGGACATCGTTTTGAGAATTATAAGCGTCTTCATCCAAGGGATCTCCTTCCTCAGCTAAATTTGCAGCCCACGTTGTCTGACCATATTGATCTAAAACCTCTACGTCCTGTTGCTTCGGGGTGTCAAGATCAGGATAATAAACATCTATCCAAGCAGTCGGTTGGCTGACACGATCTTTTGCAGTCAGTCGAAGAGTCGCGTTACGTGATTCTGGTGAACCGGCCTGAAAGATGGACTCTGCAATACGGGAAATTCCCAGTTCGTCTTGGAAGATCTGAAGCACCCTCTTTGCAAGAGTCGCATCACGTGGGGATCCGGGGGTATGAGGCCTCTTGGAGAATTCCTTCGAAAAATCTCGAGCTGTATCGCGACTGGGAATCGACCTGGTGGACAATCAACGATTTGAGATTGAGGTTGAGGAGCAGACGTACAAAAAGAGTGGTTCAATTTCGGTTCTCCTGTTTGCAAAGTCACTAGAGGTCGTCAATAATCCTGAAAGGCAGAATCCTATGATGATCAAGCCGACGGTCAGGCATAGAAAACGGTCTCGCAGGTGGCTATGGTCCTTCTCGAAATTCTCCTGTCGTTTTTCGGTCCTCATATTGATCCTGTACTATCAACATTCGAGAAGATATATAACAATTTCGGTTTGAATGGATAGAGAAGCCACCAGAAGTAAAGTTTTGTCATGGAAGGAGGTCCGTTACTTGATTACAATACCATTTGAGAAAAATTGTATTGTAAGTACCGTGTCCGTGTCAAGCTTCAGGAGAACGGATTCGGGATTGAGCTTAACTGTTCACGGAAAGTTATTCAAACCGCTTCCGAGTCAGCGCGCTGGATGACTAAGCTAAAAGATGGCTTTCGTTCAGTCCACGCTGTCTGTGCCAACTTCACAGCTACAAATATCTCAAAATGTCTTCAACTCAACGAGAAATGTAGTCAAATGCTTGCCGGTGCAAAATCCTACCAAATCTTTCTGGATCGATTCCCCAGATGCCAATCCGTTGGCAAAGGAAGGAAGTACAGGCCTTCTTCCTACAGCAGCCGATATATGTATCATTGGCTCAGGAATCACAGGTGTTTCAGTCGCCTATCATCTAGCAACTCGCTTTATGGGAAAGGAACCGTTGAAGATTATCCTACTTGAGGCGAGAGATTTTTGTTAGCGATCATCGAGATACTCGGAGTACATAGTTATTGATCAGAAGACAGGCTCTGGGGCAACAGGTGAACTTGCTGCTGTATCCCTCAGTGAAGGTTCTCATCGTGGTTTCCAGGACGGAATGGAGGCCATCTAACACCGAATGTTTTCTTTGATTTCTGCAATTACAAAGCACGATATGGTCAGCAAGAGGCTTTGAAAGCGCTTGAGCTGGAAAATCACACAGCAATGGGTATTTTGGAATTTATATCCTCACAGAACATAGCAGGCGCAGTGGATCTAGTCGCTGGGGGACACCTCACAGCGTTCGTGACCAATGATGAATTTCTGCGTGCGAAGGAAGACTACGATGCTGTCAAGGCAGCCGGCATAGATCTTTCAAATGTGGAGTGGCTAAGTAAGGAAGACATGCTCTCGGTTTGTCTAGTCTTTTCCATTCATAAATCGCCAATTTAAAGCATCATAATGCAGATCTACGGAGTCTCGTTCCCTGGAGCTAGATACGGTGGACACAATCTTTGGCCCCTTAAACTTGTCACACATCTATACAACTTTGCCAAATCGAATCTCTCTCTCTCTCTTCATACCTCTACTCCGGTCAACACTGTCGAAAGGAACAGTGAAACGACTAACTCTCATCGCTGGAAACTTCATACACCGCGCGGTCCCATATCGTGCTCATACGTTGTCCATGCCACAAACGCCTATGCTTCCCATCTCATACCACACCTTCGTGGGTCCGTTGGTATTGTGCCTACCCGGGGTCAAGTCGTGGCCGTCAGGGCAAGTACATCCCTCGATAAACTGAGTGGTAGGCCATCATGGGACGCAAACGACGGTTTTGAGTACTGGTTTCCCCGTCCGGTTGCCTCCAGTTTAGAACATCCACTGTACATCCTTGGTGGGGGTAGAGAGGCGGAATCTCACTTTGCACACGGTGAAATAGACGATTCCAAATCCAACAAAGAAGTAGCACAAGTTCTTAGGGAATTTCTCCCGGGCTTGTTTCCAGGTAAGTTCGAACGAGGAACGGAACCGGAGATGGAATGGGTCAGTTTTCATGCCCTACTTTTACGCCTTGACTCTAATTGAATCGAATTGTTCAATAGACCGGAATAATGGGGTTCACTCAATCCAGGGATCCATTCGTGGGTCCAACTCTTTTGCAGTCTCTGCACCATCTCACCGGATTTCAGGTTGGCCCAGTAGGCGGCTATGATGCTTCAAACACCAAACATTCAAACTTTGATGGCCAGTTCGTTGCTGCTGGATACTCTGGTCATGGAATGCCCCGTGCGTTCGCCTGGTAAATTATTTCTTTTTAGTAGTTCAATGCATTTCACCGTTGAACCTCCTGATTCTCACAGCGCAGAAGTTATCGCATCGATGATATTTGCGGAGTTCCATGGTACAATATGGAACGCTCCGAAGTGGCTGCCTCACCACTTCTTGACATCCAGCTTGGCAGATCAACCAGATGCTTAACTGTAATGTATATGATGCGTTTGAGTAGGCGATTGAGTCTCAGTCCTGGTAGCAGCTGGATTGTATCTGTATCTGTAGTTTGGATTTATGTATGTTCGATGTGGCAGTCGCGTCAAAGACGCGTTTCGACAACACGATCACGTGGTGACCATTACGGCACACCTTAAATTCTCGAGTGGTTGATGATGCCCAATCTTAGCGAGCAACCACGATGTCAGCGCTGCCTGCGACTCCTCAGCGCATAACGTCCCACACTCACTCACACTCTGTCTCTGTCTCCCTTCCTCATGGCCTTTCCCCTGTTTCTCCGTATACACCGCTTTCATTGCGGTCCTTTGCCTCAACGTCATCAGGTTCTTTGAACCCGTCGCCATCGTCGACATTAGCCACGCCTGCTAGTATACGAAACTTGCATAACCATTCCGGGTTCAGTTCTCCTCCAATCACTCGAGTAAAAAAGATCTCCTGGGCTTCACCGTCCCCAGCTGGTCATTCACCTTCGGATAGTCTACCCAGTATTGCGGATTTGGCTCGTAATTGGAGGTCTAGAGCCAACGAGAACGGCATCAAGGTCGCGAATAATCCTAAACAAAGCATAGTTGATGATTTTTCCCTTTTGGATGATGAAGATGGTGTGTCGTCACATCGTTGTTTTTTTTTTTGAGATAACTTACTCACATATGTCCATACAGCCAGTTTTGCGAGCGAACAAGTCTGCGACGAAGATGAAGGTGAGCTCTTCGCAGCAGCCTTTTGTTCTTTGCTTACTGTAAAGCTTTCAAGCGTTGCTACCGGCTCCGTTCATGTCGACTCAGCGACGCCGTGCGCTCTCCCATGCGGGTTTGGTTCCACAGTATTCTACTTCCTCAGACGCGCCTTATAGTGCACCAAGAGCCAGGAATCGACCTCCGCTTGCTCCGCTGTCTCCTGTCACGCGGCGGATGGCACCGTCATCACCTCTTCAGGCACGTAGATCCAGTTTAGTCAATCATCAAAATGTGATGGCCACTCCTCCGCCCAACCGACAGTTGGCGGAACGTCTTCGTCTGAAAGGCAGTCTCACAGATCCTGCGCAACTTAGGAGGCGAGAAGTTTATGACGCGGTATGCTATCTTTTATACTGCATATATGCGCGAGTATTGACATGTTCTACCCAAGGTTCTTCCCCCGAGTGACGTTTCTTTCGACCGCGATCTGTTTGACATTCATGAGGACGAACACGATGAAGATTACGAGCTTGCATACAACTCGTATCGCCACGACCTGTACGACTATCATTATCAACCGGAACCTTCTGTCAGTATGCGCGAGACGCACTCCGATATCGAAGAGGAACAATATGAGGTTGAATATCCAACTCTTCCTCCTCAACTGAAGCAGAATCCAAACCAGTATTATTACCATTTTCAGGAACAGCAACTTCTTCCTCCGTCATATAACAATCATCAGACGATCTACCCCCCTGGACTGGTCCATCCTGCTGCATCTCGTGGCCCAGCATATACTCCCTCGATGGGCCAGGTTCTAAACGTTCCCATGTACCATGACCCCCAACTCTCTCCACAGTATCCGATTCATCAAATCACGCAACTGGCGCCTGCACATATTCCTATGCCACTTTCTCGTACTCAAGCTCTAACTAGTCTGGAGGCCTCCCTTCCCGCATCCTCTAATGCATCTTCTAAAGTCTCTACTCCTGTGCCTGTTCGTGCGCAGATATCAAACGCGATGGCAAACCCTAAATGTTGTTCCATTTGTGCTCGTAGACCTCCTTCCTTGACGCGCCTTGCTATTCTCACCCCCTGCGCACATGCTTTGTGCCCCGCATGCTTGACTAGTGCGCTCAACATCGTGGGTGAAAAGGACATGGAGTGCGCTGGATGCCGTGCCAAGGTTGCCGATTTTAAGCTTGTATCCATTACAGCAGATGAAGGAGTCGCTGAGAAAGTAGAAGATAACTCTAGTTCTCCATCTAAGGCGCAGGAGCCGAAGCAACTCACCCATGATAATCTCCTCTATAATTGCGAGTTGAACGAGAATCAAACATTCGATATTAGTGACCTAGATGAAACCGACTTCTTCAGCGACGAGAATCTGCGAGCAAGCACACCTCCACCGAAAGTAAAGGGCATGGGTCGTGTATTCGAATCAGGCACTGTTTCTGGTGTTGAACAAGCTGCCACAAAGTATCATGATCCCGTTGTGTTAAGAATTGACAACGTTCCTTGGGTCAGTCACCATGTTTTGTAACTCCAGGTGTCTCTTAACATAATCTTTTCTAGGATATTACTCCACCGCGAATCTCTGCTTGGCTTGATCAACCCATTGTTCGTGTACATGTTCTTTTAGATAAAAAGGGCAAGACCATGAGCCATGCGTTTGTCGAGGTAGAAGACGAAATCATAGCAGGCAAAATCCTCAGAGGAGAAGTTCAAGCAAACGGTCTTCGCCGAGGTAGTGTGCTTGGCAAAGGGAAAAGAGCTCGGGGTGTCACTGTGACGAGGAGTTCTCAAGGTGAACTCATGAGCGCCGTACGTATTATTGATCACTATATAGCTATCAATACTTTGCTGATCCCGATTATGTCTTTTTGTATAGCTATTCCCTTCCTGGCTCGGTTCCTTCGATGGTTCCAGGCCTTCTCTCGCTGGTATTGACAACGACCGGGTTGTGGCAGCCTTGGAGAGTGGATTGATGACTGAGAGCGAAGTTGCTTGTTTGCTATATCTCATTCGTTCTCCGGATGTGAGCCTCTAATTGTTGTTCACGGGACCCGTGCTCACTTTTTGATCAACAGGCCCACTTCCTTAAAGTCCCTTCGTTGCCTTTCCACTCCCTTGTCAGCCTATTGGCCAAGTTCCCTGCTGATATTGACTCGAGGGTATTCTGGAGCAGCTCCCTTCGCGATGTCTTGTTCGATGTTGTCGTTGGTAAGACTTTGATTTTCTTGTGAAAATCCGTCGCTCACGGTGACTACAGCTGCCATTCAAGTGCTCATTGCACGTATCGATCAGAGAAAGAATGAAAATGACGATGGAGCGTATCCCTTTGATCTTGTCGACACTCTGATTAAAGTAGCCTCTGCTTGTCAAGGTTCGTTCCTCTCCCTGTTCAGAGTAATTGGCACTTATATGTTTTTTCAGTCTTCACTGCACAACAGAAATCTCAACTAGCCAAATTTTCCAATAAGGAAGAACCTGCTCGTCCGTTGTCTGCCTGCGGTTCTGACTCCGACGCGCATTCTAGTGTTCGAGCGCCTGACCATGCCGACCCTACCGATGCAGATGTCGAAGACGAAGACGGTGAAAATGATCCACAAGGTGATGCTTCCCTAAGTGAAGAATCGCATCCGTCTTCAGATGAGGTTCGCACTCCCAGTAGCACCACTGCTGCGAACAGTTCATCGTCATCATCCCCAGAGATTGATAGCATTGCTTCCGCTCAGGACCATATGCGCGATGATATCGCGAGAGAATTTGGAGTTGAAGCTCAGCTGGTTGAAGCTTTAATCCAACGCCTATCAATGACTCAGCGTTAAACAGCGTTTCCTTTCGACAACCACACCTCGGTTTTCTTGTGTTCCTACTGTGTTTCCTTGCTCTACCTCGCTTTCGTTTGTTTGTTTTCGGTCTTTGGAATCCTCAGTGTTGCATTTCCGTTCCTGAATTGTCCGTATGTATGCATTGTATGCATGCCTTTCTGAAGTACTTGGTAGCCTTGATTGATGGACTCCTCTCCCTATGCTTTCGAAGTTCTTTCGCATTATGAATCCTCCTTTCACCATGGTCCTTTACCGGTTACCGCTCATGTTCTTTCCTCATCCTCACATTACCCTCTTCTCGCTGTCGAAGTGTTTTCGAAAAAAAAAACTTCTTTTCATATCCGTATTACTCGTTAATTCTTAATCGTGCATCAACGTATGCACCAATAAAAGTGGACGAAGAATGATTGCCATCAAAATTGAAACCGAACGTTTTCTTGCAACGGTTTCTAAGCCTCAGTGAAAATCCTGCTCCTACGAGATAGTAGAATCATTCGGCTTAGATCGGCCCGGTCTACTTACAAGCCGGGAAACGCGAGATTATGTAAAACCTGTGGCCGCGGCACTTTAATCGATTTTCATCAGTGACTCGCTCAGGCGAAGCTGGCAACCTGCAATCATTATGTTGAACGTTATCATCATACGACACTCCTGCTTGGTACCTGCTTCTTACTACTAGTACAAGCTGAGCAACTTCTATTTATGGCATTCGTCGAGGGGACTGCGTTAGGCTCAGCATTCATCCTTTGTTGTGAAACTCCATTGTCAGTCCAATTGGTCACCATGATCATACTACTTTTGGCCAGCGTTGGCCCTCGCTTTGGCTGTCCCTCTACTATTGTTCCACCATACCTTAGCCACCGTTGGATGCCATGGACCACATTCTCAATGTTATATAAAGGGCTAGGTTCTTTACTGCTTCACTACCCAACGAATCTTGTCACTTGTACCAAAGGTGTATGCCCAGCTACTTTCCAAGCACAGGAATCACTAGTTTACGCCTCTGCAAGATCCCACAAACTTCCGCCTCTTCTGCCATCCCTCGGCTTCTATCTCGAATAAAGAATCTTGCTTCTCGCTGCTCCCTATCCAAACTTCGGCCGCGCTCGAGATCAATGGCTACCACTACCGTGCCCAGTAGGTCCTCATACAGGACCACACTTCCTTCGTCAAAAGCAATGGTCACCTTCACATCGTTTGGAATTTACAATTTTGACGCTGGGTCTTCGGAAATTATCGGCACGAATGATCCCCCAAACAGGGAACCAACTCATGCTCGCCCCAAGGAGCCTCAATCACGCCAATCTACGCTTACAGCTGCGCATATTCAGGATACTCAGGTATGCATCTGAAGCTTATTTTTTACTCCTCCTAATTTTAATGTTCTGTACTCCGGCCACATAGGACTCGAAACAACATTGCAGTAATCCTCCTGCTCCTGCAAGCCAACTCGCCAAAAAGATTCTTGCTCGGCCTCCTTCTCTAAACGGTCCACCTGGTCCACGCATTCCGATGAAGTTTGTCGTGCTGGCTCCGATCGCCACCGAAGCTGATGCAGAGGATACATCGGACGATTCTGTATCCGATGCTGGGGTTAGTACAAGCACTGCTAGCCTTAGCAGCAGCACTTGTCGAACCAGTGGAGACGACAACTCTGAGATGGACGAGCCGACTTTGAGGCCTTTGACGGTCCCTCCTTGGCATATGAAGTCCAGGCGTCCGAATGTTTGCGCCACTGCCGCCACGAGTCTGCAGTGAGTTCCATTTTCAGTGGACTCCTTGTCCACTCTGACCACCCTTTCCCTTGTAGACCTCACCCTCCATACACCGCGCTGGATGGACCAATGCGTTTCCCGTTCTAGTACTGTATTTATATCTAGTGGGTTATCCTGTCTGTATGTTACCATGTACTTTAAGTTGCGGACTACATATATTGCACTCTGATACATACACTTCCGTGAATTGGGATGAACTGGGAGAAAGGTTTGTTCCGACTAATGCTGTAGCATCTAAAACTACGACAATTACAAGATAGATTACTATTAAGGAAGTATCCACATATTTACCACCCTCCCACGTCAGGTCCCAAACAGATGTACTACGAGAACCATGCCGTTAAACCGTCGTAAACCACAAAAACGATACCGCTACTGGGTACGGCCCTCGCCATAGACATCCCGCAACCTGAATAAAGACCTTTTGCACCATGCGTGCGGTAAATTTTGAGAAAGGTTTCTAGAAAAGACATTGATTCTATGCTGACTCTTGCAGCCCCAGCAAGTGCCTTGCTATTACTGATTGTTTGCCTGATAGCTGAGGTAGGTATAATAGAAGAAGGTTTAGGAGCAGCCCCGGATGAAGAGGCGGTCGCAGACGGATAGGTAGGAGAGGAAGATGCGGAAGATGGTGAGGAAGATATTGGTGGGATGGATGAAGAGGAAGTCGACCACTCCCTCGCCGCGCTGGACGCGCGTTTCTGATACGTCCGCATCTCACGCAACTCCTCTTCAGTCTGCATTGCACTTTTCACTGTATCTGCCGGGTATAATGCAGCGACGCATACCGCACCAGATATCGCACCCGAAAAAGCCGATTCCCAAGGTAGTAGTGTGGATGGATTATTTTCAGCCGGAAGAACGCCTGGATCGGCTTTTGCTCTCCGGTCCTTCAAAACTCTCGCGACCCACTCCTTGACCGCGAACCACACAGCTGTACCTCCGGTTTCGCGGAGGACGGTTCCAGTATGGCCTAGCCATAAGCCACGAAAACCATTGGTCGCAACTACGTTTCGGGCGATGGAGAACGGGCCAGGGAGGTGAGAACTTGCCACCGGCGCGGATGCAGTAGTTGCAGGATAAGGAGAGTAGATAGATGCGGACGATGGATTTTTGGGTAGATGTTTAGGTGTTATGGGAACATGTATAGGCGGGATGCGTGCAGGCGTCGGGGTAGTCATCATTTGGACTTGTAGTTTACATTTAACCAATTCTATCGGTGTTCTGAAACATAAAGTTAGATTCAATTTTTCCCTCAACGTGAGATGAAGACTGAACAGACAATATGAACGACGTGGCAGCCCCTGCCCCTGCAGCCGCTAGACAGAGTTGTGGGATGGTCAATTCATCTGAAGAGGCATTATAACGGCGTATGACATTTTTTAAGGACGAATATGAGACAAATAGCGCTGCAGTCTCTGCCATAGAGCCTACAAGAGGTACCGGAAGGCCCTATAAAGAATGAAGTAAATATTTTCTCTAGCCGCAGATATACATAGTTTACTCACGCGATATAGTCCTTTGAATCCTTCGTCGCGCCACGTCTGCATGAGACAGTCCATAGGGCCTTTGAACCGTGGCTGACCATCCGAGCTCGGTGGTGACAGAAGCTGAGATTGAAGACGGACTTTGGCCAAGTCAAATGGGTATTCAAAAACTTCCGAAACCATTCCTGCAATCTAAATACCTAGAATTAACACAAAATACAGCAAGAGAGTCATGTTCTGCTTACACTTCCAAATGCAATATCTAAAACTGCTGCTCTCATCGATATGACTGCATCCTCCCCGACAGAATTTTGGTTGACTTCATTGTTCGAACTAGGCCGTGATGCACCATCCGAGTGCATAGTCTAGGGTAAGCTGCCTAGAAAGAATAGAAAGCCCTGTTTGTAGATTTTAGATAACGAGCACTGTGATTTTCTGAAGAATCAATGCATTGGGTATTTGACAAATGAAGGTTCTTCAGGCTCGGGCACTCTTGCCGGCAACGCGTTACAGATGCCGAAGCTCCGGTTCTCTTCACTCCTCCCCCACTCCCGCGAGCCCGCTGTGCGCATTTCTTTCTTTGCAAACTATACATCCATGCCGTCCGATAAGAAACGGCCAACCAGGCTTCAGAATGCCTGCGATTTCTGTAAAATGAAGAAAAGTTCAGTCTGTGCTTCGTTCGTGTATCCAAAACCTAATTTCTAATCTATTTCGACGCGTCAACTTGAAGTTCGCTGTAAGTCACAATTTATACGTTTTATCTCCCATTATATTCAACATACCACAGGCGACAGCGCTACAAGACCCGATAATATATGCACCAATTGCTTGAAGGAAGATATCAACTGTACTCATACTATTGGAAAGAAGGTACACAACTGGCTTCGTCCAGGGACTCAACTTTGAACTGATTTCCCCTCTAATCAGAAACGCGGTCCAAGGACAGGGTAGATATTATCAGCTCCGATACGTGTTCCTTGCTAAGCTGTCGTGAATATCCAGGACTTCCATTCGCAAGCACGCCGCTTCCGTTCAAGCTATAATCGGCGCTGTGATTGCGGAACCTGAAACTTACGCTGTACCAGAAGACCCCAATGTTGTTCGGAAAATGCTATTAGATCTTTCATATCACGCACGCTCCCTCGAAAGACAGGTTTCTCGATGGAAGCAAGCCGCGACGCAACAAGGGACACCTGGGCCAATGTATCCCGCTGTTGAGACTTCGTTGAATATTCTCGGCTGTCAGGAGAGTGATAGCGATTCCGATGGATTCGATTTGTCAGAAAGTGATACCGACCTTCTCGCAGGCTCCCTAAGAGAAATCAAGATAATAACAGGTGGCAAAGAGGATCCAATAATACGGCATTATGGTAAAACAAGCAATATGACAATGATGAAAACGGCAGTCAGAATCAAGAAGGAGATTCTAGGGGATCAAATGCAACTTCCCTCTTGTAATGGGCACGGGGGCGAAAAGTTTCTGCGACGACAAGAGTTCTGGAGCTTGTATCCTGTCAGTTTTTCATCGTCACTATGCGATCAACTTTAAACATACCATCCCCTAGTGGCAACTTGAAGGAGAAGAACGACAGCCATTGACGTTTCCCGAGAATGATCTCCTTTGCGAACTCGTCACTTCTTACTTCACCTATTTCCAACCCTACATCCCGTTGTTACACCGTCCGTCATTTGAGAGAGCAGTTTCCGAAGGTTTGCATCTCCGAGATCCCAGGTTTGGGACTGTCCTCCTGGGCGTATGTGCTGTCGCCTCTCGAATTTCGGAGGATCCTCGTAATCTTGTCGAAGGGGCAGGCGCTAAATATTCATCGGGATGGCCATGGTACAAGCAAACCTTGCCTCTGAGAACGACCTTTGCAAAAGCACCGACATTATATGACCTGCAAACATGCTGTGTAAGTCCCCAGGTCTGCACATTGTCAGTTCTGACCGAAGTGGTCGTCTCAGTTATCAGCAATGTACCTCATGGGTACATCTGCTTCGGATTCGATGTGGACTGTCGTGGGACTCGGAATACGCATCGCGCAAGACATGGGTTTGCATAGGAAGAAAAAGCGACGACCTGAAGGTCCGTTGAATTGGAGAACACTAAAAAGCGAACTTTGTACGCGCGCGTTCTGGGTGCTGCTGAATTTTGATGTGGTTTCGAGTCTCTCATTCGGCCGTCCGAGAGCTACCAGTAGCGAAGAGTGAGTCAATGATGATATTTAGATGAAGGAGCCGTCTTCTTTACTCCCGCGCAGTTTTGATCTCGAGTGGCCGATGGAATGTGACGACGAGTATTGGGAAAACGAAAATCCTGAACAGCCTACCGATGTTCCTTCTAGGATCTCCTTCTTCGTTCACTATTGCAAGTTGCTCGAGATCCTAGGTTTTGCACAACGTGCACTTGTAAGTGCTGAAATAATCGTGAAAATGTGTTTCAATATCGTTGAATCCTAGTATCCCACCAACAAATCAAAAACTGGCAAGTACATGGGCGTTGGCTGGGAACAGGATGCAGTCATAGAACTTGATTCTGCTCTTAATCAATGGTCATCGTCTGTTCCCGAGTACCGTAAGCTGGTCCAACTTTCTTACTATACTGCGTTCTAAAGTTATATGATTCTTGCATGTTAGTAAAATGGGATTCCAGTAGAGAGGACGGGTTGTTCTTTCGCCAGTCTGCTGTGTTAATTATGTTTTATTATTGGACCCAGATGCAGGTACACGGCCGGTTTCTTCGAGAATTACCCGGAAAGAATGGGTATTCGCTTCCACCCCCATCGTCTCCTGCAATGACCATTTGTGCGAATGCCGCAAGATGTTGTGTTCGGGTTATAGAAGTTCAGCGACAACATCAAGCTCAATTTCCTGTTATCTTCATAGTAAGTACATTTTCGATCGCATTTTCAGTTCTCGTTTCTAGTTCTCGTTATGACAATTGCTTTAGGTTCCGGTGTTTAGTACTGCGATTATATTGCTCTTATGCAGTTGGACGAAGAGGAAAACGGAATCGCCTTCGAACATAAACAAAGAAATGCAGGAGGTACATTGCTGCTTGGATGTCATATCTACGTATGAAAGGATGTAACTAGCCCTTTTCGTTCAAGATGAGTATTCCAAACATTTTGACTATCCTTCTAGCTATCAAACAGCAGGTCGATTGCAGTGAGCATCTCGGACTGCGCCAAGCGACGCCTTTCGCTGACCAAGTTCTGAAGCGATATCCTGCGTTCCGTCATTTCCATGGGCGATCAGCACTTCCAGGATAATGGTGCTAATTCGGGAACATCAAACACATGTTCCGAGCATTCCAATGGTCCAATTTCACAAGGTAAACACAATCATGTTTTTGTCGTTGATTCTACTCGCCGAAACACAACTAATTGAACCCAACTATTCGATGAAGACCGAGGTAGCTCAACTGGTAACAGCAGTACCTCAGCTTCACCATTCTCGTTCGATCGTGATATTTTTGGACCTGGTCCACTCTACCCCTCGAGTGACATGTATGCAAACAAAAGTCTCTCGAATGCTTCTTATTCAGGCTCCGAATTATTTGGTGACCCTCAGTACTTGCAGATGGATGGTGTGATACAGGGAGGAAGTATAGTGGCAGCATCGGAAGAAAATTGGTCGTCTTTCATGGAGCAAGTGGATGAAATTTTACACTCTGTGGCTGTGGGTGATATCGCAGAAGGAAGTAATAATATTACTATATTTTAGTCTTGACTATCATTATCCAGAACATACGAAGATACGTTAATCAACACTATTAATGTACCGTATGTACATATAATGAGATTACTATGTGGTGTACGGTAGAAGAGGAGCACTGTGATCGTATTGACTCTTCCGACAATTCAGTTCAGCAGTCATACTCGTTGCTGTATCTTGTTGCCGTCCTGCGACCCTCCCCTTCGCACTCGATGCGCTTCTTCTCCTCATCTTCTGTAAGTCCCAGCAGTATCGCTTCGAGTCGGCATGACGCCCGCTTCATAATACCTGGCCACACAAATATTGAGGGTATTGTCTTCAGCCGTAGTAACTTCTAGTAACTTCAAGATGGGATTTTCCAGGATTTTCCACTCATCTTGATTCTTCGATTCATTCGTTATATAAAAAAGTCGATTTGCAAGTACTGATTCTTACTGCTTTTTTGTGATATAACACGATAAATCGCCAACTCAACAGCACCTACATCACCTTGCTTGCAAGGTCTATTGCACTCCGGAAGTTAAGTTGTTTTGTGCAGGCACGTTTTGGTTGTGCTTGGCCTCATGCTTTTGCCAAATGTTTACAAACATCCAGAGCTCTGTGCTTGCTTTGCGGCGCACATAAGGTGCGCCGCAATCTTTCCTCAATACTCAGATTAATCAAACAAATTTCCACAAGGCTTTTGAAGTGTGTATATCCTGTAGTGCACCTTATGTGCCTTGTTTTTTTCACTTGATACTTGAACTAAAATCTACACCTTGACAAAGACACTCAGATGATGCTTAGACCACACTTTTTGCATACATAAATCCTGTATCATTCCCTAGTTCCTGCCATACCAGTTCTAGTATGAATTTAACTGAAATTTATCCTTTCCCAAGCAAGGTGCAGTCCACAACAGTGGAGCCTAGTATACATTTTGAATTCCGAAAATAAGTTCTTTTGGGTCGGCTTGGGAATAATGAGGTAAATGAATTTGATGCGCCAGACAGCCCGGGGTCAGCTGCTTCTGCGGTTCAACGATGTGTTGTAAGAGCGAGGGCCTGCTTCGACTTTGCTCCTTATCTTATTCTTGGCGAACATGTCACTAGTCCCTTGCGCCAGGCTTCTCATATCGAACCAACGATTCCACTGGGGATGGCGAAAAGCTTCGACATTGTCTGTTGTGCAAGGAGCCTCGCACCCACCACTTGAGACCAAAACTCTTTCTGAATATTTCACCCAAGAAATTCTCCAGAGACACAGTACAAGACCTGCTTTAATATGCTCATCTGAAAAACCTAGAGCGCACGGTGGCCCTTCTTCTAGGAACTTGGGCAAAGTTTCCCATCTGGCATGGGACTTCGACGAGTTTGAAAGACATATAGATGCTGTTTCGAGAGGGTTGCTGTCGATGGGCGTGCAGAAAGGTGATAGAATTGGTATCATAATGGGCAACAACAGGTACGTGTAACTTCTGCTGATTCTTGTGTTCTTACAAACAGTTTATCAGCGCCTATGCCATTCTCCAATGGGCTGCAGCCCGAATTGGCGCCATCCTTGCCACAATAAATCCTTCATACCGTATAGACGAATTGGTCGGTACTCTACGACTGGTCGGAATCAAACACCTCATCATTGTGCCTAGCTTGCGCACCTCTCAGTATTTGAAACTCCTCCTCGAGCGATTTCCTTCCCTAGCTAGTTCGAATCCAGGTGACATCCAAGAACTAGAACTGCCAGAGTTGCGTAACCTGATCGTTGTGAACAACGATGATGAGTATGAATTGGTCAAGGCTGCTACCGACTGGAGGGAGATCATACTTTGGAGAGAAGACACATGGGAAGCCAAATCAGTTCGGGATATTGCTCGAAGCCTGAATAAGGACGAAGTCATTAATTTGCAATTTACTAGGTAGGTTTCCATGAGCCCTCATCATGGAAGTCCTCCGGTTGAATTCATGCAGTGGTACCACCGGCGCGCCTAAAGCTGTATCTGTATGTTGACAGGTGTCTTCCTGTGTCGAAAATTCTTCTTACCCAGCAGCTCACACACTACAACCTTTTAAACAACGGCATATCTATAGGCCGCAACATGAATATTAGCGAGAAGGATATCTTATGTGAGTGTACCTAAATTCTTCTCTGTAGTTAACGTCACTTATCCTCAAGGTCCAGGCAACGTCCCTCCCTTATTTCATTGTTTTGATGAGTCAACTCCTGTTGCATTTTGCACAAGCCTTGTTCTAACATTTTTGACTTCGTCTCTACGTTTGGTCCTCGGAAACCTCGCTTTCTGGTCGCATTCCGCCTGCGTCGTATACCCGTCTGAATTGTTCGACCCTGTAGCTATTGTAGATACGCTGATCAATGAAAAATGTAGTGCTCTGCATGGAGTGCCTACACATTTTCTGGGCGTCCTGTCTGAGGTGGAAAAGAGGAAGAGTCAAGGAGAGGGGGTCGATTTGAGTAATTTGCGGTTCGTATCCCTTCAGAAAGAAATAATTATATATACAGACTCTGATATGTTCCATAGGACTGGAATCGCTGCGGGCACCAGTGTACCTATCGATCTAATGCGCAGACTGATATCTGAAATGAATCTACGTGACTTGACGAACGCCTATGGAATGAGTGAGTCCTTGTTTGTGCTTCTAGTTCACTTATATTTCATAATCTTTTGTAGCCGAAACTAGTCCTGTCTCGTTCCAAACCACCCCCGCCGACCCCATTATCAAACGCGTTGAGACTGTCGGTAAAGCTCTTCCGCACGTCAAAGCCAAGATAATTGATCCGAAAGGTAATGTCGTTCCTGTGGGCTTACCGGGAGAAGTCTGTGTGGGCGGATATCTAGTGCAGAAAGGGTACGTCCACTGAGTATGCACTTTCCTTCATTTTTTCTCACAGTGTGTCTACGGATCAGATATTGGAATGACGAGGAGCACACGCGTCAAGTCACGCATAAAGACGCTGGAGATGACGACACAGTTTGGATGCATACTGGAGATGAGGGTATATTAGACGAAGAAGGCTATTTGAGGAGTACGTGCTGTCGATGTAACAAGTTCCTATTCTCATTCTCTTGACCGATGATCCGCAGTTGTTGGTAGAATTAAAGATATCATAATCCGCGGAGGGGAGGTATACCCGTCTTTTTGTTATCGCAAAGACTGTGGAGCTCACGAGTCCGATTTTACTCTAGAACCTCTTTCCAATACAAGTAGAGAATGTTTTACTCGCCGATCACAGCATTCGTGAAGCAGCCGTCGTTTCTGTCCCACACAAGGAATTCGGAGAAGTGGTGGGAGCATGGATTGTCCGAAGTACTGGGACTGCTTCCGGACATCCTCGATCATCACGAACTGATATCAGGAATCTGGTCAGAGAAAAGATGAATCCACAAGTGCGCTTATTTTCTGCCCCTCCATCTTGTTGCATCCCCTTATCGTTCTTAGACTGCACCGGCGTGGGTGTGGTTTGTAGGCGAGGACGGCGTACCAGATGAACTTCCGAAGACAGCCAGTGGGAAGGTGATGAAGCACGTCCTGAGGAAGTGGAGCAAGGAACTTGCGGAACGGGGCATTGGGAAGGTGATAACCTGAGAATTTGTGCATGCTTGTAAGAAGTTCTCAATTTGTATATTGTGTTGGAATTCGAGTCATTTGCGATTTTTATTTCTTGTTTCTTGTAGATGTTCATCTGTTTTCAGATCCGTGCATCAGCTGCGGCAGTGCTTCTCAATGATCACACGAACAAGCTGGTTTCAACAAATAGTCTCGAGACATTATCCAATCTTTACTCGTCATTGGATGATGCATAAGGCTGGTGATGCCGAAACGAAGCTGTTAGCATCTATCGTGGGATAGCTTGACGATTGTGTATTGGTACTCATACTGTGGTATATAGGCCTACAAAGGCAAACACCAGCTTCACCTGTTACTTGAAATGCTCTCATCCATCTTCATCTTTTACTGTTATAGCCACTCGTCCTCGAGATCACCATTGAAAGCCCGATCCGAATCAAGTCTAAAATCACCAACTTCTGACACGTCCTGATTTTTGACTTATATCCCGATTCAGCTGTTCCACTCCCATACTCGTTCCTCACAGTTGGTGAAACTCTCTCATCCACATAGATGTTCTTCATATAAGTAATGGGGGCAACACAAAGCCCCTTCTCGACTCTCACTGTTTACCCTGTGCTGTATGTAATACTTGCTGTCATGGCTATCGTATTTCGAACTAGATCGGAAGAGATTGCGCTCGGGATGACTTTGTTGGGCCTTTTCTTATCTTCTGTGTATGTCTTCATTCTAGCAGATTTGGACTCTGAAAAATCTAACGATCTCATAGACTATATGGTCTTGCCCTTTCACAACTTTACACCTATTACAAGCGTTTTCCACGCGACCCACTCAGCGTGAAGGTGCTTGTATGTGATATTCCATCACCCTATGTCAATTTTACGCATATACACCATTTAAAAGGTTGTGGCAACTGCGTAAGTATCCAAGTAGAATTCTAGTATCTTATCGCTTTTAAACGGTGTACCAAATCACACAAGCATCCTGGATACGGTTTCGGTTTTACTTGAATGCCATGCATGCTGGTAGGACATTGCTTTGGTCTGAAAACCCTCAGAGCTCTCTCATCTTCTTGTGTGCAGGTACTATCTGGTGACAACAGGTTCATCAATTCTCTTTTCTTCTCGTCGGTTGCATCTCACCTTCCTCAGGTCCCATGACTTTAGCCGTATGGTAAGCGTAGACTTCATGTTGCAGAATGGTCCACTAATATATCCAATGTAGGAGTCTCAATGTGTGTGGTTCATCACCTGAACTTCGAATTGGATCTCCATTATTCATTATTTTAATGTTTACCAGGCTGAACTCGCAGTTTCGGTTTGTGGTTTCTCCGTTGAGCGCCAGCAATTCACGAAGAAGTTTGTGTTTGTCCCATAGATGTTCATATCTGGTATCGCGGAAGCGTACGTATCAACACAATGTGCAGGGAACACGATCACGAACTTTATCGTAGTTTCATGACCTATCGAGTTTGGATGCGTAAGCCTTAACAATTCTGGTCGGATATTCGATTCAAACAGAAAAATACACGACAGTGAGCGGCCGGCAAAACGTACTAACATGCGCGCTGGCGAGTATTTGTTGGAAGGAGTGGAACTCGTATATTCACGGTCATAATTTGCTCCTACTAGCTTTGCTTTGCTCTGTTGCATTTCAGTATGTCGCTACCGAGTTAATACGGGTCTGTCTGGATTAACAAAACATATCTCTCCCAGCTAGTGGTGAAGGTATGAATTAATCCCTATAATCTGGCCGGTTAAATGTTTAACATGTTGTTATCCCAGTTTCTGCTGCCGAATTTCTAGAGCTCAGTCGATTCGCAAAGTTTGGAAGCGTAAAGGCAAGGGTAGCACTATAGCGAAATATTATCTACCTCTAAATGATTTAGGTTCCAAGTGTTCTTCGTCTGGGTAGTGCATCGCTGTGCGATACAGGGATTGCTGTTTCATTGTGCTATTTTCTCCAGAAGAAGCGCACTGGATACAAGAGGTTAGTCAACTTAACCCGAATGATACTTAGTAGAACCAGTAGGAGCTTCGGACTGCTGATGAAGCATATTGCCACACTCAGAACAGATGAAATCATTGACCACTTAATGCTGTTCTCTATCAATTCTGGCCTCATCACAAGGTATGTTGTAAATCTTCTGGTTGATGGTTGTATTTTGAACATTTGGAAACCAGCGTCGCATCCATCGCGTGTTTGATTACGGTAAGAGCATATAACAATGAACTTGGTTCCAAACGCCACTCAGAAATTTTGGTGCCTTAGTATCTAGCAATACCCAAAACCTGGGTCTATCTCACTCTTTGTTTTCTGATAAGTCGGTGTGAGTTGTATCAGCAAAGCAGAACACCTGAGTAGCTGACTCTTCTTTTGATACCATTCAGTGTATAGCAACACTTTCCTTTGCGCGTATGTCACTTGAGAACCTTTGCACATTCCAAGACGTGATCTTACGAAATTTTATTAGCCTTAACTCGCGGCAGATACTGCAAAACGAAAGTAATGACATGGACACTCCGGTGTTACCCCGTTTTAGCAGAGGTTTAAGCAGAGGAACTCCCGAGAAAGTACGTGGCACTGTCTTAATCACTATGTAATCACTTTTCTCATCCATAATATTAAACTTACGGTGTAGAATAACACTCACTCACGACCTACACAGATTGACGTTTTTGTAGTAACAGAAACAATCACCACAAGCGATGATATACGTCATAATATCTCCCAGGTAGGATCTTTATACATGTATCAAAAATCATCGCAATCGTGATATCTTTCCAAAAGACATCAAGGAACAGCAGCTTGAACAGTGGGGTCAAAGAGCGGCTTGATTCAAGCCAGGGAATTAGTCCCACTCTTTGTTCTGAGGTCGAGTCTGGAAGCTTTTCCAGTCTTTCAAGCTTCAGTGGTGTGAGTGTGCATGAAGAAATGAAAGAAGTTCCTCGAGCGGTCATTCGAGGATGAATCATTGAATCAAGAAGTTTTTGTATCCACTATGTATATTCGAATTATTTATGAATTCAATAGTATCCACTGCTCAGAAAGCTGTCTCTCGCTCCGCTATCATGCTACAGAGGAGGACCGGAACCATCTAGCTCATAACCGTCGCCACGGTTAACAGCAGCAGTTAGCCTGCAGTTAGCCAGGCCGCCTTTCCATGTGCTAGTCATGTGATGACTTCGAAATTTGCAGCAGTCGCTGGAGCTAAGCTAGTACCAACCTCAATGACGAAACGAAAGCGTATTCAAGAAGAAACCGAACTCCCAACTTCCACGAGAAGCACTGATCAGCGTATCTTTCAAAATGATACTCATTTGTCGAAACCACGAAAAAATGGTAGAAAACGGGGCTCTCCAAAGAGTACAAGACTCGGATGCGAGACTTCAACAGAAGCCTCGCCAGACGGCCCCACTGTCGAAGAGGTTGATCCTATTTTTCCTGGACATTCAAAATCGAGCCATATTGTGTCATCACCATTGCCCATCCGGAAAGCTCTATTGAAATGGTATGCTACTGTCTGTACCGACCGTGGCATGCCATGGAGGAAGCCACATGATGTCAATCTGGACATGAAGGGACGGGCACAAAGAGCTTATGAAGTGAGTGATCTGCTCGATGCCATCTTCACTGACATGAAAAAACTTGTGCATTTTGACAGGTATGGGTGAGGTGAGTAAGGCTTTATCTTTCTAATGCCAGAGTAGCTGTTGAACTTGGGATTGGCATCCTATTCAAAGTGAAATAATGCTACAGGTAAGTTGTGTGGTGAATATATATCCAAGTTATTTGAGCGAAGTTGTGGTCCAGCAAACACAGGTTGCTACCGTCATTCCTTACTACAATGCATGGATGAAGAAGTCAGGTGCTCAATCTCCTGTCACATTCTGTTCTCAACATGTTATATAGATTTCCAACAGTTGTTGACCTTGTAAGTACTATTTTTACAGGTTCTGTGATGTTTCATGGTCACCATTGAGTATGTCTTAGGCAAAATCATCAGTGGATGAAGTGAATGCACTATGGAAAGGATTGGGCTACTATTCCAGAGCTAGTCGCTTGCTGGCCGCAGCTCAGATAGTCGTTCGAGACTATCAAGGCAGACTGCCCAACAATGCAAAAGAGATGGAGGCCCACATACCAGGGATTGGGCGTTACAGTGCAGGTGCCATAAGTTCTATTGCCTATGGAGAACGTGTTCCTGTGGTAAGATAAAATCAGCTGAATTGTTTGTCCTGATGATAAGAGTTCTACCTCCATAGGTTGATGGAAATGTACACCGTCTTTTCAGTCGATTTTTAGTGCTTCATGCACCCCCAAAATCAAAGGCCACTCAGGATATTCTTTGGGCTGCAGCCACGGCTATGGTAGAACATGAATATGATGATGCGGACTATCCCGGAGACATTAATCAAGCACTCATTGAGTTAGGTAGTACAATCTGCAGGGTACGTGATCCTTGTTGTGGGGATTGTCCTTTAAATCCCTGGTGTGGTGCATATAACAATGCAATAGGGGTGAAACATTTCAGCATCTTTGCACACACATCTTGTTAACTTATTAATGACAGCATCAGTCATTACCTGACATCGAAGATCTTTGTGACTTGTGTGAGCCGTTGACAAAAGAAAACGGTGTCACGGTTTATCCGATGAAAGCTAAAAAGAAAAAAGCAAGGGTCGAGTTAGACGTTGTTAGCATTGTTGAGTGGCGGTCGATAGATGATCGGCAGTTTCTACTGGTCAGACGGCCAGACAAAGGTTTCATCTCTCTGATTTCTCATAAATCCTTCTAATTTCACTGTAATATACAGGCCTTCTTGCTGGGCTTTATGAGTTTCCGACAACATATATGGCCTCAGCTCCGGCATTAATGGAAATTCCATCAGACTTAGTTCATCAACAACTGCTTGACGTCCTCGAGGATTCAGTGTTACCTTGCAAAGAAAAGTCTCTTCAAAGCCTTGAGCCCAAGTGCTCTAGCAGTCCCGAATATCGTGTGGTGAATGTAACTCCGATGGGGGACGTATCCCATGTATTCTCTCATATCAAGAAAACTTACCGCGTTCAATGGGTTGTGATCGAGGGCGGCACACAGCCGCCTCTGCTCAAATGTGGTCCTGGACAACCAAGTTTGGACCATGGAGAATATAACACTCCCAAGAATGCTTTCTGGGCGTCTGTTACCAGCGTGACAAAAGCGAAGTATGTGTATTCAGTTCGGAGCATTTGCGTAACTCACACTATGATAGTATTTCTACAGGTGTTGACAAAATTTGGAAATATGCCTTGACAATTTGGGAGACTCAGGAGGTCTATTCGTAGGATATTAAATAACACTCCGTAAAGCGGTCAGAATCCAATCTTTCGGAGAACACCTGATTACAAAGGCCGCTGAACTTACATATCTCCGGTAAGCTCGGTACACAACGATACTGCCTCGGGCAAGCCTCGGGAGGAAAGGAAGTCTCTATGCTGCCGTATATCCCAAATACATCTATCTCCTGATTCCAGCCAGGTTTGCACTGACAGCCTGAACTGTATTGATTTATAACGTTGAACCATGGCTGTTTTGTAGTTTTCACTAAGAGCCCATGATTGAGAGAGACTCGGTAGGATTTAAGGTCGAAATTTAGTTTGATGAAGTGTATGTAAGTCAAACCCTCATCCTTAAGCTTTCACCGAGGCAGCTCCATCTCCTATCGTTGTCGTAGGCTTGAACATCCTTATTCGGCAGGCTTCAGCTTCCAGCTCCGTGGCGCACGCAACACATCAATTTAAACTCATGCAGATTGGCGCATGCAGAAAGTCTAACATGAATCATTGAACCCGCTGAGCTAGTTGGGCGGCAAAGCACCGGCCCGTTATGGAATGTATTTTTTTCGATTTTCGCATGAGTTCGGTGTGTCTGGTTCTTCCGAAATTTGCATCATTTAGGCTTTTAAACTATCCAAAAGGTGTGTTCAAATGTTTATACACTTATAGAGAGCTCATAACTGGGTCCCTTCGAGCTCGTATGGAACAGGATGTGAATGTGTAGTAATGAATAAGAATTGACAGCTAGCCTCCAAATCGAAGAATGAGTGACATCAGGACCCTCGAGCTTGGTTATGAGGTAGATGTATTTTTGTGATTGAAATTGTAAGTGCTATGTAAGACTCTGGTACTCTGTTTTACTGACTTCCTCAAGCGAATGTATTGATACACTAATACAGAACTAATTTTCTTGTTTGTTTTACAACCTCTCCGCTCCGTTCTGTCAGCGATTTATTCACACAAACCAGTTTGGCGTGAGATGACTTTTGCCTTCTATCATTACGTCCAATCACTTGCATACTGTACTTGTGCGTCTGCAATATAGCCTCTCACATGGAGACACCCGATGTTCCTAGAGCCTTGGACATCTAGAATTTGTATTTAACTGGACTGCCATCGATCCTCAGGTTTGTTATAATTTTGCTTAACCTATCAGGCTCTCTTATCTCTTCATCAGCTTGTATTGCACTCCTTGAGTTTCTTTCTACGCGTCATGCAACAACCAACACTCGAATCAGTACGAATTCGATCTACAAGAGATGCACTACAGGTCTTTTACGGAGTCGCGACAAATAAAATTCCTCTCATAACTCGTCGTTTGGATGCGGAAGAGCGCAGAGCTATAGTGGCGGGAAACGTTTACGTGTGGGAGGAACGGGGTGCCAATACTGAGCCCATAGGTATTGGAATGGAGCGATGGTAAGTTATCTTTTTTTCGAAATTTCGATAGCTAAAAAAATCCAGGACCGATGGTATGGGCTGGGGCCCAAGTCGTATGTCTATTGGTACTGTCAGCCGCCTATCGACTCACTTCTAACGTGTTGCATCTACTCACTATCAGGTGTCAGAGATGTATGCATTTTTTTGATTGTTTTACACCCTTTCTAATATCAATACAAGGATTTCTTATTTTATCACCAAAAAGAATCAGACATCGAGGATGATTCACTTAATCCCATAACGCCTTGGGCCCAATTACTTAGGTTCGCTGATTGTGCTGGGATTGGTACCTACATTTCCTGACATACTCTTGAAGAAGACGTGAACCCCCGTCCAGGCTTTCCACGTCGCCCAATATGGGGCACATTGAATCGGAGCGTCTAGTCAAACAAACTTACAGTGTCCATGTATCGCTACCAGCTGATCGCACACGCGGCATTGTCCGAAAGTGGCACCTCAGTCAGTGAACGTTGGTGTCTTTTCGATAATATGCTAATCGTTCCACAGCTGCATACTTCAGCCAGGAAAAGCTGAGTCAATTAAGGACGATTGACTCTGTTCGGGGAATTGGAAATGTCTCAGTACCCGATGGCCTATTTCGTAGCGCTCGAGCAAATAAAGCTCGCCGTGACACTGGTGTCGAAGTGTCATTACCTGGCACCTCCTTGTTAACAGAAACTGTCGTTCCATCTGTGATACTTCCCTTGAGCCCTCGAGAACATTCGGGAGCAATAACGCACTCTTCGTATTCTCGATCATCAATCATTGCACCTATTAAAACGACAATGACACCTTCGACTTCGTCCAGTTCCTCATCAAGCACCTCGAGTCCCGTATTAATACACACTCCGACTACGACACCACCCAAGCAATTGGTACCTCTCCTTTATCTCCAAAACAACACGTCCCCTCGACGTGATCCTGCAGACGAGCAGCTTTTGCGACGCTTCAATACCTTGAGTTCACGAGGTTCTCATCAAAAATAAACCATGTTTGTAGGTAGTCGTAAGCGAAATGCTTTATCTATTCGAACTTTTGTACTTCATCGTCACTTGCGCACGACGCTCATCAGAAACCTTCGTACTTAGACAGATCTCAACGTCTCGTATCTATTTTCGTGTAGAAACTCTGAACGCAAATTTCGCTGCACAGAAGTTGTGGAAAGACTAATTTACACAGCCTTGAAAATCATCGTTTACTGTAGCTCACTCGATAATCTAGGTTGGTTCTAAGTCTGTTCTAAACATGACTAAGGCTGCCTATGATCGTGATAAATCCGTGTATGAATCGGATGTGTGGCGCACCAGAGCTCTGAATTGAAAAGATAGGAACCAGAATGGAAAAATATGTATAAGCTCCTGTATGCTAGGATTACAATGGTCGATTTTCGGAATGACAAATCCCTACTGGCATCCTACGGAGTTAAGTCGGGAATGAGTACTTGAGTCCCGGAAAGAACACTAATTTACTACGTAGAATCTCCGCCGCTCGATATCGAATCGAAGAAAAGTACTCCACGTCAGCTCGGAATTCTGGGATCGGTGGCTTGGGACGAGCGCCAGCGATCTCCGCCTAAAAGCGCTCTAAAGCGCTAACGAGCTTTTGTTTTCCACTCAATTAGCCCAAGTGAAAAAAAAACTGCTGAACTCAGAAAAGTTACCGGGAGCCTGAGGAGAAGTCAACTTGAATAAATTTGCTGATCGTGTTTCCTGACACCTTGTGCCAGGGCTCAGGGGCTAGTGTCATAAATACCTTCGACAGCTTAGAGCTGGCCAGGTGCACGACGTAAACAGTTAGGAGGTATACACATCTAAGTGATACTATGACCCCTCGTCAAACCGTCAAAGGTTCGTTGAAGCCGCCAAGTCGAGTATCCTCAAGTACCAATGCGACCGAGATGCATTTCATATCAGAGCCTATACACAAACCATGATTCCGTAGAGCTAACCGGGAGCGCGGGTTTGTGCCATGAATGTTGAAATCCAGGCCTCTTCTGCTGACTATATTTCGAGAAGTTCATGTCCGACTATAATCGAACACAGTGAATGTCAGTTCTCAGCCGTAATAAACGGAGGGGAAACTGGTCCAAACCTTCCGAAGGGAGAGCGGGTCATCATTCTCCGAGTAAACACACTTTGGTCATAACTTCCTTACCTTTCTGTTCTTCGCTCTAAGCAACGTCGGAAGGCAGTTGGATGTTTCACCACTCAGAAATGGACGCTCTGCAGTGGAGTTCTCGAGTATCTGTTTATGATAACCACAAGTTGTCAGCTGGCTCGGTCATTCACTGGCAGTTAAATTGAAATCCGTTAGAAAATTCGTATCTGGCCACAAGCTATTGTCTTTTTTGGTCCATTCTTATTGCCATACCTCGATACATATTTCCAAAGTTAGCACGAGTCTAGCATCATACCATGAGCATACATCTGGAAAGTCGCCGTCTTGAAATCGGAAAAAGAATTTGCGACCTTACCGCGAAGAGCGCAAATCGAGTGGCTCAGTAAAATCAAGCAAACTCTCGCCTGGCTAGCCGTTACGTTGGGTTTTTCCTTGAACCGATAGCATTGATATTAGGGTTGCTTACATCCGAGTACTGTCAAGAACTTTTCAGGATCTTTTCACAATTGGCGTTCCGGATGTCAGGATTGAACATTTTTGAGGCTATCGCTAACGCATAATACATATGCGCTTCAGTCCAAGCAGAAGAACCTCAGGCAATCAGCTCACTGGTAAGTACGATCGGCAGCACCTCCAAAGACCTCTATCCGCTGAGTACGTGGGGCATTGATTTGTAGCCCTTGATCAAGTTGGGAGATTTAAATCCAAGCTCTTCTGGAAAACTTCGGGAGTAACTTGTAACCAATGGACAGGCGTATACCAAAAGAATTTTGCGACCATCAAGGTCGAACCGTTGACCAATGGTACAAATAGACGCGCTGTTATTGACGTCACCGGGGCGCTAACCGGATCCGGGCGCTAAAACTTAACCCACCTACTCTCATATTATTATTATGAGTGACAAACTTATTTCTGAACCCAAGGTTCGAGGCGCGAATAGGTCTACAAAGGTCGCTGGTACGAATTACCATTTTACTTCCATGATTTATTTAAACCAATGATTCTTTATCCAAAGGTAAACTTAAAGTCTTACCCGAGCAACCTGAGCCTGCCTCAGTCGATGCCAACAGGAGCAGAGGCAAACGCATAGACGGTGCCGAAACCTTGGATGAAGGAATTTATACGACAGGCACTACTGGAGATAGCGATGAGGGGGATATTGATGACGATTCAGCGACAGACGAAGTGGAAGATGTTGAGGTCGGTTTCATGTCCGTTTCTCATTGCTACCTTCCGTGTTCACTTGGTAACACGCCTCCATGATAGGTATACAATCAGATATCTCTCATTCCGGACGGGAAAGCGCGCAGAGATGCACTGAGGCTGACCAAAAAGAAAGCGAAATCATTACCTAGAGTCACTGCTTATGCGACTGCGACGTACGTTTCTTCGTTCGTCCTATAATGTTCAGACTATCTCATGACCATTTGAATTATGCCTACCCAGGTCTTTTCGTATGGACGATGTGCTAAAATTCTTCAATGCCCGTCAAAATGCATATCATACCAATCCAAAGCTCATAGACGAAGTAATCTATTCCCCGTACGCATATCAAATTTCAGCGTCTACCAATGTGGATGCGTCAACGCAGGCCAGCCGAGTGGGGGACCTCCTCGGGGTAGAGGAGTTACGGCTGCAAGAAGGGGATGAGCTTCGGACTATCAAGAAAAAGAATAAATTTGGATCCTCCCCCACCGAAGCAGAGATATTTGTATTCGAATACGGCACAGTAGTTATATGGGGCATGTCTGAAGCGCAGGAAAAGCGCTTCTTGTCTTCTCTGTGAGTATTTTCATATAGATTTATCTTATTCATCTATTCATATGTTGACAGGAAGAGATTTGAGGTTGAAAAACTCTGTGCGTCGTTTGCTACTGCCGTAAATTTCTAGCTCTCAATTGCACTCTACTGTGCACAGCACCTGAAGATGCCGAAATGGAAGACCTCAATTATTACTACGCCAACTATAGTCGGTAGGTTTGCTCTTTTGTTTATTGCCTTCGCTAGTCTATTACTGGATGGTGTAGAATATATAACGACGTAATCACGCTACGGAAAGGCTCGGGTTACATGTAGGTTTCATCTTTAATTGCTATGGTCGACGCTCAAGTTTCTCGTAGGACTAAACTATCATTATCCCATGCCTTATCGCAATCAGTCAAGATATCACTTGTAAGCTTTCCTCCGTTAACTTCTTGATGCGAGATGCTCAAAGACTTCACATGCAGTTCGAGAAGTTAATATCCAACACCATCGAAGAAACTAAGGATATTCCAGAACTCATCAGCGAAACAGGCAAAATAGGGATGCCGCATAATGGTATGCTCTCATATTCTAACGCGATACATCTCATCATTATCGAACCTTATCAGAGATCATGCAGCAGATTGGCCAACTCTTCCTCCTGAGGACGAACATCAACTCTGTTGGTTCTGTTCTTGATTCACCTGTGAGCACAGACGTCCTTTTCCAGCACAAGTACTCAGTCATTTCAATCACAGGAAGTATTCTGGGTAAGCTTTGCGTAGACACCAGTGCTATTTCGGATGCTGAGAATCAAAATTCTTTTCGACCATTAGAGTTTTCCAGACCTACAACCACTGTATGATGCTGCTCGAAGCTACTTGGAGATCCCTCAACGGATCAATCTTCTCAATACGCGTGTGGAGGTAAGGCTCTAATATATCCCTTTCTTCCAGTATCGGCTTATGCTCTGATTCCACGCAGGTGTTACAAGATATGCTCCAACTTTTGAAGGAGTCTGTTTCTAGCAAGCATGCCGAACGACTCGAACAGATCGTAATAGCTTTAATCGCAATTGAAATCGGTGAGTTCCCCTTTCGTTTCTCTCAGTCCGGTTCGGTCAGCTCACGAATACCCATAGTTCTAGGTATAGTCACCATCCTGGTCGATCTTTTGGCGTAAACTGCTTCGTTATTTGTATTTGTGGTCTCTTCAAACAACTGATGCCGTGAATTGACCTGCATTCTGTTGGCCCTTACGTAGCTATTGGATATTTGCGATGAAAATTCACTTTACCAAGAAGTATTGGTTCAAGCGAAACGAAGTAATACCGGCTAGGGGGTAATCCGGACGACCTATGGTAGCATATGGTGTTGACGTGAATTATTACGAAGTCATACGCGCAACCTGGGCCTTTGTGCAAGAGGTGCGCGACCGGAGTGATTGTATCTATACATAATTTCCCCTTGAAAGCGTGTGTGTATACTGGAATCCTGCTAGAATCTTCGTCAGAAAGGCCTGCCGACGTCTCGCAGACACCTATGTAGTTATCTCGTGGTCGGCCAACGACATACAAAAGAAAACATCATTCTGAACACTGCAAATATGAATCAGTGAATAGAATCATCCGTATTGTCAGCACGTACATAGTGGAAATCCGAAATGACATCGGACAGACAGAGCAAAGGTCCGCATCCGTATGTACTATCTAGGAGGTTGATTAGTGTCATGCGTGGTTTCCGATAGATCGGAAGAATTCTGGAGTAGATTCTGGACGAGTATGTGGGGTCGCAATCCCGTAACTCCTCGGTATGTGTCTATGTATAGAAAGTGTGAGGATAGATTATGAGGCGATGGCGATGGGTCATACTGGAAGAGAATGTCCGGCACGAGATATATACCTCGTTCTTGTCCCCGACAAGTTCCATGCCATTGTATATGCTTTCTGCTAGCCACTGTCCTAACCGCGTTCGCAAAAAATCGGGCCATTGACGAGATCCTCGGACCATGTTTTCCCAGATATTAAGTCAGCTTTGCCATCCCACAGATACATGTCGGCTTCGACAAGCGTAACTTGGATACTTGTGATCCTATGGATCTCGCCCTCAAGGTTGTACGAATTCATCGTGTACGAGTTTCTGGAAGAAACTGAAAGACCGTCATAAACTGAATTAGCATTGGACACAATCATGTCTTTCTAAATGGGCGAGGCGTGCGTGGTTGAAGATATGAAGGGTTGAATCCTGAAAACATTGGGGAATCGCCGGTGACATTGAGGTCGAGGTTAATTTTGGTATAGACGCCCATCGTATCTATGACAGTCAAGGAAGCGCTTGACTTCATACATGATCACTAGCTAGAGACTTGATTCTACTATTTCATCTGTCCTCTTGGGATCCGCTTCGCCCTTTCTTGCAAGATGCCCAAGCTCAACTTCGATGCCGATGAAGCAACGCTTTTGAAAGCGTACAAGATTTCTTCATTGAATCCCATGTAGGTATGAGGGTGCAAATGCAGGAGTCTTGAATACTGAGTTCTGCGTAGGCAGTGGGAGGATATTGATCATGACTTTGAAGACTCTGTGGCCGGCGCGCTGTCATCTAGTAATAATGAAACGGAAGGTGACCCGTTAGGCATTGGTTCAGATGTCAAGTGCGTTTCCCATCTTCTAGCGGTTTCTTCTGTGTTGAAGCTTGCATCAGCTTGAAAGAAATGGACATGGAGTCAAGTGAGCTATAAAGAGCACGCTGCAAGAATCTCAACTGCTCTGACTGAATACGTTTTTCAGAGGCTTCTGTCTTAATTACGTCCAAGTCCTTTGATCCAAAAGCCTTTCTATCCCTTGTACACCCAAACGCGACATATCAGGACCTTGCATCCGGTATAGCCCATCTCCAATCCTCTATAGATGCTCGTTCGGAGGCCATTCGCATCCTGGTTGAAGATAATTTGGATCGGTTTGTGGCCGTGAAGGCGAGTACGGATGGTAGGCGCGCTGATCTATTCCGACGAGACACCAATCGATATTCATCTTCTGTCAGCCCTTTATGCTGAAATGAAGGAAGGCCTACTGGAGTCTTCGACAGAATACGCATCGAAACCGTTACGGGACGAGCTGAAGCGTATGTGCTAACATTGTCTTCATGTGTTTCTCTCTTTCCAACCCATCATGATCAATCCAGAGGCCGCAGTGAAGGCCAACCAAGTCTTTCTTCCGGTTCTTGAAAATGCCTCCAAAGCGGACAAGCTCCGCACAACGCTTGGCGTTTTCGAAAGAAGCAAATTCTTCTTCAACCTACCCAGTTTCATCATCGAGTCGATAGAGGCTGTGAGTACGACGAGCTAATCCTTTTGGACAGGTTGAGTATTCATATCATATACTCTATCTGTCAGGGTCGGTACGAAGTTGCGATGCGTGATTACAAAAAAGGCAAGCTTCTCCTTGACACTCGTCCGGGTCAGCTTCTTCCTATCAGCGCATCGAAAGATAAAGACAAAGACGACAAAGGAGGCGGAGCATCGGCTGGTCCTACATCAGCAGAACAACAGCAGCAAAAGCGCATATTAGACAAGGTGTGGGCGAACGTTGAGAAAGCCATGGGCGAAATGCGGAATGTGCTCCTTGGACAGTTGAGAGACCCTGGAAGGAGTGTAGAAGAACAGGAGAAAACCCTTGAGTGAGAATAGTCTACTCAAAGAATCTGATCATAACCTGAGCATTCCCGTTTTCTATGTTACCAGGCTACTGATTGAACTGCCATTAACGGAAGATCCTGCATGGACATACTTCGATAGTCAGCACAAGCACATTCTAGAGCAGATGAACAAAACATTCAGAATATCTACCGCTGCTGTGACTGCCGCGCTTGAGAAGAGCGCTCTCGACAATGCTGGCGATTCATTGACAGACTCTTTAGTCACTCAGTTGCGGCAAAGCATTTCCGCGTTAGAAGCCAAACAGCCAGACGCAGTCATCGGTGAGAATACAAGCTTTGCGTTTACTTGCCTACGTATTGATATTGGGAGATCTAGCGAAGTCCGCCGGCGAACCTGTTTGGCAAGCTATCCTGGACCTTGTGAAGAATGTAGGCGAGGCGATGATGGGGAGCTTGCCTAACTTTTGGAAGATATCGAATGGATTCATAGATGGGAAGTTTAAGAAAGTTCGTTTTACAGTAATGAACCTTCGATACAATACCTATTGACGGCACGCATCCATAGGCATCGACCTCATCATCATCAACTAGTCGCCGCAGTCCCTCCCAATGCCGCACTATGGCTTTAGATATCGTCAAGCTGTACATCTCCTTCCTATCCCAATTTTTCAATCTTTCCGATATGGCCGTAACGTCTTCTCCGGGTATTCCCTCCAGTAATGACGCCACTTCAACATTGTTACCCTCAAACTCAAACTCGCTTTCGACCGCGCATTATCTTCTGAAAATATTTGGCGAAATTCAGGATTGCGTGAACGAACTCAATGCGATGGAGATTTCTGGTGATGTCTCCGCAAGCCTTAAGGGGCTGTTGGATAGTACGAAGTGGAGGTTTGAAGATGTGTTAATTGCTGCTTGGCTGAGAGGTAATTCATTCTCTCCCGGCACGATCGCGTTAGCTTACTGCCAGTAGACGCCAGCGACTTCCATCATCTTGAAGCATGGGTTTCTAGTCCCTCTGATCCATCTGCAACACACTATCTCACTCAGATGGAGCTCTACCAACGGCATATCACCACTGCAGCTTACCGAATCGCTGGCGGTGTCGATTCCTCATCTCTTATCAGCAAGGGAAACAAACAGAATCCTATTCCCGCAGCGTTCGTGTCGAAGATTATCAAGGCGTTCATGGACGTACTGTATACTTTCTTAGAGGGTCTTGTGAAGCTCGTGGAAGATGAAAGAGAAGGGGGAGCAAATGTTAATGGAGTAGATCCAGTTGCAACTGCGTCGACGTCAAATGCGACGAATGCATTGGAGCTCCTGGATCTAAGCAATAAGGTAGGTTCTTTCAATAACACCCGATTATCCATATTCTCAGAATGTTGCATGTCGTAGGACAGTCGTTTGTTGCTGGTGCTTTCGAATCTCAACCATATGTCCAAGTCGATTTTCCCCAGTATGATCACACAGTTGGAAAATGCGTTCGGAGTTACAATCACAGATGAGAGACAGGTACCCATTCTTCTTGATATCCGGTTGCATCTGATTTCCGGAATGTAGACTTTAATGACAGTCATTGCGGATCTGGATACAACCATGTTCCAAGGGTATTCAAAGCCTCGCGCAGCTGTGGTCACTAGTCTTGTACGTGGAGGGATTCTCGATGAGAGCATGGATTGGTATGAGACTCTTCAACCGAAAGGTAAGTACTCCAACCATGCCCAAAACAATTCGACAGTAATGCTTTTGCGAATTCAAGAAATACGCCCGTACATGTACGAAACTCTAATGTACCTCGTGGGGGTCCATGCGCAAATCACGAGTGTGGCGGAAGTCGTGCTGGAACGGACACTGAATTACCTAGCGGAAGCGTTAGCAGAAGAGGCATTGAAATGTTTTAAACAGGTGAAGAGGTTCGGGATGGGTGGAATGTTGAGGGTATCATAGTGTTCTTCACCCCTTCATCCTTTTCACTCATTTTTTTACATTTTTTTACTAGGCGACTCTCGAAATCGAATTCATGCACCAAACATTGGGCAAATATGTCACACCTACAGCCGCGAAAACACTATCGGATCTATACAATAAAATTTCTCAGGCGTATGCGCGTCGGCCGGGGGATGAGAATCTGCAGAATCATTTGGATGGGGTGAAAAAGACTCTTGCAGATACGAGACGAGCAACGGGAATTGAGTTCCTATGCTTTAGGCAGACGAAGACTGCGAGCGCAAAGACAACAGGGGGAGGAGGAAAATCGAGAGACAGGGAAGCCAAGGACAGAGACAACGCTGGACTTCGAAGTGCTGGAGGAAAAGTGCCATAATGTTGTTTAGCGTCGTACGCAATGAGACGCAACGCCGCTTCCCATCAGTTACAACAAGTTCTACGTCCATACAGGATCTATACACTCATGGTTTACCGATTGAGAGATTCAACTTGTATGGAGATAAACGTAAATTTGTTAGTAGATACAGTTGAATTTACACAATTAAGATAAGTAGAAATATATCATACGAATGTTGTATTGTAGCGTTCAAGGTTTCTCTAATGAATAAGGGGGTAATGACCCAGTGGACGCCGATGGTGTGAGAGCGCTCATACCTAATTCTCTCGCCTTTATCCCGAGAACACCACCAGTCTCAGTTCCGAGAGGACCACCGGGCGTAACAGGGGTAGAAGCAGCAGGTGTATTAAGTTGAGAGCGATTGTGTACCAGATGAGCGCGGACAAGATGACCTGCAGCAAGAGCGCTCATCAACGAAAGTTCCCCTGCCATAACGGCCGCAGCAATTAAGCGAGCAAGGGCTTGAGCATTTTGACCAGGATGTGTAGGGTGAGCACCCTTGAACCCAAGCATTTCGAGAATAGCCTGTTGGGGAGCGAGGACGGTTCCACCGCCGACAGTACCGACCTCAATGGAAGGCATTGAGACTGTCATAAGTAAGTCTTCACCGTTATTGGTACTAGAATACGTCAGTTTTCAAGAGCACACAGATGAAGAATTCAACTCACGGTTCCATGAGTGTCATACAGTTAGAACTTTCAACATTTTGCGCAGGATCTTGACCAGTAGCAAGAAATATAGCCGTTAAAATGTTGGCAGCATGAGCGTTGAAACCACCGATAGATCCAGCCATTGCACTTCCAATTAAGTTCTTCTTCGTGTTCAGATTGCAAAGTGCCTCTACTGTTGTCTTCAAAACACTCTTGACGACCTTCCCTGGTATGACCGCCTCCGCAACGACGCTCTTTCCCCGACCCTCTATCCAGTTAATCGCTGCTGGCTTCTTGTCTGTACAGTAGTTGCCAGATAATGCCAGTGTAATCATGTCAGGGAAGTGTTGCTGCATGACTTCCAAAGCCTTCTCGGTACCTTTAGATATCATATTCATACCCATGGCATCCCCAGTGGCAGTGGCGAACCGGACAAACAACGTTCGGCCAGCCATCGCGCATTTGAGACTGCGCAGTTTCGCAAACCGCGATGTTGACTCGAATGCTTCCTTGACAATAGAGTAGCCCTCCTCAGAGTCAATCCAAGCCCTACATTTCGCAGCCTGGACGATAGAGGGAAAGTCGATAGCAGGCCCTCGGGTCATTGCATCCTGAGTCAAGACGGTGGTCACTCCTCCACCAGCATTCAAAGCCTTGCATCCACGAGAAGTGGAGGCGACGAGTGTACCTTCAGCTGTGGCCATGGGAATAGGAAATAGATGACCATCGATCTTCAGAGGCCCAGCAATACCTAGAGGAAGGGGAATGAAACCGACCACATTCTCGCAGCAAGCGCCCATAACACGAGAGTAGTCGTAATGACGCATAGGTACGTCCGAATGTTCGAGGGTTTGTGTTGACGATGCACGAGCTACAGAATTGGCTTGTTTGACAGACAGACTTACAGAGAATAAATTGACTTACAGATCAGCGCACGACGAATTCTCACAGCCCTCTCATATTCAGTGTTTCCTAGTACCTTCTCTAGCGCATATGCGGCTACCTTTCCATTTTGAGCCAGAAGAATAACCTCCTCATCGTTCAATAATGACAAAGCGACGCTGACCGGTCGGGGACCCTTTTCAAAGATCTCGATGCATTCCTCGAGCGAACGGACAATCACGTCATTTTCCTCGTTATCAGAAGACGACGACGACGCATCTTGGGAGGAAGAGCTCTGAGTGAGACGACGTGCTTGAAGCCTGCGGTCGACTTCATCGAGTGTAAACGTTGCTGGACGACGAGGTGCCGGAGCGGGAGCAATGATTGGCGGCGGCATGAGAGCAATAGGCGAGACAGGTTGCTGTACTACGACAGGTTCGGAATGTGCGTAAGATGATGAGGGTTCAGCAGTAGCGTCACCGCCAAACCGAACGCCACCCAATTTTGCCACGGATCCCTTCCCACCAAGGCCTGCTGCAATCCCTTTGAGCAAGTAGCCATTCAAGCTAATAGAGACTGCCAGAACCATCACAATCCACTTCGACAGGACAGGATCTCCTACAAGACGGGACCAGCTCGACATAAAGTTTTCCACTATTTCCGAGGTGGAACGAGAGGTACCAGAATCAGACGAAGAGCTCGCGGAATCGTGAATAGCAGAGTCCAGGGGTATAACCCGAACATGAATGGAGGGGTTAACCTTAACTAAAAGACCATGGTTATTTGTCTCGGTACCCTCGTTGACTTCGGCCTCAATGTGCTCGGTGGCAGCAAGGGAGTTCAGGACATGCTGAATCGCAGGAGTCGAGATGTCAACCTTGCGGAAAGAGTTTATTGACTGCAGGGAGAGATGTCGTTGAGGAGTTAAGGGAGTAATGAAGTTGAGGATATGCAGTGTGAGGAAAGTAGTGATCTGGAGACGACACTCATGAGTAGGGGTGCATGAAGCTAATGATGAAGGCGTGTATTTACCAGGAGCAATTTGAGGCGAGCTACAGGATTCTCAGGCTTATCCTGTTTCTTTCCGGGGGTTGCAGGGAGGCTGGATCCCTTTTCACCTAAAACCAAGGAAGAGATTTTTTTGCCTAAGCTGGGATGCGACGGACGAAGCTTTGGTGAACTAGTAGGCGAAGTAGCAACAGAGGCGACTCTGGAAGCAACTCTGGATTTCGAGATAGCCCGAATGGATTGAATACGACGGACCTAAGGAGGAAACACGATCAGTAATGTCGAACGACCCCGTGATTGAAGTCAAACTTGCCTCAATCATGACACAAAGGATCGACGATAAGAACGTGCATAGCAACAAGCAGTCCATGCCAAGGACGAGAGCAGCAAGCGCGCACACCTCGCTTAGACCGTTGACTTTACTGTAAGCTCCAATGACAAGAACGGCAATCTCAAGAACATAATCACGAAATATGGGAGTATAGACACTGCTCAACGACTCGAGCACAATTTCGCCTGCAGGCTTTAGTTGTCCATTTGAGCTAGAGCCACCTACAGGGCTTTGTAGATGAGGATGACTGAACACCACTCGAGCCAGGCGCAGAGGTTTGTCAAATCCGACCGTGCACACGAGGAACGGAAGGGCTTCCGTTAGGGCAACTGGATCCATGGGAATGCGGAACCACATAGCAATCGGCAGGGACAAAAGAAGTGCGAATACGGAAGAAGTAAAAATGGCAGAAGGAAGCCAGAAATTTGAACCGAGTCGGCGAGAACGATAGAACAACAAAAGGAAAGTGGCGTGCATGAGGACGTAGCCGGCCAAGATCAAGACGATGTCGAGGGAATCTGCTTTCTGTATATGGTAAAATCACATTTGAGTGATTCATACGGCGCGGTGTTAAAAAAGATGACATACCTTGGCTAAATCCCAGAATCGTACGACAAGAGCGGTAGCGGCATACGCTACCCATTTGCTACTCTTCATGTCACCGATTGCCTCAGCCTGTTTAGCTTCTACTTCAAATTCCACGCCACCGTGGAACGGAGAAGACTTGATCAAACGGTCGAACGCGACAGTAAAGTCTTCCTTGACACCTGGTGTGAACGCAAGGGTTTGATGAATGGACCGAGACTTGACCAGCTCATTTGTAAAGCAAGGCGCTTCGAGTTCAAGCGCTTCGCTACTGACGGGTCTGAAACAGGCGTTGTCATATGCGAATCCCGATATGGAAGTAGGTATTTCTTTTGTGAAGTTAAGAACCGATTCGGTCAAATCTGTATTTGCAAAGAATGTCAACCAGTCGGGAGTGGTCTGTGAGAAATCATTAGGTCGTTCAACACGTAAGGATAATATGATGCGCACCTCCGTTAACCGATGAACGGAATCTAACGAATACTCGACTGGAAAGAGTTCGAGAGGAAGTATGGAGGCGTCGGGAGAGTATTTGGCTTTCGCGTGATGCCAGAAGGTGTCTCGGACACTGACCCATTCGTTACCACGTAAAAGAGCATGTGAAGGGCGTAGAATAGAAGGATAAGAGGGTGCGAAGAAGGCTGAGTGTTTGATGGCGGAAAGGACATGGAAGTAAGCCAAAGTTCCAACTATGGAGAAAAAGACGATAGTCTCAATGGGAGAATAGGCGGCATGGATTACGAAGGGCTTGAGTACAGCGCGCATAACGAAAATAGTGCGCTGAACGCTCTAGACAGGAACGAATACTAACGAACAACAGTCAGTAACCAGCAGTGGAATCTATGGGGGACCTTGAACTTACGGAGTGCAGTATTAGTTACGTCTGGAGCGGCCGCGTTTTAACCAGACTCTCAAAGTGGTGCCAGTTGAAGGGCAATGATTTCGGGAGGTGGTACGACACTCTGGTTTGGTTTTATCTATTTCTTGTTTATTGTCAGGGACAAGAAATTTACCCTTGAAATTCCTAATTTAAGCACCCGTGAGAACGTTTCTTCAAATTTTTCACAGTTTCTCCCAGAAACTGTCACGAAATTGGCCATAAAACCGGGTATCGCGAGGTACAGGCTGAGTACAGCTGTTCTACTCGTATATTTTTTTCGAGCTTTGCGGCCGTTGTGCTGATTCAAGTTCATTCTTTCTTCGGGACCTCCTTATCGGCTATGCAAGTTGATGAATCTCGGAATGTTTTGAAACACATTGATTAAACATGGTATAATACAATAAGTACGGCAGTTTCATCCTTTGTCTGTTACATAGACCTACAAGCTCTGAAGATCTGAAGGCTTTTGTGTATTGAATAACTCGCGCCTCTTTCTTCATTGCCTCAAAGTTGCGAATGATTCCTGATTTTTAATGTCAGCCTCCCTCGAGGGGTCTGCTTTAGGCCTAAGTATCCCTGGATATAGTAGACATCTCAAATTGTAGTGCACTCTTCGTCTTTCTCTGTACCTCAAAGTTCGACTTGTGCGTTGCCTGTCATATCTCACTGTTAAATCGCTTCTCATAATGATAAACGAATTTTATTGTTAGTACTAGTAAATGCGGTAGCTTAGCATGGTGGCAAGGGTAACCCTATTACAGTCTTATCTCGATAGCACTATCGAGTAACCTTTTCCTTATCAAAATGATCCAGCACTCAAGGTGCCTCCTCAGTAATGGCCTCCATCGTCTCTCGATGATCGAAACATCCGGAACATCGACTGTTATGTATTCTTGCGAGGTCTTGAGCCTTGAATGTTGAGACGTTGACGCGTTGAACTGACCTGTGAGGCGACATTTCCGAAGATAAACAATCGGAAACGGGATTCGGACGGAACTTTGACAAGCTCCGACAGTCTAAACTGCGGCACTGCAGCTAATTTGTGTAATCTTCCGTTCACATACATACATATGCTGTACGATTGCTGCACTACCAACATTGAAATGTTTCGTTATGCCAGACAATTTCCAGAGGTCGAAATCATGCAGTGCAAGGTGTTGATAGTTACAGTGGTGAGGGAAAGCTCGATACCTTCGAAGTTCAAGTGGGATTTTCAAGCAGGCGCAGTAAATGGAGGGATATTCACCGTATATTGGTGGTCATGGGTACAAGATAGAAGGCGTTGCTCCGCAATCCAAAGGTGCAATCCGAATTGAGGGCGTGAGAAACTGTACAGCTACCTGATTGATTCGGGTCACGAGGAAAGTCACGCACATCGTGGGGCTGAATTTCCAGTCCGTCCAATCCTCCGCCAACGAAGTAGCGCAACCGCAAGAATGGTCAACGTCCCCAAGTTTGTACATTTTATTTGGAATATGTGCGGTGGGGTTTAAACACTCATTTTCTTTACTCTCGTCTCTAGGACCCGCCGAACCTGTAAGTAGTCCTTATGCCAAGTTGATCTGAAGATCGTGTAATCATTGGCTTTGTTCGTCTTTTATTTCGAAGACTGCAAGGGCAAGACCTGCAAAAAACATACGTGCGTCATCTCGGTGTACTTGCTAGCATTCCGTGTTACTGAGTCATTCAATAGGCCCCATAAAGTGACACAGTACAAGAAGGGCAAGGATTCATTGTTCGCACAGGGGAAGAGACGTTACGACCGTAAGCAAAGCGGTTACGGTGGTCAGACGAAGCCGGTCTTCCACAAAAAAGTGCGTCGTTGTCTGTTCCTCGAGACAGATATTGATATCGATTCTGTTAGGCCAAAACAACGAAGAAGGTTGTTCTACGTCTAGAATGTACAGTCTGCAAGTACAAGGCACAGATGACACTGAAGAGGTGCAAGCAGTGCGTATCCTTCATGATTTCCATTTAGTCTGGAATCTCATGAATATCAGCTTCGAACTTGGTGGTGAGAAGAAGACTAAGGGTGCCGCTCTGACTTTCGTAGGCTTTTCCCCTTTATTCACCGTTTATCTACTCACAGGTCGATATCTTCCCAGTAATCATCTGTTCTTCGTGTTTCTATGTACATCATGCTCTCGCAATGACTATGCAATCACTGTACCTTTGCCCATGCCTCATGTCGTTCGTCTCTTTCTTCCAAAATACGGATGAATTCTGAAATCTGGACCACCCTGAGATTTACCAATGATAAAGCAGTCATATATAGCTACCATGAGTACATCATTAGAATGAGCAAGACGTATTGTAGAACCCCGATTTCCTGAGTGCTGACTCAGTGGAGTTTCATTATGACCATGGCGCGCAGATTGCGCGCGGGGGTTGTTTGCAACTTTCCATCTGTACATCCACATGTCCAAAAAGACTGTAGCTCCAAAGGAATCGAATAGATATCTGTCATCTAAAGAGTCATCCTTGTTCAAGGAACTTCTGTCTCTGTATGAAGCAAAACAGCTCAAGAAGGGCCTCAAGGCAGCCGACCAAATTTTGAAGAAATACCCCGAGCACGGTGGTAAGTGACAACTTCTCAAGTTTCACAAATTCCTTTCTCTATCTTTGTACAGAGACACTATGCATGAAAGGTCTCGTTCTGGTGCACATGGGCAGGCGAGAGGAGGGGATAGAGCTGGTCAGAAAGGGCATCAGGATGGATCTCACTTCGCACATCGTCTGGCACGTCTTCGGACTCATCCAGAAAGGAGAGAAGAAGTATGAAGACGCCCTCAAGTCCTACACACAAGCTCTCCGATTCGATAAAGTCCGTGACGTGGATAATATTCTTCGAATAATACCTGACAGATGAGTAGGAGAATATGAACCTTCTACGGGACGTTGCTCAGCTGCAAACACAACTGAGGCTTTATGATAGTCTTGTTGAGACGAGATATATGCTTCTTAGACTGCGACCCACAGCGCGGCAAAATTGGATTGCGTTGGCTGTTGCGTACCACTTGAGCGGCAACCTCGCTGAGGCAACGAAGGTACTGGTTGAGTACGAGAAAACACTCAAGGTTCGTGGTTCGCTGACCGCTGTTAAATTATGTGCTGTTTTAACATGTCCTTAGAATGTTCCTCATTATGATGTAGAACACTCCGAGACGCTACTTTACCACGTCCGGGTATTGGAGGAACTAGAACAATACACTGAAGCTCTCGCGTTGCTGGATGTCAGTGCTAAAGATCGTGCAATCGTAGATAAGACTGCTATAATGGAAATCCGAGGTGAATTAGCTTCATTGAAGTCCCAACTCTTGCACATTCAATTTTTTAGCCCGACTGTTATCAAAACTGAGATCGGCTGAGGCGGAACATGCTTGGAAGGTACTGATCGAGCACAACCCGGAATGTTACGATTATTACAAAGGTTATATGTCGAACCAAGGTCTCAACTTAGGTGTGTATGAATTGCCAGTATTATGCGTGTCCTTTACCAAATGTTAGTTAGATGAAAATCCCTCTGAAGCGCTTGTTATCCTTCGGGAATTCTCCACGCAATTACCCAAGGCTAATGTTCCCCGCCGATTGTCCCTGTCGCTAGCATCCAACGAGGAATTTCAAGCACTAGCTCAGCCTTACCTCCTTTCCGGTTTGAAGAAAGGCATACCCTCGCTCTTCGTCGACGTCAAATCATTGTACGTGGATCACGCTAAATTGAGATCTCTACAAGACATCGCAGAGTCAATACGGAAAGATACTACACCCGATCCATCTAGTGCGCCATCTTCTACATCTACGGAACCAACGACGTATCTATGGTCTCTGTACTTCCTCGCCCAACACTACTCTTACCTATCGGAATACTCAAAGGCGATGGAACTTCTTGACCTAGCTATTGCTCATACGCCTACTTTACCGGAACTATACACCTGCAGAGCTCGAACTCTTAAACGTGCTGGAGACTTCTTTGGCGCCTCGTGCGCGATGGAGGATGCGAGACTTTTGGATGGACAGGACAGGTTTTTGAATACCAAAAGTGCAAAGTATAGGATGAGGGCGGGTTTAATTGATGAAGCTAGTACATTGTTAGGGCTTTTCACAAAGGTGTGTATCGTATATAGAAAAACATATCATAATCTTTACCTCTGACTAATTCTCTAGAAAGATGCACCAAGTCCAGGGGCCGACCTAGAGGAGATGCAGTCGTTGTTCTATTTACTGGAAGAAGGAGATGCACATCAACGTGCAGGAAGGTTGAATCTTGCGCTCAAGAAGTACACCGCTGTCCAAAGAGTGAAGTGGCAACTCAATCGGATCATAAGAATACTGTGTGCTCATCCTTCTTGATAGGTTTTTGACGACTATGAAGATGACCAGTACGACTTTCATGGTTATTCCTTGCGCAAGTTCACTATCAATGTATACCTAAAGTGAGTACTTCGCCTTAAAGATAATGCGTGTACACCTCATCTCTGCAACTGCTTGCATTTAGCATGCTGGATTGGGAGGATCATCTCCGATCACATCCTAGTTACATCAAAGCTGCTCTAGCTGCTTCTCGAGTGAGTGACGTTTGAATTGACACACTACAGTACATGATCTCTTTAAATTCATTAGATATATGTTGACGTCTTCGACGACCCTAAGCTCGCGTCTAACAATGTCGATGGTGAGGTTGAACACCTTTGATCCTAACAGATCTCTTACCCTATTTCTCCGTTTATCGCCCCAGGCGGCGGAACAGATGCAGAGAAAAAGGCCAAGAAAAAGGCGAAAAAGGCTCAGAAGGAAAAGGAAGATGCTGCAAAAAAAGGTACATACAGCGAACATTAATTGGAAAAGTTGTCCTGAACTTCTTTACTTCGTCCACTATAGCCGCAGCTACAGCCCCAACCACTTCGACGAACGAAGACAAAGGGCTTGACGTACCTTACAAAGATGACGACCCAGATGGGATGAAGCTCCTGTCTTCACCAGAACCGTTGACGCTTGCTGCAAAACTGCTACAGCCTTTAACAACGCTTGCTCCAAATAATATTGATGTCTGGATATCAATCTACGATGTTGCCATCCGTCGAGGTGGGCATTTACATTTCATCTTGGAAGCCATCTCACTCGGGTATCACTATGCAGGAAAGCACCTGCAAGCAGTCCAAGCTTTAGCTCGCGCGCGAGCGTTAAATCCGGAGCATCCCGAGTTGCATGTACGCATTATACATGCTAAGCTTTCTGGTCAGCTTGCCCTTCGACTCATTCGTCTGTCTTGACCACTCAATAAATTTCTGATACAGCTTCAACTATTCCCGAACCTATACCATCTCCAAGTGGACCAGTCTTCACTGAGACGCTCGACAAGATACTTCCAGAAGACATTTCCCTAGCGACGTTTAATTCACAGTATCTACAAAACCATTTAACATCCGCCAAAGCAGTCTTGGCCGCTGCGCAAGCGTCTCGTATGTTGGGGACGCCGTTACAAGAAGTGGAGGATCTGGTATTTACGGCGCTGCGCGATGAAGTCCTGCTGGATATCAAAGTAGTCGTGTCTATCTTATTTGCTTGGATAGAGGTTCACTCATTCATTTTCCAATGTAGACTGCACTAGAAATATCTGGTTTCCTCAAAAAGATCAAATCATTACGAGTGGATGAATTGCACAAGGCTCTCGATGCCAAATTCATTATGTCAACGGCTTTCAAGACACCGGAGGAGCTTGCAAAAATACGGGAAGCGGTTTTGACGACCAATGCCAGCAGCGGCAACGACAGGCCAGATAACGATACTATACCTGTAGAGAACGAAACTGAGCTAGGGAGGGTGGAGGCTGGTGGATCGGCGTAGTTACGCGACATCTTTATCCTAGACGCGCAATTGCTCAATAATATGTGCACTCCATATCTGCTTGAATCGCAACGAATACGGACTCGAAAAAAGTGGCTACATCATTACTGAAAAACTAATACGAAGACACTACGAAGACGATAATACATACATGGTACAGTTCTTTTCGTACTACAAATAAATACGTTGTGGGTAAGCGGGTACACTGTTCCGATTTCTGCGCAAAGCATCAAGCTTCAAGTTTCAAGGCTTGATTGCAATCTTCAATGCTTTCCTACTGTTCATCTTGTCCAATGCTGCCTGATAGTCTTCCAGTTTGAAGACGTCGGTAACCATCCCCTTCACCTTGATCTTACCGCTGTCGAGGTATGCAACAGCGCGCGGGAAGCAATATGTTTGTGAGAAGGATCCGATGATCTAAAGCAGGAATTTGGTCAGAAGCTACAGTGTGAAAACGAAGGGATGCATGAACCTTGATTTCATCACCGAAAATCTTGCTTGGAGGCCAGTGTACTAGAGCCTTATTCTCGTACACGCCATATATCATTAAGGTACCTCCTCGTCTGACATAGTTGATACTCTCATTCGCTAGCTTCTCCACACCCGTTGCTTCTACGACAACGTCAAAGCCATAAGGATTATCCTCCTTGAGCTTCTTCCACTGCGCCTCAGGTTGCTGCCTGTCGAGTTCAATGTATTCGTCTCCGGCCTCAAGATCTTTGGCAATATCCATTTTGATACCCTTATTGGCAGCAATGACGACTCGCGATGCACCATTGAGTTTGAGCAGCTGTGCGAGAATAAGACCCGTTGGTCCAGCACCAAGGAGGAGAACCTCGATTCCAACTTGGGGGTTGAGCTTGTCGAGGCCGTGGATAGCACATGCGGCGGGTTCAAGAAGTGTGGCTTCTTCGTCGCTTAGGTTCTTGATCTTGTACAGCTTCTTTTGTTGACTACACGAGAGAACAAATGAGCCTCCAATTTTAAGTATAACGTGTGAGGCGCTTACTATACGATGTAGTCGGCAAAACCACCATCTTGGGTCACCCCTCGAGCGTTAAAGTGTTCACAAAGTAACTCTTGGCCACGCCTGCAGTAAAAACAACTCCCGCACTAAAAAAAAGCATGAAGAATCCACGCTGTCGATGGGTTTACATTCGCCACATACCGTGATTCCGACATCAGCGACACAGCGGTCACCTTTTTCAAAGCCTTTCACGTTCTTGCCCATCTCAACGACAGTTCCGATGGCTTCATGTCCCGGAATAAGTGGAAATTTGGAAATGAATTCGCCTACGTAGGTGCGTTGATTTCTTCAATACTCGGATTGTATCAATCATGACTGTGAACTTGCCTTCGTGGATGTGCCCATCTGTACCGCATACACCACAACAAGTGACTATTTAAATGCGGTTAGCTGTAAGGCATTGAGGTATGCATACGTGGGCATACCCTTCAAGAGCACATCGTCGTCACCGACTTGAGGAATTGGGACTTCTTTGATAGAGAATTTGTGTGGCTACAAGCAGCGATACTTTGAACTCAGTAGCAAGGATAGATAGCGCATATATTGAGACTTACTGCGTCGTACCAGAGGGCTTTCATTTTTCCTTCAGGCATGGTGGATGAAATGATTAGATATGACAATTCTTGAAAGAGGAGGGAGCTCTTTATATCAATCGCGGGATTTCCGTGACGTCATTCAATAATTCTAACGGTCCGACTCTCGACCCTAGATTTTTCCGTCTACTGGGGTCACCTCTGGTTACTTCGAGAACTCAAGCCTCAAGCTCAAGTTTAATACTTAGCCAGGCGAGCCTCAAAGGGGTTCCTATGGGCCATGAAGCGGTCTCTTGATAGGCTCATAACATTCACCGAGCTCCATAGCCAATCCTTATCCTTCCTTATCGCTCTCAGGCTAGTATCACCTGCATCATAATTACCAATCTTCCGAGATACCAGTTCCCAATAAAATGCAGGCGGAGCACTTACCCGCTACAGCACATGCATTGGTTGAACCCTCAGAACATCCACAGAAATTCGCACTAGAAGAATTCTAGAAATCGAGTACTAATATCAAGTATCGCATTGAATAAGTCCATGGTTTTTCATCTAAGTATGGGTCTTGATACAATGATACAAGTCACGCAGGCCTCGAATCGCCTCGCCGGAATATCGCCGGAGTTCGACATTTCAGCAATCATTTCTCGAAGTGAGGGGCCAGTGCTCAACGACTCGTCCAGTCCCAATATTAGATCATTTCCTTCAGTATCGTAAGGAAGCGCTACTAAAGTTGATGAAGTTCACTGACAATGGACAACACTTGCATCTATTGCTTTCGGTAGATCTTTGCGAACTCTAGTCCCTTGGGCCAGTTCACAACGAACGCAACACATCCGCACATCTCGCACATGTAGTTTCTTCCTTTGCGTGTTTCGTATAAGTCCAACACCGCGGGCACTTGGCTACCGAAGCTGGCCGAACGCGTATTCCAAGTGCGTCTAGATTTCCAAAAAATCCCAAATATAAGCCGTTTGGCCTTCACCTGAGAAATTTACAATGCATACCTAAATCTTCCCCAACGTCTAGTGACTCTGTGTATACCCACACTGAGGACTGTGAACCACTTCCGAGGGAGCCTTCGTCGACCAGAGACGCATCGGAAGTGATGAAGAGCGTTTTGAGTATTTGTTCTGAAAGAAACGTTCTTCAAGCGATCAAAACAGAACTTGGGGTATCTCAGTACCTTCTCGTTTTAAGAGTTCTGCCACAGGATGATCTCCTCCCTCGTTTGGCAACAGGATGTCTACCTCCGCTTCTAGGGAACTTTTAACTCTTCTATTCACCAGAAGTAGGATCAAGTAATTATTAGAGAGTGCACAGATTCAAAGGGAATGCTACGTACTTATGTCCCCTTGCTTCCTCTAATAAGCCGAGAACCGCCTTCCTGATTTTCAATAGATAACTCATATCTTTCGCTGCTGCATAATCTTCCCATTCCGGATCCTACAAGCATAATAACATAACGTGTATTTTCAAAGAGGGAAGGACGAAAACTCACGAGTGGTTTCCACCCTTTCTCAAAGAAAGATTTCGGATGTAGGTTCTGATCACGAGATAGATGTTGATGTATTTCCTCAGCCAAATGAGGAAGGATTGGTGCCAAAATCGAAGTCGTCGTATCCAGAATCTGCAGGGTATTATCTATGAGAAACATGGAAAAATGGTGTGTTGAAAGCCGAACCTTTTCGAGAACAGTGACAACGGCTTTCCTCTCGATGCTTTGGAAGGAGTTGGCATACAGGCAATCCTTGGTGATATCAAAATACAACGAAGAGAGTGTAGTGTTGGCGAAATTTACAAGTGCTGCAGTCACTGTAAAATTATGTAGTATTCAGAACATAGAACCAAGCCAAAGCCAATTTCTTTACCTTTCGCGAAATCAAATTCCTCGTAGCCTTTCAAAGCAATCTTCTCCAGCACATACAACTCGTGCATAACAAATCGTTCAACCAAGCCCATGTCTTTTCTTTGGACCCTTTCGAGCCCTTCCAACGCTGTACCGTCTCTGATATTACCCAACATAAATCTTGCGGAATTTCGGATCTTACGCATCGCTTCGGCGGTTTGGGTCAACGACGTACGCCCAATCGATATGTCGGTTTTGAACTCTACAGAAGCGGCCCATAGGCGGAGAATATCAGCACCATAGGCGGGGTCGTTCTTCTTGTCCTATGAACATATATAGCATCAGGGTGAATTCCTTAAGTAATGTACGAAGACTCACAGTTCCTCCCAGAACGATGGTCAAAGGGCTTACGATATTTCCGAGTGACTTGCTCATCTTCTTCCCCTTTTCGTCTAGTACCATTCCATGTGTAATGAGTGTACCATAAGGGCTGCGCAATTTCGCATTCGGACTCGCAGTTTCGCTGGGATACTCCGTAATCGTTTCTGAAGCAGACCCCACCGCAGTCAAAAGTTGACTTTGGAACCAACCCCGATGCTGGTCAGAGCCTTCCAAACATACGTCCGCACGGAACGATCTACCCTCAGATGGAGGATCTAACATCGACCAGGAAGTCCCGCTATCGAACCATACATCCATTGTATCCGTGGATTTCTGCCATTCCCCTACATCGACCGTTTTCATTTCAGGAGGAAGGAATTCCTCCACCGGCCCTTCCCACCAATGTTTGACACCCTTTTCTTCCAAGACATTAATGATGTGTCGGAGAGACCCACGATTGAGCATGGCGTCTCCGGTTCTGGTGTTGAGTAGTGCAGGAATGGGCACACCCCATACACGTTGTCGGGAGATACACCATTCGGAACGAGACTGGATGAAGGATTCAAGACGATTACGGGCTGGATTAGATGTCAGTCACGGAGCTGGTATTACTGTAGTCCGAAAACTGACACTGATTTGGATAGAATTGAACATCATTCAAAGCCTTCAATGCGTCGTCCTTGATTCTATCAAGGTTCGCAAACCACTGCGACGTTGCACTATCAGTAAGCCATGGTCAATCAACCAAACCAAAAGTCAAGGGAAGCACCACGCACGTAACGATGATAGGCTTATCCGTTTTCCAATCGTAAGGATACTTGTGCGTATATCTCTTCACAGCCAATAGTCTTCCGGCTTGTTTCAAGAGTTCGACGACCCCACGCGACCCTTCTTCAAGGACGGGTTTTCCAACGAGCATGTGCGCAGCGGGACCAACTACATCGACAACTTTTTCGGAAAATAAACCATCGTGGACGTGACAGATCAAGGTGTTTGACATGGCGGTGGAAGGAGACTGCGTTCCAGAGGAGATCAAATCATGAGAGCGGAACAGTTTATAGTCCTCTTCTCCGTGAGCAGGAGCACAATGTACCAGACCCGTACCCGACTCCGAAGTGACGTGTGAAGATCCTAAAATTCGCATTGCAGGAGGTTCTGTATTACACAAAGAGGAGAAGATTGGAGAGTATTGAAGACCGACTAAATCTACGCCTATAAAAACATGCTGAGTATCGTTCAGGAAAAAACGTCATGTAAGTACCTTTCAGCTCTGCGAGTATTTCGATAGGCCCAAGAATGTCTTGGAGGGCTTCGAGTCGACTTTGAGCAACTAAGGTCAAAGAAGAGTCGGTCATCCGACGAAGTAGTGTGTATACCATGTCTGAATGCACTGCAATGCCCTAAAAGATGAATTAGGGAGGACTGTACTGGAAGACTTGTAATCCATACCATGTTCGCAGTCAAAGTCCAAGGCGTTGTAGTCCAGACTAGAAGTTGGATTGGCTCAAATGAAGATAAGTTGGTGGTTTTGAGTACTAATTCAGCAGAGGGGTGATCTAGAGCGAATGTAACGTATACAGAATGGGACACATGGTTCTCCTTGTATACTAACTCCGCCTCTGCTAATGCGGAGCGAGATGAAGGTGAATAATGTACTGGGCGATATCGGCGATGTATGAGACCTATGGCATCTCAGAACATTTAGCCTTAGAGCAGCGGATTCAGCATACCGTTGTTAACCATCTGTTCAAAGATACGCAGCTGTCTCATTTCATAGCTGTGATCCAATGTGCGGTACGTGGACGCGTCGTCGTCCCAATCAGCCATGATACCAAATTGACGGAATTGCTCCTTCTGCGATGCAATTTCTCGAACAGCCACTGCATGAGCAGCAGCGCGTATAGTAGATGGAGGAATATTAGAAGAATCTTTCTGAACAGAATTTAGAGACGTATGATGAATAGGAACAGTCGACGCGCACTCCGAGCTCTTTCAAAGCTTTATTTTCGATAGGTAAACCGTGGCAGTCCCATCCAGGAATATAACTACCCGGAATGAAATCTTCATTTATAGAAGCCTTTGAAACGGGATGGGGAACGCACTGTACTTTTCTACTCTTCAACAACGCGAACCGATTAATGATATCTTTGAGGATCTTGTTTAAAGCATGTCCTACGCAATTGCCCAGTCAAGACGCGCGGAGACAATGGAATCAAGTTCACGCCTACCCATGTGTAAATCCCCGTTAGCATACGGCGGACCATCATGAAATACGAATTCTGGACCATCGATATTCTTTCGCTAGGGTTCTTGGTCACGAAAGAGTTCACAATGCTGATCGATGTTCTCCTCACCTGCCATCTGTACAGTTCCTCGCAAGTCCGTGAGCGGTACAAAATTTCGTTCTTCGTTGGGTCCGGTCGCAGTGGAAATGCGGTCTTGGGCAAGAAAAGAGTGTCAGAGAAAGCCTTTGTGTCTAATGGAACAGTACTGAAAGCTCGCGAGAATCGAGCTCCAGCATTTTTGAGCATCAATTTCAAAACGCGAGTCGGAGTAAGGTTGGCGTCTAGTTTCCCACCGTCTCTCTCTTTATCTCTTCCGTTTCATTCGTATGTTGGGTACTTTGATTCCTCACAATATCTGTTTCTGACTTCTAACATCAACTAGTCATTGGTCTCACAGGCGGTATTGCCACCGGGAAGTCTACTGTTTCCAAACTTCTTAAAGAACGGCATGTCCCTGTCATCGACGCCGACGTTATCGCCCGCCAAGTGGTTGAACCTGGCACTTCTTGTCTAGCGAAGATCGTCAAAAAGTTTGGTGACGGGATCCTGATTTCCGATGGCTCGTTGGACCGCAAAGCACTTGGCTCTATCATATTCAAGGACGAGCAGAAGCGAAAGCAATTAAATGCTATTGTACACCCAGCAGTTAGACGGGCGATGTTCTGGGGTGTTGCCAAGTGCTGGTTGAAGGGCGAGAGATTCTGTGTATTGGATGTACCCTTGTTGATAGAGGGACCGCTGTGGAAGCTAGTGTATAAAGTGGTGCTTGTATATTGGTGCGCCGTTTCTCTGTGTCCTTAAATTCTGACTGACTTTCGATGTTACATGTAGTCCTCCCGATATTCAACTTCAGCGACTGATGCTCCGCGACAACTCCTCTATTGAAGATGCTTCCTCACGACTGGACTCTCAAATACCTATCAATGACAAACTCAGATACGCTGATGACCGGATAGACAATTCTGGAGGAGTCGAGGAGCTGAACGCTAAAATCGATGCATTTGTTGCGGGGCTCAGGAAAGAGGCTGGATGGAGTTGGGTTGTAAGTTGGCTAATACCACCATATGGTATCGTCTCGGCAGCATGCATTCTGGCATGGCGTGCACTTTGGCGGTCGCACAAGCTGAATGACAAGAGCACCTAATCGACTTTGTGCGTAGTGTCGACTCCTTTGTAACATCCGTACAAAATCAATCTATGGACGCATACTCTATCTGTACTTTTCGGTCTTCGTATCAACGGAGGTAGGTCTCAATGATTTCTTCTCACTGATAAGTGTTGAATCTTCAATCTATCGCAAGACGGCACAAGGTAGGCCTAAATGGTGTTTAACACGAGAAACTTCGAGGTCTCTATGTTAACGACAACCTATAGAGGACTTGGTCACCAGGCTATGCACAAGGTTGTGAACACCTGAAGCAATTTAGAAGCAACTTGCACGAGTATGTTTTCACATCTTGACGCGTGTATAAGCTTTCTGTATACATACAACGCAGGAAACATCGGAGAAATCCTGGCATAGACTAAACACAAACCCTGAATCGCCACTCGTTATAAGTACAAGGCCAGCGGACGTCATGACCTGTTTCTACCTATTTTGACTTATCTCTCACTTTTTCTTGTCCAATCGAATATATCGAACCGCGGTTGCACATGGTGACGGTACACTCATCAGAAAAAGTTTGCTTATATTCTTGCATGATGTCGACGACGTTCGTCAAATATTTGGGCTCTGACGGTCCGAGCTCGGTCATGGGCGTTGCAACAAACTCGAAAATAATAAAGTCGTCCATGCAGTGAGTGATCACCTGAATTCTGATTCCACGCAAACACCCATTTACAAGCATCGATGCATTGCATGTATATTTCTTTGACTCCTCATGTATATAAAGGAACACCCACACGGTGATAGTGCAAACTTCATAAAGAAGGTCCCTCTGCCCAACGATAACAACAATGATTTATCTTCGGTAAGCATTCTAGGTTACTAAGTCTCATGTTGGTATATGATCACGAAGATGTTTTATAGCAACCAGTTCTCCGCCGTAGTGTTGGCTGTTGCTTTCTTAGCGATTCCTTTAGTTCGAGCTGCAACGACAGTAATCCCGTCTACGTCATTTTCTTCGTACACTACTTTGGAGCAGTACTGGGCGTATCTATACCCCTGGGGATCGGACCACAACGGGAGTAAGCGCTCTCGCTCTTCCTCCACAATTTCGACTGAGCTCTGAAATGTGAAAACCTCTTTGGCAGGTGCTCGGATGGTTGGGAACTCGAGCTACCACGAGAATATCGTGATTGCATCCAGTACACTTAGCCTGATTGCAACACCGACGTCGGGTGCTGTTCCGCCTACCAGTACGGCGAATCCGAATCCAGCAATTCATTATGCCAGGTAAAGAATAACAAAAAAAACTACGCAGAAACTCAATAATGCTCTGAAGTGGTACAATCTATGCCAAGGAACAGATCACGGTCACTAGTGCAAACTCGTATACTATCACGGGAGAGTTCAGTGCCCCAACGACTTTCGGTGAGTACATCGACCTAGTCGGTGATAATTTCAGTTTTTGGCATAGATCTATCTATACTGAAGTTGCTTCACATAGGGACCTGGCCTGCATTCTGGTAACTCAATCATACTTGATTAAAATCAAATAAAATAACGACTCCCTCGTCTCCAACAGGTTGACGGTAGGCTGTGATATTTCGGACAAGTACTTATGTGACTCTTGACTTTCATTTTGTTTCAGGCAGTAGTTGGATGGCCCCCAGAGACCGACTTGGGTGAATGGAAAGGAACCGCCGACACCTGGTTCAACACCTTCAACACCTCTACAGTCGTAGTCTCGGACATTGTTCCTTGGCCTTCGGACTTATCGTTCCACTCTCTCAAAGCAGTTCTCACCGCAGAGTCGAACAATGTGGACGTCCGCATCGATTTCTACATGGACAACGAGCTGAAGACTACACAATTTGGCTCTGGATTCGTTGGCGCTGCCCTTTGGTTGTAAGTACTTGCTCTGTAAAGTTGAGACGGGGTGTGTTGATTGATATCGGCCCGGTAACAGGATCATTGATCTTCAGGTAAAGTCCCCTTCCCTAATATCGTGAAGACCCACTCATCCGTTGCAGATGGAGGGAAGCTCCGGGAGTCCAGGACCTACCGGAACGACTACCTACATGATTCGGAACGTCGAGATTACAAGGTCCGGTGATTGAGATCTGCAGAACTGGAATCATTATTTGAATTTTGAAAGCCAAGTTAAATCGAAGGATTCCGAGTCAGGATCTATTTTCCGTGTATATAACGTAGATAATTGAGGCATGATACACCACTTTACTTCCTTTGACGTGCCCCTTCGACGGTCTACAAACTCTTAGATTATTGGAACGCAGATTCCTGAAATCCTATCGGATGTCCGGGGCAACGATTTCGCCACCACGGTCCACAGCCACGCATCAATCGGAGGAAAATTCCCACGTTCTCTCGCCACGTATACATAACCGTTTTCAGAAACTGGTGGTCATTCGCTTTCTTCAAAAATTTCCAGCCTTTTTACTTCAGCGCTCAACCAATATCTTCTGTTATGACTTCTCGTATTAGTATTGCTCGCCCGCAATCCGCCAACTACAACCCTGACCCCCATGGGCTGTCCAATTCACGGCCATCCACAGGCTACCGCTCCGCCAACCCAGATGATCCCATAGAAAAGCTTCGCGCTATCAGCAAACAGGTCGAGGACAGCATCGAGATTTACGCTCAACCATTAAAGCCCCACTTGCCGGCAATTGGTCGCTTCATGATTGTTGTGACGTTTTTGGAGGATGCTTTAAGGATTCTCACCCAATGGTCCGACCAAATCTGGTACCTGCAGCAGTGCGTGCCCTTTTGGCTCAAGAGTTCGCTATCAACTAATGTTGGACAATAGACACAGGCATTTCCCTTGGGGCTTGTCACATCTGTTCCTTCTCTTAAACGTCGTTGTGAGTATCAGTTTTCGTGGACGCGTTCAAGCAGTACATGATTTCAAAAACGTTTTTATATGTGCCTGTTTGATTGACCTTAATACATACGGGATCGTGTTCTTGTTGGCCTCCTGTGATTATTATACTAAAGCCTCTGCTTATAGGTCATGCTTGGTGCTTCTGGTGCTGTGATTCTCAAACGCTATACGGAGTACTCAGTGGCGGGGTTGCTCGGCGTCGTCGTCATTCAAGGCTTTGGTTACGGGCTTATCTTCGACCTCACATTCTTCCTTCGTAATTTAAGCGTCATTGGTGGTCTTTTCATGGTATTCAGTGACTCCATGATAACACGCAAGAAACTTTTCGCCGGACTTCCATCTCTAAGCGAGACGGATCGCCGAAAATAGTGTGTCTCAATTTCGGTATTATTCCTATTACCTTCGAGTTAACGGTGGTCTATATAGCTTCCTTCTTGCCGGTCGTGTTCTCCTTATTTTCCTCTTTCTCGGATTCATCATTCAAGGTACATGGAATATCGCTCGTGTTCTCGTGTCCATCGTTGGTCTCGCTGCATGCATCATGGTCGCTGTTGGATTCAAAGCCAAGTGGTCAGCCGCCTTCCTGGTTTTTGTCCTTAGCGTCTTCAATGTTTTCGCCAATAACTGGTGGTCCGTTCCATCCGCACACCCACAACGTGACTTTTTGAAGTATGACTTCTTCCAGACATTGTGTAAGTCCCTACTTGATATTTGGCTCCTGTTTTTGAATGCTGAATATTTTCTCGTATTACAGCTATTGTGGGCGGGTTGATTCTCCTTGTCAACATGGGCCCGGGCGGTCTCTCTGTCGACGAGAAGAAGAAGAATTACTGAACCGTTCGCTCTGGTGCAAGTCTTCTGAGAATCGCTTCAATGGATAGCATGCTAGTGTATGATTCCTAATGAACTGTAGCGTGCACGAGCTACAGAGTTGAATAACGACAACCACACGCTACTTCACATGGATATCAAGGGGATTGGAGATCGCTGTGACCGTCTCTGTTTTCTGTATGCCCTCTGCGCCAAAAATTATATTTTTACTAGCTTTGTCTTTCTATATAGTGCAGAGTGGTTTAATTTTATTTATCATCGTCCAAAACTCATTTGTGCATCAGCAATAGGTGTACTGTCCAGTTATGGTAAGTGCTGTAGGATTACTTCATCAACCCGCAGAAAAGCAGAATAAAAATCTTGGTCAACTTATCTACAAAATAATTACAATAAGCTCTACAGCAAAAGATGATGTCGAACTCGAGGTCTAACGTCTATAACGTCCATGATAATTGTATGATCCTTCCTAAACCCTAAACCAAAATTTCCGTTATTGTTCCTGCGATCACAGGAACGTCCAATACCGAACGAAGGACCCAATACAAGTCCTTCCATTCGGACTTTAACATGTAGAGATGTGGGGGTCATATATATGAAATAGTATATCCCGGGGAACGTGATACAATATTCCAACCAGTAAATCAGCATGAAATCCATTCCCGAACCGTATGTAGAAGAGGACCCTAAGGTCTGGGTGCGGTTGATCCCAATATCGAGTCAACATGAGAAATGGCCTGTGCGCGCGAATGAACGAAACGTTTGCTTTTGCTCAAGACACTCTTTGTGTGTGCCCTCAGAGAGCCGAGGCTGGCATGAGGTGTATTGGATGGGATGCTCCCCGATTGTTGGGTCAACTCCGAAGCCGAGTGTATGGCTGGCTCATCGACCTGAGCTTTCTGATCCAAAGCCGCGCTAGTTGAGTTGGATCTTCGACGACTGTGCACGTGTCGACGAAATGGAGGAGGTGCGAGAAGGTTCGTCGACGATGAAGAGGTTGGAATGGCAGGACGGTGAACGACTGGGGTTGGCTTTGCACTGAATATTGACTTTCCCTGACGTCCTTTTGCGGATATGGGCATCACAACGTCAGATCCCAAATTATGTCTACTGAACTGAGGTGCTTCTTCGAATGTACTCGTGGTCGGCCAGACAGCGGTATGAACAGTGGGAGACGAGTTTCGATGGAGGACACGGGGAAAATTGGGAGGCGTGACCGTATGTGTGGGGACTGGAAGAGATTTCGTACTTTCCCTGGATGAGGGGCGAGAAGAAGATTTCAGAGGCGATGGTGGGGGTGTCATAGGCATTGAAAAGGAAGGACTGGAAGGAGTGACAGGAGACAAAGGAGTGTTAGTTATCGTTAAGTAGCCCGGTGGTGATGTTTTGTGTGAAGTGAAGGTGGGTCTGAAAGCATTTTCTGAACGAGGAGATGGAGGGAGAGAAAGGACAGAGTCCGTTGAGTGGGGTCTAAAGTTCAAGGACAAGTCCGGAGTCGACGAGTCGCTAGGTGTCACTGAACTGGAACTCTCCATTCCCTGTGTTATATCCTGAGTATCCGAGATTAACACAATCTCCCTGGACTGAGACGCAAAACCTCCAAATAGTGAAAACTGCTGACCACGGCTGGCGATAGTTAGAGGAGGAATATCTTTTCGTTGCATGATCACTTGTCACCGGAAATTTTCTCAGAAAGAAGCCGGACAGAAAGAATAGATCACTCGCTGGAGAAGGGTGGGTTGCCTGTGGCCACCAAGCCTTCACACCGACAGCCTTTTAAGAAAGGGAAGCCGTCGCCGGCGTACGACAGAGAGGAGAATTGTGCCTGGGATCAAATCAATGACACAAGGCATGGCAAGTCTGATTTACATAGGTTCACCGATTTCGGCTTGGCGCAACCTGATCAAACGGATACAGACCTCCACATCTCCTCAAGGTCATCGTCAATGCAAATAAGAGTTGAATTCGAAAGTCACACAAACAAGCAGCAAACAGAAGAAACAGAACTACGTTAGAACAAGATACAATCGACTACCGCAGAGAGAGACTGATTACCCATGTCTGTTCCGAACATAGTACGCATCAGGCGTACGCCTTCAAACACGTTGCAAGAGCGGCGTTGGGCTTGATGGCGAGTTGGGAAGCCTCAGGCTTTTCAGCAGACTGAAGTTTGAAGAGATGAAAGTTTATCAGAGATGGAAAAGGAGATAGTGTACTCACGGGACAAATAGCGATCAGGTTAGAAGCGCATGCGAGATAACTGGCTTGCAGCTTTTTAAGTTCTGCTTCGACCTCAGTCTTGACCGCAGCAAGAAGTACAGCATTAGCAGAAAGCTCGTTGAGAGCGGGAATTATGCAGTTATCAATGGAATTTTCGCTGATTGAGAGCAAGGCGAGCGCCTGCGCGTCAGTGATTAGGCCAGCGATCTGCAAAGACGATTTACAAGCCATGTAACAGGTAAGGGGGTGCCGTACTAACCTTCGCGTCGTTTGCAAGAGCGTTAAGTGCAGCGCTCAAGTTGTTGGAACTAGTAATGAGGCTCTGATAGTACAACAGACATCAGCTTTACTGTGGTTGAAGCAAAATTGAACACACGAACAAGCAAAACAGGCGCACTAACTGGTGCCTTCAGCTGCTCGATAGCGCCCTTCAGGGCAAGACAATCCTTGTTGACGACATTGGCATCATTTTGCAGCGTCGCAAAGTCCCGAGGAACGATATTCGCAAGGGCAGCAGTGACAAAGACAGCGAGAACAGAAAGACCGATCGTAAACTTCATGATAGGAAGACGATAGCTAGAGTTCGATTGAACTGTGGGGAGTAAATAATGAAAAAAAAACGCCTTTTATACCAATTATTGGCATTTCTTATTACTGAAGGTGGCACACCACGTTCGCGAGGAGAATCGGTAATCTGCATACGCTAGAAGATGTTTTGGGTTCCAACTTCGGAGCCCTATATCGATGCGACGTGTACCACTTTGACTTTTGGGTATCAGGATACCTGCATTTGCGTAAGGGCATGCGACCTCATGCGACAGTCCAAATTAGTATCAGCTAGTACGTCCAATCCATGTTCGGGAAGCTGTTGGGTTGTTACCGGTAAATGCAGCGCGCACATGCTACGAGATGCTTCAAGGATCCCATGCTGTTTTGGCCGATTTGAGAGCTTTTGAGGTGGGGTAGAACTGAGCAAGCTTCAGGAGTCACCGGGGAAACGGCGAAACATTCTGTACCGTACTATGGCAAGAATCAGCACCGATTTTGTTCTTGTTAACATTGTCAATGCACGTCTAGAAAAAGCGATGGTTATTTTAGCGCCGGTCATTTGGTACAAACAACCGAGTATTGAAATCACGCGTTGTCTTTTTCAACGACGACCGCGATGGTCGCGCAAACTCGACATACTGGTCAGCCATCGCCGAAGAAACTGGCGTTTCGCGAAAAGCTGATCACCAAAGGCCAATCTAATGACACACTTCTCAAAAAGCTCAAGACTTTACATTCGGAATTGGCGGAGATGGACCAAGAACTTGTAGACGTGAATTCAATGTCTAGCGTTCGTAAAGAGCTCGTCAGTAGCTCTATCATGCTCCACAAGGATCGTGGCGTGAAGGCATATGCGGCGTGCTGCATGGCCGATATTCTCAGATTGTACGCGCCAGACGCACCTTACACACAGGCCGAGCTCCGGGATATCTTCCAGTTCTTTTTCAAACAACTCAGTAACAACCTCAAGGGTCCAGATGTCACGTACTATACCCAGTATTTCCATCTCCTCGAGTCTCTTTCAACCGTGAAGAGCGTTGTCCTTGTGTGCGATCTTCCGAACGCAGATGAGCTCGTTCTCGGCATATTTCGCGACCTGTTTGCCATGATACGACGTGATTTGCCGAAACAAATCGAGACCTTCATGGCTGAAATCCTGGTGGCGATTGTTGATGAGTCATCGTCTTTGTCTGGAGATGTGCTGGAGATCATAATGGCTCAGTTCATGGATAAAAGTGCAGTGCGTAACCCATTGTCCAAAATTTCAGCCTAGTCTTGACGATGTTTTGTTTAGCGCGTTGAACAACCAGCGTATCGACTTGCGGTGAGCGTGTGCAATCAGACAGCAGACAAACTCCAGCGGAACGTCGCTCTTTACTTCACAGACATTATAGTATCCAATTCTGAGGAGGAGGATTTTGAGCAGATCCGTATCGCGCATGACCTCATTAAGCGTCTTCACGCGTCGTGTCCAAATCTTCTTCCGTCCGTCATTCCTCAACTAGAAGAGGAACTCCACGCGGACGCTTCGACCTTGCGTGCCATTGCCACTCAGGTTCTCGGAGAAATGTTCTCCGACAAAAGTGGGGGCGATCTGGCCAGGAACCATCCTTCAACTTGGAATGCATGGTTAGGCCGTAAAGTAGACAAATCGCCTGCTGTCCGATTGAGGTTCGTGGAATCTTCGAACGGACTTTACTCTGCGCCTCCGGAAATGGCAGAAGCCATTGAATGTAAGCTCTTGTCACTTTTGTCTATTTTATAGATAGACCAATAATGCTACAGCGGCTTTGAACGGGAAACTATTGGATCCTGACGAAAAGATACGCGCAGCAGTTTGCAAAATCTACTCACAGCTCGACTACGAGACAGCAGTACATCATGTCTCTGAGCTTCAGCTCAAGGCTATTGCTGGCCGAGTAGCAGATAAAAAGGTGCGCCTTTTCATTACTATCTGTGGTTCATCTCACGAACATTTCGCAGCTTACCGTCCGCTTTGAGGCTGCCAACAGTCTGGCTAAGCTTTATGGCCTTGCTTATCCAGAGATGTGAGTTGTCATCCTAGAACTTTACATTTTTTCTCCTGACCCTCACTTTCAGAGAGAACAACAATGTAACAGCCATCTCAAAGTTCTCTTGGATACCCAACGAACTTCTTCACATGACGACTATCGTCGTTGATTGCAGGTGCGTAGTAGCAGTATTAAATCTGTCTCCAAGAAACTCTGACCACTTATCATAGAACGGTGGTGGAACAAGTGCTATCCGAATATATCTTACCACTACCTTCGTTTACCCCCAGTTCACTGAATAGCAAGACTGCGGAGGTCGACGAAACAGCCTGGACAGACCATCTACTCAATGTCATGCGCTATCTCACCGACCAATCTATAAATGCTCTGGTCCTCCTGTCAAATTTGAAGCCGAAGTAAGAGCATGACAGTTTGCATTCTTTGTCGAGTGCTTACGACGGTACCAGTCGTCCCAGTGCTATAGACATCTTTGTCGACGCTTGCGTTCAATACAACGTATGTGATTCAATAACCATTCGCTCCTTGCCGGCGCTTACTGCCATTTTGTAGGGTGGTGTTATTGACGAAAACGAGGAAAGGGTGACGCAAAAACTCGGGCGAATAATCGAGGTCATCTCAGGTATTCCTCTCAACCGCTGGAGTCGCTAGCCTCTCATGGAATATCGCACACAGTATATTTCCCGGACCCTGCGAAGATGAGAGAGGACCTGAAGGCGTTTGCGAAAGTGAACGAACCACGTCTTTACAAACTCATGAAAACTTGTCTGGACGTTGAAACAGACCTTAAGGGCCTGGTAAAAGCGCAGGTGAGGATTCTGGAGTCGAGATATTCAATACTGTGCCATAATTATATCCACTTTAGCACGATTTTATCCGGCGATTAGAACAGTCTTCTTCAACCCTCACAACTTCATTGACCGCCCTTCTTCGCCGAGGCTCTCTTCACATCGCAAACACCTCATCTATACCTACTCTCCTGCTACGACTACAAAGATCCCAAGGCACCACTATTACCAAGACAAATCTAGCTGCAAACAATGCCCAAGTGTTATTCACAAATATAGCCAAATTCTGCCCGGCGTTGTTCAAACCTCATGTGGACGAGTTAATTACTGCGATCGAGGACGGGAAGAACGACAAGACTGTTGCTGTTGGGTTACAGGCTTTGGCAAGTTTGGTCAAGCTGGATTCGCTATTGATGCCCTTAGAGAGGTACGTCTGATTGTCGAAAGTGTTGAGTCGCTTTTCCAATATCCATCATTTCTTGCAGCTCAACCGTAGAGGTCATTAAAAGTCACGTGTTGAGCTCGAATCATAGACACGCAAAGTTTGCGGCACGAATATTTGCCTTCTGCGAAGAGAAGAACACTATATGTGGTGGCGTCGTCGAAGTGAGTATCGGGAAACTGGTACTAGATGATCATCCTGATTCATTTTCAGAGCATCGCCGATTCATTATACAAAGCACCCGCAGACCAGCTAGTAGCACATTTAGTATCGTTAGCGCAATTCGCTCGCTTCATCCCAGATGCCTTCGAACAGAAAAGCGACGTTATAACTGCGTTTCTGCTTAAAAAACTCCTTATGGTTCCGAGTTTACCTCCGGTAAGAATATCAGTATCTTCGTCTCGGTGTAGTAACTCAGTTTGCTTATAGGATGATCTAGAGGATGATGGTGAAGAGTGGGTGGAAGATGACGAGGTTTCCAACAATCTGAAAGCAAAGATAGCCGCTCTGAAGATCTTACGGTATCGGACGATGTCCCACGCCAACTCAAAAAATGCTGTAGACATCTCGACGCCTGTATTGAAGATGCTCGCAACGATATTAGATCGTGGAGGTTCACTGGCTGGTAATGATGCAGTGGAAGAAGAGTGCGCTAATTACCCTTCTTTTTCACTAATCATGATCCTCATATGGCGCTTCTAGTCGGAAAGCCTTATCTAGAATTAGGTTACAGGCTGCAATATCTCTGCTGTATCTTTCCTCGGTCCCTGCATACGCTGATGCATTGACTCCAAAATTTATAAGGCTAGCATTGACTATTCAGGCAGGTTTTTCGTCTACCATGTCACAGTCTGTCAGATTCCAATGACGCAACAATTCAGGACACTTGCTTTAACGTGCGGATGTCATTCTTACAAAAACTCGTGCCATTATTATGGCACCGTAAACTTCCTGCGAAATATCATCTCATCCTTTTCCTCACTGCTCACGATCCAGAAGAAGATATAAAGCAGAAGGTAAAGTTTCAAAAGTTTCAATCTCATGTTTTACTCACGCCCTGTCTATACAGGCTGCCGCGGCTGCCAGTGGCCTTTTCAGGAAATTGCCCTCAGGTGAGTCCAGTAGTCTTGTTTTGAGGCTCTTTCCGAATTATTCCTTCCAGATTTGAGGACAGAAAACCTCGAATTCGTTTTCATTCGTCTGCTTCACCTGCTAGCCCACCATCCGGACTTCGCTACTTCGCAGAGCGAACTCCAAGATATTGCCAAGTAAGATTTGTCTTCCATTGTCGCCAATGTGGCAATTCAAATTTTGCGCAGATATGTCCAGTTCTACCTGGAGTTGATCGGATCTGAAGAAACGATACCCCTCCTCTATCATCTAGCAAGCAAAGGAAAGACGGTGCGAGATCCCGAATCTCAAGCCTATAGCGAGGTATGCTATCTTATTTGACTCGATCCCATTTCCTTATGTTGTTTTTTTTTGCACTTCAGAACTTATACGCTATGTGTGAGATAGCGCAAGAACTCATCAAGTTTCGCGCTCAACACAACAACTGGACCATCCCTACGTTCCCTGGAAAAATAAAACTTCCTCACGATATCCTCCGACCCCAACCAAATGCGGAGATTGCGAATAAGGTATGTGATAGCAGGCTTTGAGAAATGATCGATTTATTCTCGAATACATCTAGATCGCAAAACAAACTTTTTTACCACCAGATGCTTCGTCATGGCTAGCGGAAATCGTCGTGGCCGCTCCCAGAGTTTGTATCTCACTTCTCCCCGGAAGCATTTGCCATGTCTAAACTTGACTTCAGGAAAAGAAAGAGCGGAAGATACCAGCCAAACGTAAAGCGGCGACAACAAATGGACATTCAAAGTCAGTGGTTATGATATTTTACCCAGACACACGCTGGATGTTTATTACTGCATAGACGTTCTCGTAAGAGAAGAAAACAAACGGATTCAAGTGATGAGGAATCGTTCGATGTTCATACGGATGCGACGGACATAGAAATGTCCGATGGACCGCCTGTACACCCACCCGACGTTGACGAGGCAGAGGAATCATCGGGAGAAGAGCAATTGGGTCGAGGAGCTCGAAGCAAAGCCAAGGTATGACCTGGTGTTTGTACGCTCGATCATGATTGACTGGGCTCTGTATGCAGGCTAAGGCAAAAAGGAAGTCAAGGACATCAAAGAAGGCTGGGACTCCCAGTTCCGATGGTTAAGAATATACTGATAATGACAACCCTATGATTTTTACTTTGTTCTTTGTTGGCTCTCGTTGTTTACGCTTTCCGTTAATTGTGCTTAATTTTTACTGTATCTAGGGCGTACTGTATTTCATGTTGTATTACCACCTATATACCATCAACGTGAGCAGAAGAGTGGGGTTAATCCTGGATCTGCACTTTGATAGCGCCTTGCGCAGGATCGGCGGCAACGTGGAATGCTGCGACTGCTTCTTCTAAAGCGAAGCGATGAGTGACTAGAGGCTTGACGTTAATCAGGCCACCTGCAATCAAACGGATTGCTTTCGGGTACTATATAGAGACAAAGTAAGCCCAGGAACCTTGATTATTCAACACGTAAGATATACCTGATTGGCATATCGATATTGGAATTGAATGTCGATTTCGTTAGCACTGAGGTGCATAAAGGGGAACTATCCAATCGATCAGGAGGAAGACCAAGCAGAGTAAGTGCTCCATACCAATTGCTCGTTCTTTCCAACACCTATAATGAAGACTTTAGCACCAAAGCCAACAGACTGGGAATGTTTTAAATCGGTTATTATTAACGGGTAGTCAAGTTGATTACTCACAAATATGGCGGTATGTATGCTGCTCTCGACACCCGTGCATTCGAGAGCGAGTTGTAGAGGACCACCCGCAGCCTTCTTGATCAATTCGGCTTGATCTTTCGGAGTCGCATTTCTATCAATGAGCACAGTGCGTACTCCAGGAACTAAAGACTTGGCGAAATCCAAGCGGCTTTGGAAAAGATCAGTGATGACGATGGGTTCTGCGCCTGCAGCTCTGGCGCTGAGAAGGGATACCAAGCCGATAGGGCCAGCACCACTGGAAGAATAATAGTCTTTCAGTCTAGAAACTGAATGTTGACTTCAACCATGAACTTACCATATGACAACAGGGTCCCCGAGACGAAGTCCAGCACGATCGATACCCGCTAACGCTACAGCAAGAGGTTCGCACAAGGAGCCCTCCTCAAAAGAAACATTGTCTGGGAGACGATGTAGCCACTTCGCAGGGTGAACGTGCCACCGGGTCAACGTTCCTACAGTCAGTATGTATTGAGATGAACATTATATATATAGCTGGAAACGACGTTACCATGATACGGAGGGGTGGAGAAGAACACCACATCTGGGCATCCATTATAACGGCCCGTTCTGCATGCATTACAAGAGGGTTGAGAGCAAGGAACGCCGACTTCCATAGCTACTCGATCGCCTATGATAAATCAAGATTTGAGAATATGGATGTTAATAACAATACTGGGGCTGACTGACCTGCCTTCCATTCAGTAACTCCTTCGCCTACTTCAATGATTTCTCCAGCAGATTCATGACCAGAGCCACACTAGATGAAACGAAACCGGCAATATTAGGAGTGATGTGGTAGATTCGTGGTTAGTTTCACACTTACTTCATCCGTTACGATCATCGAGTCACCAATTCGTCCATGCTTCCAAAAATGGACATCACTCCTACAGAAAACAGATGAGGGATGACTTTCAACGAAGGTAATGTGAGAGATACTTGCCCACAGATGCCGGTAGCACGGACATGGATGAGTACCTGTCCTGGACCGGGTTTAGGCTTGGGTTTCTCAACCAAATGGATTTCATGCGCAGGATCTTCAGTGTAGCAACATTAGTCCGATTACCAAGTGCTAGATGAGAACAGTAGCGCTGCACTAACTATAGAATGCTGCAATGTTGGACTCCTTTGATGGCTTCTCTCCAGAGGTCAAGACACGAAAGTCTGGGTGATCAAGCACCTTACGGGGATCGTATAATGCCGGGTTCTCTAGCTGGGTGTTCGACATATTCGATCAGGTGTGTAGATTGTGGATTTAAAAGAGGGGGGAAAATCATTTGAGTGAAGTTCCTGCTCGATTTAAGAAGACAGGCTCGGTCCGAGCCCACGGATCGTGTACCCGATGATCATTATTGAGCAGCTGAGGCCGAACTGGGAGCAGGACAGCAACAAAGGCATTCTCTCCGTGGAGATTCAGTGCTGGGAAATTTATAGTCAACCGTTTCGTTCAGAGCGGTAACGTGTGGATTCTGATAATGAGCGACTTAGATCCACGGGCGCTTATTCACATACTTACCACCATCATGAGCAATGTCGAAAGCGACTCGACTGGCAACCCGCTAACAGTTGTCAACGTCGTTTCCGACTTGCTGCTCGTTATTTTCATTCACGGTTTTAAAGGCGACAACGATACTTTCGGCAAGTTTCCTGACCGCCTCCAGCATGTTCTCACTGAAACCGTCCCGAATTCGACTGCGGAATGCATCGTATTTCCGGTCTATGAGGTGCGCGTTGTAGTGACATTTTCTGGCAAAGACTTACGATCCTTTTGTTAGGGAAGACTAAAGGGGACCTGGTGACAATTCAACCTATACATTTCTAAGCACAGCTAGTAGCTGACACAGATAATGTGTAGAATGAAGCTGTTGTCCGTTTTTCTGACTGGTTGACTGAACTGACAGTCATGAAAGAGGTAGCTCATGGTGGAGGCGCAGGGAAAGCAAAGCTAGTACTATGTGGACACAGGCAAGCGTTCCAAGTTTGTTCATATGGCTCGATAGCTAATTGGATCCAAGTATGGGTGGTCTTCTAGCTGCAGACAGTATAATCGAATTCTACCGGACACGACCGGATACTAGTGCTCCCTTGTGGCCTAAAATCGTGGCTTGCATATCCTTCGACACCCCGGTATGCTAACTTATTCTACACGTGAAGCAATCTCCTCAATTATTCAAATAGTATTATGGTCTACATCCTTACGTCTTCAAGAATACTGCGACCAAGGCCGCAGAATATGCGAATGTAGCCAAATCAGTAGGCTCTGCCATATGGAGTTCATTCACCAGTAGAAATATGGGGAACGGAACTGGCACTGCGCCAGTGGCTGCTATAACTGCCCCGCCCACCTCGGAAAATGCATGGAGCAAGTGGGCGCCAGTTGCGTTAACTGTCGGAGGAGTTGTTACTGCAGCTGCCGCCGCTGGTGGGGCTGCTTACTGGCGTCGAGATGATCTGGGTGTTGGATATAGTTGGGCGACAGATCATATGAAATATGTGCGGAACCTGTGGGATGAGGATGCATTGAAAAGGAGAGTCAACTTGTTGATTGAGATTGAGAAGATGGAAGGGGTGATATTTCGAACGTGAGTTGATATGGAAATTATATATGTTCAAATGACTGAAAATCAAGGGATCTATGTCCAGCTTCTACACACTACTCCCTGCCATTCCTTTGGTGCACAACCTCGACCGGACGTTCATGATTTTGCCCAACACAGATAGGCGTGCGATGGATCATTTCCTGCCTGCGATCAACAACACTGCGACCGATGAATTACAGGCGCATACAGGGATGTTTGCGGCACATTCAAATGACGGTTATTATAAGTTAGGTCTAGAGGCTGCTGGGCTTATAAGAGAGGCCGTCATGCTGAGTAGGGGCGTCCTTCAGCCGGAGACTCAAATAGACCCACAGTTGGAGAAAGAGGAGAAGAAGGCTGCTGAGATGGAAAAGGAGCAAGTGGTTGAGGAGAACAAAACGGAGGAGAGAGAAAGCACTGCGGCTCAGAACACACAGAGTGCATCTGCTACATGAACGAAATCAAATAGGGTGCTGATTAGACTTATCCTGTAACACTATGCATTCATTCCTCTACACGATTATCATAATGAACATTTTGTTTCCTTTGCAATTCGAAAGAGTCAGTCGTGTTTGAGAGTCAGTCGCATTGCATAGGCATCTTCCCCATCAGCGTCTAAATCAAACGAAGTCGGCTGATGTACAAGTCGTTGAAATGATGTAACGTACAGTACTTTTGTTCAATATCATGAACCTCGAATCCAAGTGTATCCCGGTATAAACTGAGCGCGGCGCGGTTGGACTTTCGCACATGAAGTGCTACGTGAGATGCACGGTGACTAGCCATTGACTCCTCTACGCATTGACCATTGACGATTCAGAAAGAGGATCATTGAACGCGTTCTCCGTACGTACGAGATAGCAGCATGAGCTTTTTTGCTATACCAAGTCGTCTGTATGATCGAAGGACTGAGATTGAGGTTACATGGCCATGTGGTTGTTCTGCTTCTGCAGTTTCCTCTTCCCTATGTGTGGCGCGAAGATATTCCAATGTAAAACTGAAGACAGCGGACCGAAATACAGACGTACATTTTAGCCAGTATATACCCAACAATCCTCCCTTTGTCCTCCGCGACATATGATATTGAGGGCCATGTTGCACAGTGGTAGAGATCTAGTGAAGTTGAAATGACTGCAGTTTGAGTACCAGCGAGAGAGATGAAAGGTAGAATGGCGACATAAAATATTTCATGGAGTAGTTTTCTGGTAGGTTCCTTCAATAATCAATGCGACGGTTTGAATACGTGGAAGCGGTGAGGTTTCGAGCAGGATAGTGACCTTAAGTTACAAGCTTGCATCCCAGGGAGGTCTTCAATCTGTCAATACGAAGTGTTCTTCTTCTGTGGATTTCCGCCAGATAAAAATCGTGAAAGACCTACTTTAGCTCTTCGAATGTTCATTTCAATGATTCCGAAGTGAAATGTCAATTTTTGTAAGATTTCTGGCCAGGATCAGTGGATGAGACTGGATGAGGTAGGCGCTTATCCTACACGCGCTTCTTCTCTTCTCAACGGTCGCTGAGCAACGAAATATTTCACGGCCAAAGATGACAAGGATGGTCGACCTAGTCACCTAGGGTGGTGCAGAGGCGTTGGGTGGTTACTGTGGGCCTCTGTGGGCGCCTTTGTCACTCAAAATGAACTTTGTAAGGAGTTCGAATTACTCGATGTTCTCCCTCTTGGCAACATTTTATCTCGAGACAAAAACATCTGAGTCAGCTATGAAACCAGTTGTTTGGTGAAAATGATACCCTAGTACGAAGCAGAACGAGATTTACAAAAAGATGAGCCTAACAAGGTCTACCAACGCCCGCGGTAAGAATAGTTTCTCTTGATATTTTCACTGCTCAACATTCCCGTTAATATCTGTCACCCTCTGTAGCATTACGCCATTAAACAAAACGAAGTTCCACGTCTCGAATCTTGCTTCACTCTGGATACAATCTTATTAATCTGTCTTTGCAAATGGGCGTGTGGACCCCAGTGCTCGACGTAGATAAGCGTTTGATTTATTCCGTCTATGAGAATAGTCTTTAAGGCGAGGTACTTCCTCATACAGCATAAAGCTTTGAGAAAGCAACAACATCTGTTCCCTTGGGACCACCTACAAAGCTTATATGCAAAGGAAGGAGAAAACAAAGATTCGGAAAAAAAACAAGGACTACCATCATACTGACTCTTCTCTTGACAACGCCTTGCGCCAAAAAAACTTCGGCGAAGCGTGGCGCACTCCTCCGGGCGATGTATTTAAGAACAAAATCTCAAAGCTCAATTATTTACCTCAATCAGCTATCAGAACTCTCCAGAACTCTGCTCACATCGACCATTATGAACAGTCACGCGAATGCAGTATGTTTGGTTCCTTCATCTCTTACCGTCATTTTCCATGACTCATTCGTCGCTGCTTTTTGTAGGGTTACGCCATGGTGGAAGCACCAGCTCCGAAGGCGCACCAAAATAAAACATCTTCCCAGATATTAGAAATGCTCGTATCCTATAATCAACGCTTCTCGCGTCTTCACTGGTCTCAGTTTGATCAGTTCACCTTCTATAAGAACCCCTCGACCCTCAGTTTCTTCGACGACTTTATTGGTAGACCCGGCCAAATGTACTGTGGAGAGAGCGGTGGTTGGGTCTACCACGTTATAGGGGATTACGTCGAGATGATACGGCCTCCCTCTATTCGAAATGGAAAAGAATTGATCACGCACAAGCTCAAATATAGATTCGAAATTCTTGCGTTTGCTGTAGACTATATCTCAAGAAATATTGCGGCATTGCAAAAGTGAGTGAAGCATCTTAGATACTATCACTAGATTCTACACTATTTACAGAGAGGATGGTAATTGCGTTATACATTTGGGAAATCCCCAAGGTCGCAAGAACTCAAGAAAAATCTCGTGGCCAATGGACTGGAGTTTGATAGTACGACCTCTCCAGTTCCAGATTGTCGGGCCATACATCGCACTGAATTTTGAACCTGTGAGAACGGCCAGAAGGGCTCAGTTGTTTACAGTTGCAAACTGGAAAACTGGGAAAATTGTCTTTACTAGGGTAAACAACAAGAAGTTTCGCTCATGATCTTTAATGATTAAAGCATTCCACAGGAATTCGTCGAAACCTTCCAATTCATAGCAGAGGATAGTTTTCTCTATGCAACTTTCTTAACCGATCGTTTTCCGGATGACAATCCATCAGTTCTTAAAGTCTTCCAAGTTATTGTTTACGAAGACCAAATTCGCGAGCATCAGCGGCTCAGAGATGTCGTGGTCAACAAACAGAGACACTTGCTCCGAAGTGTGAATTTCATACCCAGGGCAGGTCCTCCAATGAAAGCCCTCAAGCCATGGAACCCCGATGGCTTAGACCATTTTGTCCATAACATCTTCGATCCTGTGCCCTACGAAGACAGAAACGGTCCTTTTCATTCGGATCCGAACGAGCAGATCATTGGTTTTCACTTTGTGGCGGTTGACACTCATCCATTCTTTATAGTGTTTGACCAAAAGCACTTTCTTGGATCATGCAGATGTCTCACTCCTCGCCGGGGTATAGGCCATTTTCCAGCGATTAACGGGAAGAGATTGTTGTGGTGGAATGAACACACGCTCGAAATATATTTGAGGGACTATAAACCGAACTGCGCACAGTTGTATGGGGGAGGGGCCATTCGCGTGCGACACCCTCAAGACCGAGGGTGGAAGATGAGCTCGTGCATTCAAGAAGATCCTCCGGTAAATGCGAATGATTCATTTGGCGACAACACATTCGTGGCTACTGCCACTGAAAATAACGCTTCGACTCGCAGACATGTATACTTCACAGAGGATAGCATTTTTATGATCGAATATTGGCGGGATGGGACAATGGAAGGTAGAATTTACACTTACTGAGATTTCTACAGTTTTCCGATAATCCTCGCAAATTTGCTTTGTCCTGTTTTCCACCCCGTTATTGAACAATCGCCATCTCTTTAATTACTTATCTTCATAGTTGTTGTATACGAAAGGACCATTTACATATGTATATACCCCATGCCTATCATCCCTCGAATTCGTTGATACCTACTAGCAGTGACCCGTGCGATGCACGATGAGAAGCTCAGTTCCGCTCTGGTTCCGCTCAGGGCGTCGCGTTGCTCCGCCCACTCGCTACCTTCGCCCGTGCAGTGTTCGTTTGTAACTTATTAGATATAGATAGCACGTGCATTTATGTTAAGACAAAATTTGTCTAGCCAATCGGAATGATTGGACCAAGCAGGGACAAACACATAATTTTTTGTAGTGTTGATTTAGTCGAACTCTAAGTTCAGGATAGGATAGGATAAGGATATAGATTATACTGGCGAGGTCCGTTGCCTGAGTGAATCTTTTCTCCTTCCAGTGCATCATTGTTTTTTTGTTGAACAAATTTGAAATGTGGACTTGCCAAGGCCACAGGAAGATAGCGAGCGCAGTGAGAACGGCAATCTGTTTCGACACTCTGTGCCACGATGGTCGCCTTTGGGTCCACATACTCCTCAGGCTGCTTGAAACCATCAAAGATTCTTCATCCTCATCAATCGCCGAATCAGAGGTCGAACTACTTCCTGCAGAGGAACTTCGACAACTTTAGGAGGCCCGATAACCTTGCTTGTCGTCAATCCAACTCCGAGTAGGGTAGCTATTCTTGATCGGAATCTCTGGCAGCAGAACCGTAGCCTCCAAGCTCAGAGCGCGCTCGGCTTCCCACCTCATAACGCCTTTCACTTGTCCTACCATTATCACCATCGTCCCTACCAGATTGATTCTCACCTGCCCCAGGTGGTGGATGGGTTTTCGATCCTATGAAAATGACATCCAAACTTCTCTGGTCCCCCTTCTTCTCTTCTTGAATCATATCAAATCTGAAAGTATCATTCTCTGCAAGCGACTCAGAAGTGCTATGTTTTGGTTGATGATATGACAACGTTCCTGATTCTGCAGATCAATGGCAAAAAAATGGGAGACTAAGATACATATGTACTATATGTTGGCTTCTAAAGTTAATTCCTCCGGAAAGCGTTCTTACTGCCACTCCTGATACCTTGCCGTCTGTGGACCCTTCCCTTCCTGTCGCTTTCCGAAAGCTCAAGAGGATCTTCGCCTCCTTTCTCCAACCCAGCTCCAAACTTCTCGACGCCCTTTCTTCGGTCTTGCTGTTTACCAGCCTTGCCTTGTCCTGAAAGCTCTCTTGCATCTTGAGAGTTGGCTGACGGAACCCATGACATTTCCATGCCACCATCCTCAGCGATGTTGACTTTATTGGCACGAGATGCACTTTTCCCCCCACCAGGATAAGATGAATGGCTTCGACGTTGACCAAAGGTTGCCTCTTTCCCGGTCGCAAGCTGTGTACCATTTGCGCCGGACTGTGGACGCATTGGCACCAGCTTGACATTAAAGGTTCTATTTTGTTGTTTGGAGCGATTATACGCTTCTTGTGCGCGTACGTTTTTCTGTCCTGGTCGTGCACGGGGGTCAAACTTGTTCAATTCTAGAGTCAAGAAGTCAGTTGTGAATAGTGAAAATAGGCTAGACCAACGAACCCCCAGCGTCACTGCTGTCACTGCTGTTACCACTATCATCCTCGCTATCACTCTTGCTAAGACTATCAGAAGACATCTTGTCGCTCTCTTCTTCCTCTTCCTCCACTGCGGTCTTGCTTCGTTCGCTAAATCCTTTTCGTTGTACAACTGACGAGGGATTGAGCAACGCATATTCTCTGCTACTCACATCGACCTCGAATTCAGGATCCTCAAAGACCTTGGCGAATCGAGGGTCGGTCAATACACTCGTCGATGCGTCTTTTCGGCCACTAATGACATCTTCCTCTTCCTCCTCATCTACGTTCATCGCATCTCCCTCTCCGGCTTCCGCAAGGTTCTTCTGAATCTTCCTCTTTTTTCTTTCCTCCCTCTTCCTTTCACGCTCTTCATCCCTTTGGATTTTCTCAGCGAGTATTTTGTTGACCTTCACACCGGGGACCTGTTTCGTCGAGGACCGAATGCGTGTTTCGGCCAATTTGTCCATCTTTTGCCGGATCATTCGTTCACGGTGTTCGGCATATTCGAAGGGGTTGGCAATGACACGAGCGGTGTCATATAGTTTTAGTGAGATGAAATAGCCGTGCATGTAGGGCTTGAGCGCAGGAGTACCGACGAGGTGATCCAGCCCCAGTCTTTGAAGATGTCAGTAGTATTTAAAGCGATAATAGAATAAACTCACTTCTGTAACTCGTTCCGTTCAACAAATTTGAAGTCCTCATAAACGTTACGGGTCGTCTGGTCCTCAAGTTCTTCTGTGATATTTTCAAGGAAACTTGCCCACCGAGGAGCAGGTCCGAGTTGGGGAATATAATATGTGGACATCTGAATGCCTTCATTGGCTGTTAATAAAAGACCACTGCCAGGAACATGATGGACGTCGTTCAAATCTGAAGCGGGATTAATGGACGTGAAATTCACTGAGGGCTGGAAATAGAAAACATTCAATGAAAAGCAGAAATTCCACAATCAGAATATAGCATACCGAGTTCCGATCCCATATTTTGATCACTTTTTTATCCGCACTGAGGACCATTCCGTCTCCTGCCATCCTGCTTCCACCCTCGATCCACGAAACACTCTTCACGGGTAAGCCATAGCCTTGGTCCTTTACGGCGAACGGTTTCGTTGTCCGGATATCATATAGTAGAGTATGTCCAGTTGATGTTCCGACTGCATACGATAATCCGTCAGTTCGCGAAGCAAGAGCTGTAACACTCAATCCTGCAGTCATAGATTCAGTGTTGTTGTCAAAGCTCGGAGTAATGAGTTTGTTTGCTGGCAGACGCAATATTCCTGCGCGTTTCCGAGACCTTGGATCCCAGAACTGTACCGTCCCATTTCCGTCAACACCAAACCCAAGAAGCTGGTGGGCCGGATTGATGTCGATTACGTTGACACCTTGTATGTCGTCTTCTTCATCTTCCAGTACGAGAGGAGTCATGAAACGACCCTGTTCGAGATTCAAACGATAGATTTCATTCCCAGAAGCGGAGAAAAGGGCGTCACAGGAAGGAGGATGGTAAGCCAGAGAACGACCAAAACGAGGTATTCGAGTGCGGTAATGAAAGCCACCTTGTGTGTGCAACTCTATCGTGCGGTCATTTTGTAGGTGTATTGATTTCGTCCAATCATCAGAAAGAATCTGTCCGACGGATTATCAACACACAAAAAATGAATCTTGCAAGGAATAACTTACGCACAACAAAGTCAACATTCTCAGAATCTGTATGCCTTTCAAATTTGAGCGTGAGTTGGTTGAGGTCCCAAACTCTTATCTGAGGTTTGTAGGTCCCAGTCGCAATTGCATGAGTTCCATCGGGAGTTGTCTTGATTTTGTTGCTGGCTTCAGGAAACTCGAATCCCTGTATTAATTCTATTGTGCCTTCGATATGTTCTTTTGCCGCTCGCTTCCCTTTAGCAGCAGTACGTTTTCGTGTCAGCCAGTCGGGAAGAGACGAAGAGGATCCAGCGGTAGCACCGTTGACGGTGTAAACCTTGACATCGTGGGGTTCAAAAGCCATAGCATACTAACTGCAGAGCGAGAAAAAAATTGGGCAGAGAACGTGACCCGGTTATTCGGACCGCAGCCCTGGTTACAGCTTTGACCGATACTTTTTTCGATATCTATTTAACTCTTCATTAACTGCAAGTAAGACCTAGTAAGACGCGGGGAGCCGCGACGGCTACCCAGATCGTCCCCTGATCCTCGCACAGCTCTATTTTTCTCGATTTGGGTCACAATTCCATTTCTACAGTATGTGCACTATGGGGTGTTTTTTTTGAATTCTTCTTTTACCGCAAGCAAGTAAGATTAGGTCTGTACAGTATAAGTCTGTATACTGCATAAGTCGCCGGACGACGTGATTCGCCAGGCCCCAGGACTCGCCTTGCCTTTAACACTTACAGTAGAGACTGGCCGCGCCCCTTATCGGAATGATAAGTTTTATGGCCTCACTTGAGCATGCGCTGAATCCTTCCCAGCAATACTGTTCGGATTTCCTTTAGTAGAGTAATGGGGTTTCAAGACACAGTCCGAGAAGGAGAACAAGACCCTTACAAGGTACATGATATGAAGTCAAAGCAAGGAATATGTGATCGTGTAATCGTGCCATCGGAATGTTCCGGCGGCCTTTCAGGATCTACCGTTTCGAAAAGTAATTAGTTTTCTTCTACCACCACGTCACAAGTTTTTTTCCTTCTTCTTTATACACCATCTGTAATTCTTTCCGGTCACTTTAGGTCTCATATAAGGATTATGCCTCGCGCCAAGTCATTGGTTCGTGGCATTACTCTTTTCAGCATTTTAAAACTAGCTTTGACCTTGATAATGTCAATTCAGAAGAATGGCCAACACAGTGAAGCGTACAACCCGGCAACTTGCTCAGTATGTAACGCTATGATTTCCAACAAGACGGACATGCCTAGGCACATGAAAATGCACTCCGTAGATCGCGAAAAGCTGTGCGTTGTCCTTGTTCTATCGGTTCGTCCTCTCAAAAGTACTGATGCTCTTACAAACAGAATGCATCGATGTCCATATCCAGACTGCAACTTCGAAAACCTTCAGAAATCAAACGTTGAGACTCATATCCGGACGCAGTGAGTCTACATGTCGTCTCTAGATCGTAATGATACGAATCATTTGAACCGCAGTACAAAAAGCAAGACCAATTCCTGTCCGGATTGCGATTTTGTTACTGTAGATCCTGGCTCCTTAACTCGCCATAGAAAGCGGATACATGGTTACATTCCTAAGATGCGTCGTTCAAGGCAGCCGAAACCACAGCCGGATGCAGCGGGAGCTGAAGTTCCACCCAAACCACTCGCCCTTCGTTTCTCCCCTTATTCATCCGCACCTCATCAGCACTTTGAGCTCCCACCTCACTGTGATTCACGGCCTTCCACATCCGCTACTCCTCCTGACCACAGATCTGGGTCCCCGTCCCCATCCCAGCCGCAGCCTAGGTCCGGATCCCATTCGCCATCGACAATGGCTGGTTCCTCTTACTCTTTCATCCCATCAGGTCGATTATTACGGCCTCGGTCACCGGCTGCTGAAACGACGAAGGTGCTGCCTTTGCATCCACCTAGCCCTCGCATTGACCCTGCTCTGTTGCATGCTGGACCTCCTAGGACCATAGTACCCAGTCGTAGCTGACATCAGGTAGTTCAGGTTACCACCAACTGTCAGCAAAATTCATAAATAATACGATCTGTGCCTTCGGTTTTGCGGCTATTTATTTCGGTATTCATATCGAAGGCTGCATTGAGATTCTTACATTATCCTCTACATGGTATTTGTCTTCCTCAATACACGCCTAATTTTTATTGTTAGACTTGTGTCAAAGTGAAGAGGTACTCACTTCGTCTTGTTCATTCCGAAAATCCCGACAATTTTTGGGCCTCCTCAGTGTAATGGCTGACTGGATCACCGAAGGAATTACATATGGCCTGTCGTGTTCAATTGAACACAAGGAATGAGGGCTCACTCCTGTCAATTTCATGCTCTTTCCGATTACACACCATTTACCTAGTACATGTAGTAAATGACTTACACGACATTTCTTTGTTTGGCGTATCCTAATCCTCAATCAGGATCCTACTCAAAACCCTAGAGCTTCATTCGCAGCCTCTCGAATTGCTTTTTGACCACTGGTGATGCCTGGCTCGTTCTCCACAAACGGCTCTAACCCCATTAATCGTCTTCCTTCTACAGTCAAAACATCATCTGGCGTTCCTCTGTCCTCATGCTCCTTCTCGAGCCCTCCTGATTCACTCTCTGGAGGCATATCTGGCGGAGGAACACCTTCCAAAAAAGCTTTTCGCTGATCGATGAGATTACCGATGTTGTATGCGCACAGTGGTACGACTGGTATGTATACCACGGAAGAGTCGTTCGTACCGTTGTGCTGTTCTTCCACCTTGTGTACCAAGTCGCAGTGCCAAAAAATGTAATCACCAGGTTCAGCCTGAGGACAAGAAATAATTGTCTTGTTTAATTGAAGGTGAGGATGCCAAATGTCTTTCACAACCTGTCCCTGGCCGGGGTCTGCACCGTAAAAATATGTGGAATCCATGTCTAATTTGTTCTGGTCGTTGAAGTATGGACGCAAGAGAATGTACGCAGTGGAGAGTTTGATGTCAGGTAAAAATTGGATTGTTCCACATCGTGGTCCATTATCATCAATCGAAAGCAATCCTAGAGAGTGGGGAAGGAAGAAGTTTTAGGCTAGGGAAAGCCGACAATTTATCGAAATGCACAATCTTTACCTTGAAGGCTTCGGAACGCCGAACACGCACCCGGACCCCCGTACAAATCCATAACAGCCTCTGCTCTGTGATCCATGTCCCAAGCATCGTACTCTTCCCACTTCCCTTCCCAAATTTTTCTAAATACCCTTCCATATTCTTTATCCTCCCATCTTTCAATCGATCCATTATCCAAATGCGGCTGAAACATCCCCACTGAACCTGGTCGCCTTACGCGCCAGCGATCCGCGTACAAAGCTTGATTTACGAGATCTACCTGCGTGTCTCCACTCGCTGTGTATAGCTGGCTCATTGCTACCTGAGCGCGGATTACTGCGGGATGGCTCCGCGCTTCAATTTGCGCTTTCTGCCAGAATGTGGAGTATATCTGCGGGTCAGAATCGTTGGGAATTCGGCGGATATCTGGATGGCGATTGACGTAGGAGAGGAGAGAAGATTTCCAATCAAGAGCTTGGGCTCGAGGAATAACACCCCGTACAACGCAACATCCAGCTGCGCGGATCAGGTCTGCTATCTCGGTGGGAAACTGACCGTTTGATTGTTGAATCTCAGTGAAATCCACAACTGGGACGGCCTAGCGTCATAAGTAAACATAAAACTAGTGGGTTTCAATCGCTTACCGTTGGTCCCTTATTTTCGATCTCCTTCACCCTTTGTTCTAAGGCAACAAGAAGACGATCCCAACTTGCCTGGACTGCATGATAGTGTTCAGGTTTCACCAGGTGTTTCTTCAATTCTGCAAATTTCGCAGGGAGAGGCTTTGGTTTAGTACCTTCGTTGCTCGCCCAGATATCTTTGTCTTGAGTCGGAAGGGTCTTCTGGAGGCGATGGTGAATGTTCGATCGACTAGTAGCTGTTGATATTGATCTTGTTGACTTTAGAGAGTCTATCGAAGGTCGGGAACGGAGTACTACAGCTGTAGCCATCGAGTCTGTCAGTTGGGTTCTCACTCGGTGAGCCTTGTGAAATCAATGTGCAGACTACGGTATATAACTCATATGACCTACTAAGAAGATTATATCTTTCTCGCCGGAAATAAGAATGTGATTGTATGGATATTCCTATCGATTCAATTTCTTCTCCACTAATACATGCCTGTGATTTCCCGCCATGATTTACGATCCAAGATATGCAGCCCTATTCACCCGTGTCAAAGAGGCGCATTAGAATACACGCCTATTACGTTGTACAGTCATAATACCACGGTCAAAGGAAAAGAGAGGTTGAGAATATTCGGCGAGTTTTTTTGACGTCTTTTCCGTGTATTTTACCAGCCAACTTTACAAGCTTCGCAGACGCGTGTTTTATCAGTGCTTTCCCAAACTCTGCGATCGAATGTATGTAGGCAGATTGTACAGGTATACTACAAGGATTTTGACGGGAGTTGCCCTTTATCTATCATACCGGAACAGGTCGCTTAGTAGTAACTTAGGGACCGGAGTGCGACCTGGTGCGACGAACAGAGATACAGTATGTAATTGCATGGATGGTTGAAGTGATGACGGAGTCCCAACACGGGGTTTAGTTATAAGAAGAGATAACAACTGTTGCGAAAATCATATGCGACATTGTATTGCGATATCTCATTCAACCTCGTCATTCAACAATGCATGTCAATTCGTCTCGCTTGTTTCAGATGTGCTGTCTGGAATTTCAGCGAAAGAATAGGTGGGACTGACCAGAACGGGCGGATCTAGCAGATCCCATTGTGAGCTATGGGCGCTACTGGCGTATCCATCCAATTCATCTCCACCGACACTTCGATCTTCCCAATCAAAGAAAGAGGTCGAATAACGCACAGCGGTATCGACTGATAAGAAGCTAGGGGATGGGCTAGCAATAGGAGGTGGAGGTGAAGGCGACGAGGAAGAACTAGCAAAGGATGGACCATCATACGCCGAGTCTGCCTTAGGAATCGACACATGAAGTCGAGGGTTTTTGGAAGGGGGATATTCATCAGACTCGGATTGTGAAGTGTCAGAGACAAATGGATTGAATAGAGAGCGAGTGTTGGCCGAGTTCATAGATCGTTTGCCTTTCCCTTTGCCCTTAATGATAGATTGACTCTTGAGTCCGTTGGGGAGACGGTGATGTTCTGCAAAAGAGCTCTCGGTATCGGATACAGCTGATTCTCCAGTGTCATCGGTGTCGGAAGAATAATCAGTGACCCGAATAGTTTCCATACTGGAAGTGCGTTTTAACCCTGTCCGCCACGATTGAGATTGTTCTTCTTCCCATCGTAACAGTTCCTCCCGCTCCCGATTATGCCGCGACAACAACTCGTCCCAGAGCGTGGTTGGTGTGGCTTCAGTCAAGTACCTTGATCGGATCATCCAGTCGGTATCCAGTATAGCCAGACAGGTTACGTCTTTCCATTCTTGCTCTACGATACTGAAAAATACACGGCGACGCCTACCTTCATGAGCGAATCGCCTAGGCGGGAAAGGATGCTCAGGAAGTACCGTGTTGTGAAGAGACAATAAGATACTTACATGCCCATAAACAGCCTCATTGCCCGGTCTTTTGCAAAAGTGTCCAAGAGGCAGGCCTGTATGCGGTGACATCTCATGCTCTTAAAAGCTTCATCGAGGACGAGCCCGAGAGCTTCTTTAGCGTACCCCTTTCCTCGACTCTTCGAGGCGATTATGATACCAAACGATAGCTCTCCCATAGACCCGGGAGGGTAAGGGGGTGTCTGTGACGATACGAGGTACATAATTCCTATGATTGATCCCCACTGAGTATTCTCTCCGGTTTCATATTCAACATCCGTCTCGTTCCAATACGTTGTTCCTGGGGATACAGGATAATAAGAGATCGGGCATCCGTGATATTTGTGGCACATACCAGAACCAGAAAGATCCCTCTCTGCTCCCTCGTCTAGGCGCACCTCTTCTGAAATCGATGTCCATTCTGAGTTATTGTCTGTGGGACGGTTTTGTAACGAAATGATGCCGAAATAAGAGGTTCTGGAGGCGAAGGAAAATATATCTTCCTGTGGAAAACTAGCTTCGGTACTACACAGCTGCAATTCTTCGTAAAGAGAGATAACATCTGAGAAATCCTGACATCGAGTCGCATAGTCTCCTCCTGTTACGACAAGTCGTTCAGAAGTGAGTCTGTCGTTCATGGTTAAGAGTGAAGGAGTGGAGTCAGGCGCTAGTCATAAAGCCACATTATATACGCGTCGGGCTATGTAGATTTGATGTCGAGTTTGAATCAGACTCATGATGATTGCGAAGCTTGACCTTTTTGAGTTCGTTTTATTTGACTGCAAGCTTTAATCAAGAAGTTGAGATGTTTTACATATAGGCAGAAGTCATGAGGAGCGGGTGATGTTTGACTTGGAGAATCTTGCCTGCGCCGCAGCAAGCTGCAGTCACCGTGGTGGGCTTGATGTTGAATCCTTGATCATGAGAGGCTGGAGCGAGAGCGTCGATTTTGGCGCTAAAGAAAGATGCCATAATCTCGTCTATGTAGATCTAATCTTCCACGTGGCCGTAAATGTAAGGATGGCCTGATTTTGCGCTTCGTAGTGTCGAACGACTGTTGTTCCATTCACACAAGCATTTTATAATTATTTCTTTCTCAGACCACGACTATGTCCTTTTCGGCTCCCTCTCCCCTAGTATCTACTAGCTCGGGCTTCTCTTCAAAAGGCTCACCACAACCAGACCTGGAATTGGATCCTTCAGATCCTTTAAATCTCTTGCTCCGTAATTCACAGTCCACCGACAGCTCTATGGATGATCCTTCCGCAGGAGCAAGTCCTCCAGACTGGTCACAGCTGTCCGAGCTGTGGTCTTCCTCACTTGATGCAGGAAACCTGGCCGGAGAATATATTGCGAAAGCCTTTCCAGATGTAATGGATTACACTATTCCCTTAAGCTCCGAATTGGACTTTACTTCTCAAATGGCCATTGATCCACATGCCCTTCACTTTGACACTCAAAAGCTTGGGCTTGATAATTTCCCGTTGTTAAACGACTTGACTCCTAGTCAAAACTATCCGTTCACATTTCAATCGGAAACGTCGACTTCACCACAGGGCAGGAGACTTAGCGTAATATCCTCCTCGTCTTCATCTGGCGCCTCTCTGTCTCCGGTGATTGAACCTTCTCCTGCTCCGTCGCACCTCAATGCACCTCAGGAATTATCTTCCAGCTCTCTCGATGCAGCTGCGGAAGAATTGGCTCAGAGAGTACGGCAGTCCGCGGGGATTTTGCTCGCGGTTCCTATGAATGCTCACTCACAGCAGAACAATCGTAAGCAACTTTATCTTCCACAAATTAATCGTGCTCATTCGACAAACCATAGAAATAGATCCCGACTTTTCTATGTTTACTGGTCAGCAGGCAATGCTGAACAATGGCTTCATCCAGCAACCTGCTTCACCCCAGTCCCTGAGATCATTCGCATCGTCTACTTCTTCCGAGGCTTCCACCCCTCCCCCCACAACCCCTCCACCTACCGAGTCCGTTTATCCCAACTCTTTCAACGCATCTGTCTCAAATGTCAACCCCTACACCAACGCCGGGGGTACCACGGGTGTGATGCCTCGACCTAAGACCAGTCATACGACGATTGAGCGGCGGTATCGAACCAATTTAAATTCCAGAATAACCAGTCTCAAAATGGCTGTCCCGGCGCTTCGGGTGCTAGAAGATAAGGAAGGATGCGGAGTTGGTGGAGGAGGGAAGAAGGGAAAAGGGAAGAATGCAACTCTTGGCAAGAACGTTGTCTTCGGGAGCAAGGTGAAGAAAGAAGGTGAAGATGGCGAGGACGTAATTGATGTTATCGACGAGCGAGGGTTTGTTGATGGAGTCAAAGTCGCAAGGAAATGCAGCAAAGCCAATGTACTTGGTAAGGCTGTAGAGTATATTCGGTGAGCTGGCCGTAATCCCCTTCGAGCTGTGATACTTACTGGATTTACAGCGTCCTAAAAAAGCGTGAAATCCGCCTGAAACGTGAACAGCAAGGCTTAAAAGCACTTGTGAACGGTCTTGTTGGGGGCCCAGCTTTACTGAGCGAATGGGAACGGGAATGGAGGGAGAAATTTGGCGGAGAGGAAAAAGATGAGGTTGAAGGAGAAGACATTGATGACGGTGGTAGTGATGATGAAGGCAGTGGGGATGATGATGACGCAGACGACGAGGGAGTAAGGAAAAGGAAGAAGGCCAAAATAACTCCAGCGAAGAAAGAGCCCAAGGAGAAGCGACCTCCTCTTCCCTCTCCACAACCTCTTGTGCTCCCTGATGGAAGCGTTGTCGTACCAGAGAAACGAAAGAGAGGTCGACCTCGCAAAGTCATGCTACCTGTGGTCGCTGCAGTCTCTGAGCCATCGGTGCCACTGCACCAACCCGGAGCGCAGAGTTCTGTCGTCCAACCGCAACAACATCCTCAGCATGCGCAGTATCTCTTAGCTGTCTTTGCTCTATTCTCTTTTTTCAATAACCCGCTATCCTTTTCTCCATCCCATCCTCCGCCCAATCATTCACACACGGGGACTGTCCTTGTTCACGAGCTCCCTCCATCCATTAATGGATATTCTGGGTGGTCATGGCATGATGTTATCCAATTCTTTCATCTATTGGTCTCCATCCTAGTTTTTTTCTCCATTTTGGCACCGTGGGCCCCCACTTTATACAAATACGTCACGAGATATGCATCATTGAAGAAGCTTACTTTATTCAATTCATCTCGACCTCGTTCGATCTCACTTGTTGACGCGCTATCGCCCGATAACCGAGGGACTGTACGGGAGGCTGCTGGGCTGCGCCATGCGCTAGGCAATCGTCACGGTGTTTTCGCAAGTGTCAAAGCTATCGTTGGAAATACAAAGCAAAACATTGGATTTGAGCAGGCTGGCTTGGAGCAAAGAGCTTGGGTTAGGTTGGGTGAACTTTCTGTATTAGGAGGTCTGTTGTCTTTTGCTCTCTACCGTGCATCTCACTGAATATTTCTAAAGGAAAAACATCATTGCTTGACCGCGCGCTGACTTGTTTGCACATGCGATCTTATCTGTCGTGGTTTACTGCCAGCGCAGCTGACCTTTCCACATTGGCATTGGCACTATGGCCTTTGGGGCATTTTGTTCATCGACATGCTTGTTCTATCTGGGACGCTGCCCGTGCTCGGAAAGGTTTTAGCGGCGTGCGCGAAGGAGGCGTTGGTGTTCAAGTCAGACCCCACGAGCGGCTAGTACTCGAGAGCCTCACTTTAGACAATGCAGTCATCCGCCTCAAGGAGATAACTGCTAGTCAACGCCGGGACGCTGAGTGGAACCGATATGCACCGATCGGCGTCCTCGCGTGTGGTCTCGTCAAAGAAAGGATCAAACACCACCTGGAGTTGACGTTCATAAAAACTGTTCTTCCAAATGAAGACTGTTGCGAGCTCGAGGACATTTCTGCGGTCGCGACTTCTGATAGTGCGGAGGACAAGGAAGAGAATGAGCGGAGAAAAACCATTGAGGCTGCGATGTCCCTCGGGGGAAAGATGGCCGAACTTGGCGATACTCTCCAGAGGATGTGGACCATGAGCATTTGGGAACTCGAGGATGTCTCCCTACCTGATGATGATGAGGAGCATGAGTCCGATATCGATGCCGATATCCGCGTATTGCTCAATACCTTAATCCTCTACCGTCAAATATTTTCCTCTTCCATCCTGGGATCGGCTCAAAGCGGTCATAGCTCAGGGGCGTCAATCCTCCTGAGTCCTCCTCCCAGTCCAACTCGACTGGATGTGAAGTTACATTATGCTCTTCGTCGTGTCCTAGATTCTTCTGTCTTTGATTCTGAGAATGGCAACGGGATAGGCGTTGCGATGGAGGATGCCAGAGATCGACTCGTGGATATGTTGGTAGACTGTGAACGAGCTGGAAGGTCGATCTGATCAGTAAACTTAACTTATCTTGAATAATATTCTGACTGTATAAGGTATCTACTATTATTTTGGTTCCGGGCTGGTATTATGGTCATGGACATACTTACATACTTCCCGAATTCATGAGAGGAAAATGTGACTAGAGAACTAAGTTGTATCGGAATATTCGTTGGACAGGTATTCTGGAGTTCTCGCAGTGCGCACACGATCAGCTGATTAGTGATGCATTGTTGCCCCACATTCGAATCCCAGAAGAGACTTTGAGCAATGTATCCCATCTTCTCCGCATTCTTGCTCTCTTTGAGCTCTCTTTCTGGAACATTAGCTTATCAATGGCCTAAATCATTCCTGTCTTCCATCAATCCCTTAATTGGTAGTGCTGGTCCAGAACCAAATCTCTCTGGAGGTATGATACCCTCCGTGGCTCCGCCCTTCGGGTCCACAAGATGGGTAGCCCAGAACCAAGAGAGCTATGTCTCAGCAACTCCGTTCAACTATACAGAATCATACATGAACAATGGTACCATTCATGGATTCATGGGTACCCGTCAACCAGCTATTTGGATGGGTGAAAGTGCTTGGGCGGCAGTAGTTCCTGGAATATCTTCTGGTTCGGATGGGGATATTCTTACTGGATTTGAAGAGAGGGCCATGCCGAAGATTGCAGGGACTGAAAAGTTTGGTGTTGGTCTGTATAGTGTTGAACTTGTTATACCTGAATCCGGAGGCAGTACAGTAGAGGTTTTGATGAGCGCAAGCTCTCGAGTGGGACATCTCCAATTCACATTCAAACAAGGCTCCGAATCCCAATTCCAGCCATACATCTTCTTACCTACCACGCGTCCATCAACGATCTTCCATAACCCCAACACCTTTGAGATCACTTACCCAAATGGCACCGTCCAAATCTCACCATCCACAAGCGAAATTTGTGGTAGCAATACCGAGATGCAGGACTTCATTCTCGCACCAAATAGTATCAAAGATGCTGCTAGCCATTTCACTGGATGGTATTGCGCCACGTTTGATACCTCGTTCAACGATACCGGGTATGGAATCACGGTCGGTAGTGGTGATTCTACTATGAGAACCGAACGGGCAGAGTCAGGGAGCGGAGAAGAGCTAGGAGCCTATGCCAGATTTCAATTTCCTTCTAACGGTACCGAGAGCAACTCCATGACAGTCAACGTTCGCATTGCTACCTCCTTGATTTCTGCAGACCAAGCGAGGTACCATCTCAATGCTGACTCCGAGAACAAAATAGGGTCTTTCAACATTCAGGACACGCAGTCGAATACGGAAAACGCATGGGCGGAGAAGGTTGGGCGATTTCACGTGGAGACGGATGGTTCATCTGAAAGTGAGGAGAAGTTGGCTGTTTTCATGACAGGAGTATTTCATGCTATGCAGGTAAGCATCATCGTACCAATCTCCTATTATAATTGTGCACATCTGGATTCCTATAGTATCCGTACGAAGTTCATGAACCAATCCCTACCACTCCAAATTCCCAGCAATACTATTCCGCCTACGACAACACAATTCACGAAGGAGAATCGTATAGTGGCTATTCCATTTGGGTACGTTTTAACCAGCTCATTTTCTCCCCACTTCCTTCCATGGCCAACTGCACGCTCTCCAAAATAACCTCGCCCGCAAACCCCATTTCATCCCATGTGTCATAGTTGACCTCTCGCTACAGGATACCTATCGGGCTGAATGGGCACTTCTCATTTTACTTGCTCCTGAACGTATCCCTGGAATGATTCGAAGCATGCTGCAAGATTTTGAAGAGGGTGGGTGGTTACCAATGTGGAAGAATATGATCGGTGTGTCTACTCCTCTAAAGACAAGACTCTGGAGCATCAGTCTCTTAAACCGGCGCTATCTGAACAGAAACCAACATCATGGTGGGGACACATGCCGACTCCCTTCTTGCCGAGGCAGTCTTGAAGGGATTCGGGGCGGGCTCTGCAGAAGAGAATGGAATACAAACGACTTTCACGACAGATGAGCTTACGACTATGTGGAAAGCTGCTTGGAAAGACGCTTCTGTGCCTCCGGTAGGTGACTCGAATGTTGTTTACTCTGATCGGGAGGAGGTATGTATCTACAAAAGCCTTTCGCAGCGCTTGTATGATGAATTCTTACAAATTATGTTATTGTACATAGGACGTTGACTATGAAGTACGCGCGGGACTTTCGACGTTCTTTGAACAATACTCCGCAGGCTATGGGTGGGTTGCGAACGATATTCATTCGGAGAGTGTTAGTAGGACGTTGGATTATGCTTGTGAGGGTCATTTATTCCTTTTCTATCAAACTACTAACACGCTCCAGATGATGATCATGCAGTTGCACTCTTATCAACCCTGATTCCTGTAGAAATTGTTCAAGGAAATACACCCAACTTGGATGAGATTGCAGCGGGATTTTACAACAGTAGCAGCGCGAATACCAATTATAACGTTACCTCACTTTTGAACGATCGTTCATTGGCTAATCCATGGACTGTCTGGAACGACACGGCTTCAGCTCCGGCTCTAGTCACTGGAGGAGAGGATGTCAAGGGATTCGTGCAAGCTAGACAACAGAATGGGGACTGGGCAGGTATAAACCAAATCTCTCCATATCACTTCGAACAACTTGTATACTAAATTTTTCTTTCAAGCTACAACGGACGGCTTCACGGAAGGAGACCGCTGGGTTTACTCTTTCGCCTTTGTGCATGATGTTGCTGAGCTAGTTGAACGACGGGGAGGTAATGAGAGCTTTGTAAAAAGCTTGAATGAGTTTTACGATGGTGGTTGGGTTGATTTCACGAACGAAGTGAGTACATGGCCTTTTCGATTCTATGTTCCCGTCCTTTCGCTCTTCCGGTCCTTTATTCCTTTCTCTCACTTGGTATCAGGTTTCTTGAGAATTGACGAATTTCTTCTCTATTTCGTTTACCTTAGCCGGCTCACCATACACCTTATCTCTACGCGTTGGCTGGCGCAGCTTCATATACTCAGGAACGTGTTCGAGAGATTGCAAAAAGTAATTATAATAATACACCTAACGGCTTGAGTGGAGTGAGTATTTACGTTGATGATTCCGATTTCAACTGCACAGTGCTAACCTAATTCCCTAGAATGAAGATTGTGGCCAGATGAGTGCTTGGTACGTTTTTAGCGCCATGGGCTTCTATCCAGTCAATCCTGTTTCGGGCGTCTACGTTGTTGGCTCGTAAGTGTTCTCTAGCCGACTTCGTTTTGCCATACATTGACCGATTCTCGTTCAATTTCCCTTCTTAATATAGTCCATTCTTTTCCTCGCTCAACGTTAGCATACCCGTGCCTCCGTTCATCCCGCCATCCCACCCATCAATCACATCCAACTCGTTCTACAATTCCACGACAAACAGCTATGATCTGCGAATCCTCGCTCCTGGCGCCGAATCCAAACCATACGTCAAGAATTTGAAAGTCAATGGTAGAGTGATTGGAGATAAGGAAGAACCACTTATCTCTCATGAGGAAATCCGGTTTGGAGGCTTGATTGAATTCGAGATGAGTGATAAGGCGGAGAGATGGGGAGGTGGGAGAGGAGCATGGACTGAGATCACATCGGATGCGAGGAGGAGTCCAGGAGCTGCATTCAATGACCAAAGTCGCTCTAGTATTGTGAGTGTAGAGCATGTTACGAGTCCGAAATGAAATGTAGGATTCGTCTTTATGGGGGAACAAAATGTGGGAAACTGTGACTAATTTCCTTTTTGGGGGTGCAATCTGCCTTTTTTGGGCTGTGACTGATGAAATCACATGACCTGCTGATGTGACTGATGATGTTCCTTCGGCACCTGAAAGGTGCCCATTCTTCTCTGTCCGCACCTTTGGCGCCCAAAGGGCGCCCTTTACCCTAAAGATAGTGATGCTGACCCATAAGTCTCAGCCAACATGTAAGTTACATATCTTTTATTAGTATGTACAGCTGAAGAATTCAATAAGGACTCGTACATGCCACGCGCGAAGCGCGATGGCCCACTTCCGCACGTTGAATTATAGGAAGATTAGTTTGTTCAGCACTTTTAGGCAGGTGTTTAATTAATAGTACTGAAAAAGGTTGCTAAAGGGAGTACTGGGAGTCATGTACATAGTAGTACAGTTCGTTCAAATGAATAAAACTTCTAAATTCGATCCATACGCAGACCAGACTATACTCAAGTCAACGCTCTTGCCTAGCAAGTTGGAAGAATATATTCTAGCATGTGCATGATATTTACAATATGGGATGTTCACACACACATAAGCGATCTTAATTGGGGTTCGGCGGACCAAATATTCGAAGAGTCAGAGTTGGGGTTCCATGGTTTACCAAATTGACCCTCCTTAGCAGTGATCGACTCTTTGGTTCGAGGCTGTTGCGGTGGTGAGGTCTGGTTGCTCGATTCTGTTTACCTATCAAAAGGTGAGGATTCAAGGTGATGATCCGTGAAAGAGGAGGTACGGCCAGAGACAATAAGACAGACGAGGTACGAGAAGAAGGATCCGCGGAAGATGTGAACACAGGGATATTTTCTCGACGCCACGAATTCACGATTCGCTGTGCTGGAGACAGCCCAGTCGATAGATCATGATAACCAGGATCAGAGGTAACAATACCTTCATTGCAGTCATCATCACTCCAAAGAGAACCCGGAGACTCCTCAGGCACTAAGAATATTATATCGCCTTCCCGTGATTCATCAGATGCAGCTGGAGGGGAGGATCTCGATGCTGGTCCTGTACCTGCATCACCCGCATCTCCTTTATCATCGTCTCCATTGCCACCAAAGTCCAGAAAATCGAAACCGTACTTTTTGAAGTCTTCTTCAGAGCTCCCACCACCTCCCCTCCTTGGCTTCCAGGGGCTTTGCCGCTGGCTACCTTCTGAGATAAACCGCGTTCGTAATTCCATCAGTGTGATAGAGATGGCATGCATCGTATCCACAATCATTTGTGGTTCAGGAACTTCGGAATATTGGAGAGCGGAGTATAAGGTCGAAGCCGGTTTACTATGACGTTCTTTCCAGACATACAATGTCCGAAAAGCGTTGAGAAGGGCAGCAAATGGGGAAATGTGCGAGTAGAATCCGGACGTTTGATAGGGGGGGAAAAATGTGTTTAAAGCAGGAGCATTGTTAGCGCAGAGTACGACATGGTAGGAGTAGAGATTGCCATCTTTCTGTAAATAAATATCAGAGGTGCAATTACGAAATGAAAATGTAACGTACAAAATGAGATAGACCGTCCACATTCCCTTTTCGCAATTCATTCCAGAGGTTGTTTGCACCCACTTTTTTTTCGGTGTTCCGTTTGCGTCTTGCTTCATGCACTTTCTCCAGGTAGACTTGGATGTTGTCCAGTAAAGCAAGAGATGGTATAATTAAAAGCAGATGATCATCAAGAGCTGCATGTATATTGACTAAAACTACATTGAGACGGGGACACTTTTGAGAAATGTCGCATCGACACTAAAAGTAGTGTAAACGCACGTGGCATAAGAAAAAGGCGGCTATGAATGCACAGTGTTCGGGGAGCCATGCCTAGCATGAACTCGTATAGAAGTAGCTAAGTTGAGTGTCAGGACGGGCGGATGTAGTCGAGTCAAGCACGCACCAGGGAGTCATTGGAAGCCTCGGCATTGGGAACAAGAATGTGCGCCAGTTGAATGAGCGGTCTGCAATACGGCTGGTGATGGGTGACGTGGCACCGAAACATCTTTGCTACGATGAGCCAACCTAGAAGCCAGGCTTTTGCACTTTGTGCACCCCTTCCTTGACGTTTACTAGGAGTAAGCTCTGGCCCAGATACTCTACTTGTACTTGATTTGTGAGATTGATTATCTAAATTGTCCCGTCGTTTCGAATAAGTAAGAACAGAGACAGCAGGACGACCAAGCTCTCCGTCATCCAGTTCGTCCACTTGATGCTGCAGCGCATAGTCGATAGGCTGGGAAATTTGTTTTTGCACCGTATCATGATCGAAGGGGATTGGGAATTTGTTGATACGGTTTGCAAGATCAGTCATGGAAAGAAGTTGCTCTTCAAAAGCTGGACGAAATGCGTGCCGATGCAAAGTGGCCCAATATCGGTTTCAGCGCCAAAGGGGTATATATGTCTGGTTGGGCGACTGGCTAGGTATTTATTGAAATTGATGCTCAGAAATGCAGGATTGTACTCTTTCGTGACCAAAAACCCCAGCGAAAGAATATTGATGGACCAGAATTCGTATCTCTTGATGGACCCCTGTATGCTAATGGGGATTTGCGTTGAACAAAATCCTCAAAGATATCATTAATTGGTTCGAAAGTACAGTGCGTTCGCCATTTCGTTCCAAAGGCTTTTCTAAATGAAGATTTCAACCCGGGTAGTTATATTCCTGGATGGGACTGCCACGATCTACTTATCGAAAATAAAGCTTTGAAAGAGCTCGGAATGTGCGTCGACTGTTCCTATTCATCAAACTTCTCCAAATTCTGTTCAGAAAGATTCTTCTAATGTTCCTCCGTCTACTATACGCGCTGGCGCTCATGCAGTGGCTGTTCAGGATATTGTATCGCAGAAGGAGCAATTCCGTCAATTTGGTATCATGGCTGATTGGGGCAACAATGTGGAAGCCTGCCAGGGTCACTGGCAAGCAACACTAAGGAGAAAGACTCACGGAACGACAAACAAACAGGCAGGAGTTCTCGATTGGAGTGATCAGAGATATGTGAGTGTATGTAGCGAGAGATGGTCGTGGTACCAGGTCAAGTAGCAGTATCGTAGCTACAGTATATATATATCTATGGTGAGACCTATGACGATGGGACACGTCTACGCGTCATTGGTAGGAATGCACGTGGTCGTGCTTCCACTCTCCCCGCCTCTAAAACGCGAAGCAGTAGAAAGAAAAGAAGAAGAAAACAACCCAACCAAAAAATTGTTATAGGTAATATAAGTATGGAACCCGCACCTAGTCCCTTGGACGCCGTGCGTAATAGTAGAAGAAGAAGTCACCAGACCTATCCTTCAGTTAATCCTTCCCAGATGTCGAGGGCCTCGCATTCTTGTAGGTTTCTACCTGGCTCCCAGGAGTCGAATTCGGGGCCGTAACCCCGCCAGCGGACCAAATAGCGTCGCCCGCGACCAACTTTACGCTCATCCAGGATTTTGTCGACTTCCAATTCGACCAGTCCGTCTGCGGTAACGATCGGGCCAGGCCGAGGGAATTCACGATTTGGGAAGAGCGATGGGTCGTTGTCGGAGTAGGCCTTTAGCTCGTCAGCATGGAAGGTAGGGAAGATGTTGAGATGGGCAGGCAGGTCCAAGGTGTAGGCTGAAAACTGTGGGTGGATGTCAGTAACTGTATAAGGGCCATCGTAACGAGGGAAAAATTTAGCAGCTCTTTTGTCCCCTTTCCGCTTGTATTCATTTTTACGGTGTTTTGTTTTCAGTAGTACACGATCATTAATCTTAAAACCAGGGTCAGCACGACGGTGACGGTTGTGGGAGCGCACCTGATCCAGTTTGGCAGACAGAAGGCAATCCTGTGCTTCCAGGACATCAACCTGAATATTCTTGAGGAATTCATGGGCATCAAATTCGTGGTCCGTCAAGGCGTCCGGTAGCTGTGGTACCAGCGGAGGGATGAGTCGGGGAGAGAATCCGGAACGTAGCTGGAACCCTGACATGCCAATGGAGGAGTTGACGGTGTTCATAATCTGGAAACGGATACGTGGTAAAGCCCGCTTCCAGCCTTTCTGATTACGTTCGACGTGGTAGCGGAGCATTTGTACAACAGTTTTATTGCTACGTTCACTGGCGCCGTCGGATTCAGGGTGGTAAGAAGTAGACATACGGAGGCGGACGCCGGAAAGAGAGCGTAAGGCCTCCCAGAACTTCGATACAAAGAGATGATCACGGTCACAGACAATGTCGTCAGGGAGGCCGTTTTCGCAGTACCAATGGTCAAAGAAAAGCTGAGCACAGTCACTAGCAGATAGGTCGGTACGGCAGGGGACGATTCGTAAGTCGGCACCTAGTCGGTCAGTGATTGTGAGGATGCAGTTGGAACCACCATCCTCAGGGAGAGGGCCTATGAAGTCCATGGCAACGGAGGAGAATCGGTGATTTGGTACGGGCAAGGGATGTAGTGGGCCAACTTTCTTTTGAGTGGTGGACTTGTTGCGTTGGCATTCATCGCAGGCTGGAACATACACCTTCTCAAGGTCGCGCCGCATGTGGGGCCAGTAATAGGATTCTCTAAGGGCCTCATACGACTTATCAAACCCAAAGTGGCCGAGGTTGTCATGAGCCAAGCAAAAGAGTTCCTCGCGAATGTGGCCAGCACGTGGAATAATCAGGTGTTGTCCGATGTACCATAATTTTGATTCGAGATCCTTCCGGATCAAGGGCATACTCGCAGCCATAGAGGGCAGATCTTTGCACCAAGGATCGGTGGTGTAGCCATCCCGGATCTCCTGTAGTAGTGTGGCGTCCCCCAGTAATCTCAAGGGTGGCTGCGATGTGGGGCAGAAGGGGCTCGACATAAGGTGAATTAGCCAAGGCCCGGGCACCGGACCAAGATGAGTCTTCGAGTACACAGAGGATCGGCAGATCCATATCGTCATCTGTATCCGCGCAGTAGGCGTAAGGGTGGTGTGAGCCGAGGATAGCTTCCGCGGATGAATCAACTGTGGGACCAGGGCAGAGATCTGTTCGACGGGATAATGCGTTGGCCACCGAGTTTCGTTCCCCAGACACGTACACGATCTTGCAGTCAAACTGCGAGAAGAATTCCATCCAACGTGCTTGACGGCGGGATAGATCAGGTTGTGAGTGAAAATTTTCTAACATCTGGTGGTCTGTCATGATCACAAACGGGACACCCAAGAGGTCCACTCGCCATTTCTTTAGGGCACGAATAATGGCCAGCATCTCTTTCTCATGTACAGGGTAGTTGAGCTCTGCACCTTTGAAGGTAGATGAGTTGAAACTGACGGGTCGTGCAGTTTCCCAAGAAGTCCCAAAACTTAGGACAGCACCGGAACATTTGTCACTAGCATCGATTGTGATGAAGATTTTATGTGTGTCAAGAAGGTCGAGGTCGATGACCGTCAGGCATTCACAACTCGCAACGAGGACTTTAATGGCTTCGAACGCGCGGTCGTGTCGTGCCTCCCAGGGTAGGTTATCTTTGTCTATACTGTTTGTGGTTAAGTGGGTCAAAATCTCGGTGAGCTCAGCAAGACGAGGTAGGAATGCAGCAACATAGCGTACTAAGCCAAGAAAGGCTCGGAGTTCTTTCACAGTCTTCGGTGTTGGCCAATCCATAATGCGGTCCACTTTTTTATCATCCGCTGCAATTCCGTCCCTCGAGATGGAGTGGCCAAGGAAATGGACATTAAATGTGAACAACTCGCATTTCTTTGGGTTGCAATACAGACGAGCCACACGGAGCGCAAGGAGAACCTTTTCAACATTGATGATGTGTTCTTCGATTGATTTAGACCAAATAATGATGTCGTCGACATAGACGTAGCAAATCTTTCCAATCAGATGCCACAAGGCGGATGTAACTCGACGTTGGTGGATGGCTGGTGAATTTTTCAGGCCTTGAGGCATGACAGTCCATTCGTATAGCCCAAACGGTGTAGTGATAGCTGTAAGTTTGATGCTGTCTTCGTCCATTCTGGTTTGGAAAAAGGAGTCCGTCATGTCAATCTTCCCCCAAATGTGACCCTTAGCACAGTCAGAGAGTATGTCGTCAATACGAGGTAAGGGATGAGCATCCGTTATGGTGTTGTCATTGAGTTGGCGGTAGTCAGCAACCCAACGAGGTAGTGCATTAGGATCTGCTTTCGGGATAACAAACGAAGGAGAGGCGTAGGTGGAATCGGACGGTCGTATTTTCCCACTATCAAGGTGTTTTTGGATAAGAGTTTGCCAGGCAGCTCGAAATTTGCAAGGGCAGCGGTAAGAGCGGGAGCTAATTGATTTCGAGGCGTCGATCAGTTGAATTTTTGCCGTAACAGAGGTGGGTAACTCTTCGACATGAGGAATGGGTTCGAAGATTGCTTGATATTTCTCCTTCAGTTGTGATTCATGCTCCTTCAGAGCTTCCAACATTGCGAGATCTTCAATTCGGGACCAGATAGAAGCAATTATTTGTGAAGAAGTCGGTGTAGTTGTGACGCAACAAGGTGGAAACTTCGGACGAATGGTTGAGCATACGTCTTTTAGTTCATGGAGTAAATTGCGACGGTGTTCTTTAGCACGATTGCCCAATTTTTGTAAGGATTCATGGATTTTCTCAATCGATTTCCCTTTAAACGCGAATGTGCGATGTACAGGTGTGTTATTCAATAAATCAAACCCCGAGGGCTTATGAGTACAGGAACGTAAAGCGTAGTCTATTACAATGTTGTTATGAGTTAACCAGGGAAGACCGAGAAGAAGCTGAGTACACAAGTTAGGAGCGATGACAAAAGGAACGCTACGTGATGTGAAGGAACCGTTCATGGAACTAATCTTTAATAGAACATATTCAGTCAAAGGTGCAATGGATTGGTTACCAGACTGGAACGCAGCACATACAGGTTCAGGTTTCTTCAGTATGCGACGTGGTAGTCCCAGGCGACAGACTAGATCTGGGTGGATCAAAGCCAAATGAGCACCATTGTCAATCAGAGAGTTAACGATAACAGGAAACGGAGATTTTGGGCCAGCAACATGGCATTTCCATCGAAGGTGCGAGATACGGAAAGGGCAACTTACCTCCTCCTCGGAGTCAGTGCCGTCACCCAAAACTGCGCTTGGCATGATGGAAGCGACGACGCCGTCGTCCTCCGCATCAGATACCCCAATAGCAGCAATAGGGCCCGTTCGCGGTTTCTTGTTTGTTTCAACGGTGCCTCGCAACTTGCGAGCGGCATCGACATCGGTAGTAGTGAGTTCCTTGTAGCCATTACCGTTAGGCAAAGGAAATTCATGTTCAGAGCTAGAGGTGTGGCATTTGACAAAAAAGGATCTGCATTTGAAGCAGCCGTCGTTTTCACTGAGTAGTCGCCTTTCATTAGTCGTAAGCGGGGGCAAACGACCGTTCTGGCCACCACCAGTATTCGCGGTACGACGACTTTGAGTGTTCGCAGCAGTAGACGGTGCCAGAGGAGTCGTAGCGCGAGAGTTGGGACGGGACCGAATCATGTGTTCAGCCATTTGGCGAGCAATGAGCAGTTGGCGGTGACGACCATGGTCAAGAACTTGGAATGCACGGGTAAAGGTGTGGAAGTCTTTTGCATGAATGCCATGTAGAGGGTTACCCGAATGATCGTCAACCTCTTTATTGTAGGCCTCACGGAGTCCAGTGTCGGCAGCGTGAATTAACATCATCTTCAAGCTGTCCTCTGATTGAAAACGAGGTGTACCTTGCAAAAGGTTGTTAAGGACCATAAGTTGTACAGCAAGGTCTGAAATCGAGGTCTGCAAGTCATCGGGCATCCTGACGGCGCGCATTTTACGGAAGGTAGAGTCTTGCCAGTCAGGATCGAGGACGCGGTCACGGACCACAACGAAGAATTCTTCGAAGGACAGCTTTGTAAATTCTTCGCGGTGACACGCCTAAATTTTGGCTAGACGTCTATGCTGTGAATTGTGACATTTTCACGTATAGATTTGTATCAAGAGGACTGTAATTGAGACCCAGATTGACAGTCAAAGTCGATACTGAATCAGTCTAATAAGTTGAAGGGACCATATACCCATACTACCACAAGTTGGTTAGTTTACCCATCCCCGATACTACCTACGGATAGCAGTCTACCTGTTTGTCAAGCAGGATTATACCAGACTCGGACTACATCCGAAGGATGACCATTTACGTATGACATACCAAGGGTATTCTTATTGGACCTTACACTGGCAGGAGTTTGGAAGAACTTACTCAAGTGACCATGAACCGAGGATTGACTCGAAATGACTTTCTAGAACTCAGGAATTATCAAATACTCCTTCTAGAACAAGATCATGCATTAATCTAAAGGACTGTGATTTAGTCTAATAGACCAATCAAGTTGCATGGTTGAGGAAAATGACTAGAAGAACGATCGAAATACTGCGAGGCTCCGAAGACATATCAAATGAATGTCAAAGAGTCTTGACGTAGAAAATATTGAAGAATGCAATTAAATGAATACTATGTGTAACTCCCTTGATTGAGTATAGGCACAATGGGTGTCTGTTGAAAGAGAGAAGCAATTAGTTTAATCCAGATGAATCAGATTGATAGGATTAGAATCGAGGAGAGCTGATTTGCCTCCGGACGAGATGACAAACGATCGAAGTAAGTGTTGAACCGCAATGACAGTTGAACACCATTCGAGTCATTCTCGAAAAACAATTAAATTAAATGAATATTGAAGTACCTACCTATGTTTGGAGGTATACTAGAATCTTGGAACCAATATGGACCAAATAAGGACATGTAGATTCAAATTAAATGGTATCTGACTGAGTGTAGAAGTTTCCTTGCGGTTCCGAACGTTTATGGTATTAAATTAATTGTACTATGCGACTCTATATTCTGTATGTATAAATAGCGATCCGATGTATCTGGAATACAAGTGATTTTGGGACGACGTTGCAGTGCTAATCCGTAAAAAGGAAAGACACACTCCCGCCAGACTGAAACCTCTTCGCTAGCAGCCATTCGGGCCCGGCACTTGTGAGTATAGGAACGTCGTGTTCTGCTCCTTGTGACTGCGAGAAGTCTATCCAGTTGTTGGGTATTCTTCGAACTTAGGATCAGTCGTTGGTCTTAAGGGCAAATCACGCTGTGTGGTTGTGCCAGCACATAGTTCTAGCCCTCCGAGGGGTCTGTGTGTTTCGGTTTTAATTTACTTTGATTCAAACCCCCAATTCTTGATATACCCAAATCAATACAAACCAAAGCACAAATCGTGCTGAATCTACCTTGATCAAAGGAATATATCAAATCCTTAGAACGATTCAAATTGATTGATCAAAGCTTCTTACTTAGCTCTCAAAGCTTTGCGGAACCTTTGCCAACGCTACCCCTTGCTATTAAATAAATTTGATAGCAGTGAACTCGCATATTGTGTATTAGATTGGTTGGTTGGAGTGCCCATTAGATTCCTTCCTTTCTCTTTCACACAAAAACGAGGCAAGCTCGTTATCTGGAGCCCACCGCGAGGGGTGGTTTTGAAGCTACAATTAGCTTGATAAATTAAATTGAACGTTTGTTTGGATTATATTCGATTATTTGGTAGAAGTGTATTGATCTTTGTGATACCATTTCTGTGAACTGTCAACATTAGTTCATCAGGAAAACCGCGTACTTCGAAGAATTCGGAGAAAGCAGGAGTTGTATTTGGGAGATCTACGTTCGGCACATCAGCTCGAACATCCCTATTAAATCCTACGAACGAATCCAGTCGTCCATCCTCTTCTCAAATAACGACAGAAGAATCGCGTGGAAGTTCTGTTTCTAGAGGAACAGGATCATCTATATCTCGAGGAAGACTTACATCTTTGCCGAGGAATTTGAAGAAATCTAATCTCGATCCGAAAAGGAAGAGAAAAGAAATTAATCCGATTGATTTAGAAGAAGATAGAATTGAATTGATTGCTCCAGAGTCAATTTCAACATCTTCTACGTCGATTGAATCAACTAGATTGATAGATACGTTACATCAGACTATCTCTCAAACAAGTAATACGATTGAACCAGTCAAAATGACTACCAATAATTATGGAATGCCTGCGTTGTCAGCTGAAGCTAAGGCTGAGATTGATAAAGCCAGTGCGAAACTTCCAAGAAAGTATAAGACAGCACCATTATTCGATATAACTGATCCAAGTCAAATGATCCCATGGTTCGAAGCTACTGAAAGCATATTTGAACATGGAGGAATTACATCTGACGAGGCTAAAGTGAGATTAGCTTTAGAATGGACGTCTTATAAAACGAGACAAGCATTAAGAGTCTTTGATTCGGTGAAGAAACCGAATTGGGATCAATTTAAAAAGGATCTAAAGAATATGTTTCCGCAATCTGTAGGAGACGAAAGAGGATCTAGATTATTGCTTGAACAATTGGTCCATCAATTTAATCCAATTGATGCAGGTGAACAGGAGAAGATGAGAATCTTCAGACTCCTCTTCGATGCTGAAATGAAAAAGCTGATGGATGAACCGAAAATGATCACAAATAGTGATGCAGTAAGATTGTTCTTGGCACCTATGACTCCCGAAGTAAGGAGAGGCGTGCTAGAAACAGTTGTGAAAGATGTATCAATTACTTCTATGTCAGATAGACGAAAGGAAGACCCTTTCAAGATTGACGAAGTAATGAATGCGGCCGAGAAGTATATGATTGGGAGTTCATTTGATAACTACTATCAAACACTTTCCATTGCTTCTTCGAGCCCACCAATTAATAACCCTAATTCATTTAGTAGGGGACACATTAATTTACCGTTTGCTGCAGATGTTCCCAAGACAGATAGGAACTATCTTCAAGCATTGAAACCCAAAGTAGAAGACAAATTTAAGGATCTTCTGGGAATTAAATTAGAAAGTTTGATTCCAAGGGAATTGACAGAAGAACAACAGCAAATGGTTGCGTTGAATAAAGACCTCATGGAGGCGAATATGAAAGAAATTAGAGCTGTGAAGTCATTACAGTCGCACTTCAAAGAAGGAGCAGACATTATGACACAGTTAACAGCAGTAATGGCACAGATGGCCAAAGAAAATGCTAAAGGAATGATTAATTCGATACCACCGAGTGGTCCCTCGAATCAATCTAATAGATTTGAAAGAAATACGACACCGAGAAGTTCGAATGGAACTCAGTGGGCATGTTTCTTGTGCAAGTCGACAGATCATTTTATGAATGAATGTCCACACTTGCTGGAATTTACGAAAAGAGGTTGGATGATGCCTGAAGGAGGTGACTCGAAGCATTACAAATTAAGAGACAACGCTAGAATGCCTCGAGACGATCCAAATGTACCTCGTTACAAGAAAATTGAACAAATGGCGAAAGACTTGGGATGGGATCGTGCTGAATCCTATTTTGCAAACATGGAAGATGACGAAGATGATAAAGTCATGGACCAGCAGATGAATCCTAACGTCAATCTAGCTGTTTGGATGACAAGAATAGAGGAACTATCAGATAGACTTGGGAATTTAGAAGCACACCGAGAAGATGATGTCCGTGTGTTCAACCAAGATAGTTCAAATGGAAAAAAATAAGTACTCCAATGAAGGAGCAGGATCGGTCCATGAGAACTTTAAGATCCAATGCTGTAGCTCCGGAGGAAAGTGAGAAAGCAAAACGAAATCAATTTAATGAAAATACGAAAAGATTAGTATTTGATGGGGTGCATATACCCAAGAAACCAGGTTTAATACCAGGGAAATTGGTTGAAACGACCAATGGAAATCAGAAAACAGTGAGATTTGAGGCTCCAAAGTCCATAGATCGGCCTTTGAAGAAGCCTTCAGTCACGATCGAAGATGTTGATGAACCTGATGACGAGGATACTATTAAATTAATTCCTTCGTCAAGACCAACGAATCAAATTAATAACGAACATAGACCATATGATCATGTTCAACCTAGGACGTATCGTCCTATTCAAATTAATACACCTACGAAGGTACCAAGAGACCAGACGAATCAAATTGATAGTCATGGATATACTCCAGCCTATAAAATTAGGAATGAAGTCTCGAGACCAGGTGTAGAAGAAGATATAGCAAAGAAGATATTCGATGCTAAAGTTGATTTGAGTACAGAAGAATTAGCAGCTTTATCACCTGCTATCAGAAAGATTATTATGCGCAAGATACGCAATAGGAGAGTCCGTCCAAGGACTAAAACGAATAACTACGTATCAACTTTATCCGAAGATGGAGAAACTGAAATTTTGGACGATCCATCTAGGGTACAGATGATTGATACATGCATTAGAATTGAGGATCTTTGGCAGGATCAAGCGGATATGTTTGAAGTCCTGACTGAAAGTCGTAATGACATTTCTGTGGGATCTATAGTGCAGAAAGACATTGTGGAAAGTTTTCTACGAGACCTTTCCATTGATGATGAACGAAGGAACATTGCCATAGTTGCTAATCAGAGTGTGGCATATGAAGACCATAGTGATCATCCAGTGGTAGTAGCGAATCAATCAAATGGATTACGTGCTGTTACTCCTGAAATCAATAATAAAGATGAAGAGATTGAAAGTGTATTGGACCAAGGTTCACAGATTGTTGTGATAGACCGATTGATAGCTATAGGTCTAGGAATTACTTGGGATCCAGAATTCACGATCAGAATGCAAGATGCAAGTGGAAAATTAAACCAAACTCTTGGTTTAGCAAGAAATATTCCATTTAAATTTGGTGAAGTTACGGTGTAC